TTTGATTTCAAACGCGCTGTTACCTACGAGCATACACTCTGTATCCGACATCAACTTTTAACTCAGCCTACAATATTTTGCCTGCTGTTCGTTTACATACGGACTTTAGTTTACATAAATTCAATGGTAAATGTTCGTTGGTTTTATTGACAGTGGCTCTGAGTGACCTGGGGACATCACAATTTTTATCAACTGCCGAACGCTACAAACGATAACTCAGGGCAGCCAGAAAAGACTGTTGGGAACGAATGACAACCTATTTTCTGATGCCATGATAGATGAAGCACTACCGCTATATGCAGGATGTTCCTTCGATCGGGGAGTCGTGATAAAATTATCAGCTGCGCATTTCAAAACTGATGGGCCTCAGAACTTACGTTTTCACTGGCCTTTGCAGAAGCCTGGATTTAGTCTGAGGAATAAAGGAGGGGCATTTGAAACGGTTGCACCTTCATTACGGTCGAGTGCCGACCGTGGACGCCCGCTCATGCACCGTGATTAGTAAGCGGGATGAATGTTTTGGAAAACCGATATTTCTTATGATCAGTGATGTTTAGCTGGCTGGTGTATTTTGCGCTGTGAGTGAAACGGAAGATGTTTGTGATTTTTTGAAAAATCTGGTCTCTGCTTTATGCCCACTCATCACTCCAGTATTTCGCTGAGTAACCGCCCCTCGTGTCTGCAGTATTAACTCGCGTTGCGTGGTTAATGAGCAAGGTCGTTTGCCAAGTAGATATTAGGATACAACTTGGAACCGGGTTGTGACAAATGTGAAGCCATATGCAGGAGTGGACCAAATGGCACGCTTTTCCTGGCAGCAAACATTCGACGGGTTCAGACGTCGAACATGCCTTCATCACAACAGTGAGGTCTCTGTTGAGGACTCAAACGTTGACATTGCTGAAGAATTCTCATGTGATTCTCTGCGCGTCTTACTGCTAGGCATCGTTCCTAAATTACTAGATTTGTGGAAGAGTGCAGCTTCCGCTGAGTGAGATGGCCTGACCAATGATGTCGCCCAGGCAATAAATCCTCACTTTAACAACTTATATGGAGACATGCCACATAGTGTTGCGGTTGGGCGCAGCCTGTAGGTTGAAAGCAATGGCACTTCCCTGGTTTATTTTGCAGCTAGAGACCATTTATCTATTGGATATTTAAACCTCTCTTTATTCGGAGTATTTTCAGGATCATTTTAGGTTCTAAATCCAGTACGTCAAAGATATGGAAACGATACTCAACGAAGTCAGACAGTTTTCAGGCCATCTTTGGCAGTGAAAACGGTTTGTCAATTTCGCGGTTTGTTTCCTCTCTGAAACTGTGTACTTCAGTGTGAACCTCTAAACTGTAATTCTTCTTCGTCTTCTTTTGGAGTCGTACATATACACTCTGAAGCAGCTATAAGCTATTACCGAAATTTTTAACTGTTCAGATTTGCATCACCAGGGTAACCCTTCAAGAAGCCGTTTCCATTATGTCTAAGGATGACGGCTGCGAAATCGCGCTTACGGAGAAGACAACAGTTGTTTCAAGCTAGTCGTCTCCGAATTAGTATCTTTTCTCTTTTCAGTGGGATGGAGTAACTGAAATTCCAAACGGTAAAAATTCTGGTCTTTTACCCTCTGCATTCTTGTGACCCTCCACACAACCGCCAAATCCCAAAGGGTTTAAACCTTATTAAGTACATAGACTTGATGTTGTACCTTGCCGCGTTTCATAAGAATTAATAAGAGGGATTGCTTTTTTCTGTCACTGATCAGGCTTCCTGTAGCCATCAGAATCTGCATACGTTTAATGCAACGATAATGAGCATTGCAGGTGCCCTTAAGTGACCCACAATAAATGGTAACCGACATTTGACCTTTGCGTTCAAATTTTGCACTCAAACCAAGTTTGTAAGTTCAAAGACCGCACTAAAAGTTGAAAACATTATGGTTCTTTGTGCAAAACTAAGTGACTAAATAAAAGGTCGGCTTTTTATCTCTGAAAAACTCAGTAACTTTCTACCTTTTTCAATAAATTCGCTCAAAAAATGTTGGTGCAGTCGTTGTTTCTCAGTACCACCAGTAAACCGGCAACCTATATTTCGATGTCCAGTGACCTTATCTTGAGTGCCTTACCCCCGAAGATGATTGTAAACTTTGATGTCTTGACTGTCCTAGGGTTCGCGCAAACCTTCTTGAACAATACTTGGCAAGACTTGTTTGTGTGTAGAGTCCATCCAGCGTTCACTCGTTTTCGAAGATATTGTGATGTTGCGTCAGTGTTAAGTTATAATTCTGAAATCCATCGCATGGGTTCAGTAAGCATCTGCAGATTTTAGACGCTTGCACAACAGTCCATCGATATCTTCATAATCCCGTACGGAGTCCGAAGGCTGGTCGTACCCAACGACTCATGATATGCTTACGCGTTGAATACCGAATGATAAGGGGTTCAGCTTCAATTCGTTGACTTTCCAGAAACCACTCACTGTGTTCAGCATTTTGGGTACTGCACTGATGTCGACCCCGACAATTTCAACGTCCTCCAACAAGGCCACTTCGAGCTAGCTACAGTCAACTGCAGATAGTGATTTTACTTCTGCTTAACTCGCGCGACGCTAATATGCTGTTGCCGTCAAACGAAGGACGGAAGTGTGAAGTTACCCACTAATCACCGTGCTTGTACCTGCCTTCACTCATGTATCTCTTCATACGTCATTTTAGATCAACAGGGGCGGTAAAGTGAGAAGTGATGTTACATCTAATATGGTCACTACCAGTGTTAAAGGTTAGCTAGGCAACGGTCGTGACAGACTGCAGGTGAGAAAGAAAAGGGAGAAACGACAATCGGTAGATGTCGTCGTGCATAATATAGCTTAGTTCTGACAGATAACCGTTGAGGAAGCTGAAGGTAACGTGACTGTGCACATCTTTGATGCCAGTATGTCAGGGCACGTGGCTGAAAAGTTCTCCCGAAAGATTAGTTCAATCTAAATGATACCTTGATTTTTGTCGCCTCCGGTGGAATAAGCGAACATGCAACCGTTTCTTGGTTAAGCTTGAAAGTGGATTACTAGTCGAACACAGTCACGACACGCCGAGATTTTAATTCGCTGCCATTCCCCCCCCCTCGGCCAATGATATACCCACTGTACCCCCTCTAAACGCAACTTGGGCCTCTGACATTCCAGGGGTGAATGTTAGGTGATTTTTGGGAAATGTAATGCACCTCATGTTTTTGCCCTACTTTTCTACCTTAGTTGTCCAAAACACGTGGGACAGTCTGGGTGACTGACATGGATAACTGTCGCGTGATAAGGTATCACAGATGCAGGATCGAAAGCAGCTATGGGGTTGGGAGAAAGTCAGATGACCAACCAAAGTAGCGGCGAAAGGTGCCACCTTCTGCAGCAGACACCAGGACAGCCATCATTGTGGGCAATCTCTATACATGGCCCATAGAACAACGGTGTGACCAGCACATCCGAAGCATCCTGCAGAAGAAACACAAAACACGGTCCATTCTTGGATTTAACAGTCAAAATATGTTTGCTGACTTCAGACTATAGGTTTCCATTTGCAGATGATGAATGAGTCATGACTGCAAGCCCATCAAATTTCATATGGTTCCTTCAACTTTCGAACCCCGCTCATCAAACTTGACAAGGTGGGAGTATGCGGGTTGTTGGTGAGTTTGGCATTACTCCTCATATTCATAAAGCTCCGTTGGGTTCGATTTTTGTCCGTCCTTTGAAGGGGGACGAAATCTGTTAGCAGCATAGCATTTCTCTCTTGATGCTTCGGACCTCAGAATACAAGCAAGGTACTGACGCACTGGATCTGCAACCCAAACAGTGAAATCATGTAGATATCGATAACGACTAATTGGCACTCAGGTGGCAAAAAGCTCTTCATGTAGCATGGAAAAAGATCTCGGTTGTCCAACACACAACCGATGGCACGTACCCTGAAAAGGAAGACAAAATGCCAGTTATTTCCTTAAACTTTGCTGTCCAAGTTTTTCGCCGGGTGGAGACTGGGACAACAGCGAGTTCAGAGTAAAGACGGCCTCGTACACTTATGCTATCGACTTTATATATCACGTCAGAAAAACATTAATGACTCGTTTGTATGGCTCATTACCTGGTGCATAAGCCCGCATTCGGTCATGCAGCAGCGCCACTTACCGAAACCTCTCACTTCACACTCACTTCTGTATACTTACGATCAAAATATCTGGGTCACATTTTTTTAAAATGAAGGCAGAAGTGTTCCTTGGTTAAGGCAGGATACAATTGCCCCACCAAAGCCCACTGGATTTGTAATTGGCACAAAAATGACGGGCTGGAGGCAATTGATCGTCACACATAGTATAACTGGCTGTGAGGCCCACATTAACAGCTTGACTTCACAAGTTAGTTCAAAACCTCGTTTAAAAGGATACTATAACCAAAGTGATCACGAAAACACCAGCCCGAAATTCGTTCCAGGTTTGAGTAAACGGTGGAATTATTTTCCTGAAGATACGAAGATGAGGAAGTTGTTGGATGTCTTCAAAGGAAACTAACACATCGATCTTTACATCAGTCAGACTTCTGGGTTGGTACTTAGATTGTTTATTATCCACAAGTGGTCTTAGAGAAATGATGACTCTCAGACAGACGATAATAATTATGTTTTACTTGCATGTCCCAAGTCCTTGTGGGCGGTACACAGTTAGAAAACCGTACACAGCCTATTCAGATACAATAACACAGCAGCACAACTTATAGGACCTTCGTCAGTTGACACCTACAGCATGAGAACTTGATTTGAAGATGTCAGGAAAGAATTCTTAGTTGTAATCAGTATTTTCCGTCCTATTTCATTTCTAATGGCTGGGGTGAAAGGTATGGTCTGTTCGCTCAGTATAGTGTTCCAGTGTTATAGAACCAGAAACCAGGGGAAAATCACCTCGACTTTTCTCCCACATAAGGACGTTAGGTCTAGTTGTTTAGATCACGTAGTTTGCTGCCGAAGGACGGGAAGCATAGCGCGGGTAAAACAACCATAAAAGTTGTGGGATGGATTTGGTTTTGTTTTACTATGTGCTTATATTGGTTGCGTGTATTCCTATAATGTATCGCATCCCAAAAGTGCAGTACTATGTCAGATTTACTGTATTCTGCGGAGTGATTTTAACTGGATCATTCTGTTATGCAATTCGATTAGCTTTCAATGGTAGATGCTATGAAAACGCTTGGTATATGCCTATTTTCTCCCATAATTGCTTTTCAAGGAGGTTTATAAAACTTCTGTCCTTCGCTGGGAAGACAGTTGGTCTAAATCCTGTTATCGAGAATGTTGAAGTACTCTCGAAAGAGCCTTGTATATTCGTTTGCAATCACCAGAGTTGCATTGATGTAGCAAGTATACAACCTACTATATTCTCACTCTTGACCACATTTTAGGCGTTGCTGATTTGTGGCCACAGCGCTGCACAGTGGTCTCTAAAGCTTCACTCAACTTTATTGGTCCACTGGGAATAGTTATGTGGCTCAGCAACACCATTTCTATTGATCGTTCCCGTCATAAAGATGCTATTTGCGCAATGCAGAAGGCCGCAGAAGCAGCTATCAGAGACAAAGTAAACAGTTATTACTCTTAATTTTTCACCTCAGGTGTCAGTTTTTATCTTCCCGGAGGGTACAAGATCTGATGCCGGTCATCTCCTACCCTTTAAAAAGGAGCATTCCATATGGCCATAAAATGTCAAGTAACATATAGTTTTGATTTTCATTAGATTTCAGTTCCCAATTCAACCTGTTGTCGTTGAACCGTATGGAAAATTTTTAGACCATAAGAAGAAAATATTTGAAAGTGGTGAGTTAACTATAATGCCTTGTGATGGAAGGCTGAGCTATACAGTTCCTAAGTGCTATTCCTCTATCTATCCAAGGTGTGTTGTTTTCATTCTCCAAGTTGTTTGTCTTGTGAGAATTTGTTTATCCTGGTCAGTATCGGAATAAACAAGAATAGGTTTTGGAGAATAACGCATTGCCAGTGTTTATTTCTGTCCTGATGATAAAGAATGTAGTGATTTGCAATTATTTTACAACCACTACTATACAAACATAACAAATAACCCGTGGTGTGGACAAATTGGGCATTATCTACCGATGGCTACTACCTTGACTTGATGGTCGGGCTTGTGTATCATCGAATCGAAGCAAATATCTTATCAAAATCAACTCAGCAACCTTGTGCAATAGACATCGAGCCACACACTTTATGTGTATCGTATTGCTGGCTGGACAGGAGTGTGACAGCAGTAAAGTGTTCCTCTTATATGACCAGAAGTGCCGTGCTGATGCTGCGTTGCATATGGGGAAGGGGCGGAGCTTAGTAGGGGTCGACACCAAAAGTAGCACACTTCCATCACCCTGTTGCGTGTTAATGTTTGCGATACGACTTCACAGTCGGAAAAAAATTCGACAAACCTAAATCTGTAACTTTCATACAGGTCATGTGTCACCGGCCTCAAACAGGTATTATCTGGGCTATACGATCGCTTTCCCAGATACCTCAAGAAATAATCTTCCACGATGTGGTCAGCACCTTCATAACTCCGTCAGCCTTCAAGTTCTTTCAGATCATTGTCCGCTTCCCACATCCTTACCTTCTAATCTTCATGTCTGTCAGTCAATTATCCAAGATCATCTTCAATTTCTCCCGTTTCTCTACCTTTCGATAACGATGGGAGTCCACAGAACAGCACTCTTAGTCTCCTGAAACTGCGCTGCAAACCACACACTATAGCTTTCAATGTCCACACTCTCCGAGAAGCCAGCCAAGAAGCTACACTGGTCAGGACTCTAACAACTCGTACCATGGGTGTGTGCTGTGTTTGTGAGACATGCATACAGGACCCAAGTGCAGCTATTCACTTAACCTCACCCAGCCAATACAGTGAACCCCCAGGTTTCACTCTTCGAGTTTTTGGAGATTCTATGACCAGCTCTTTCGATCTTGGAGGTGTAGGTATAGCATTGATCACAAAGGCAAAAAGTTCACTACTCGACTGGATCCTATTTGATAGTCGCCTTTGCGCTGTCCGACTGAACGACACAGTGAGGGCCAAAACGAATAGTGAAACTCTGTTGCCTCTTTGTAGTCTTTGCTTATGCACTGACTACAGTTCTAATGAAGCGGAAGATTAGTTCTGCCCAAAACTGTATAGTCTCCTACTGAAAGACAAGCAGATAATTTCAATGCATAGGTCGGTAGGCCCAGGTAGAAAGGCACTTTCGGAATTCCAGCCAAACGAACAGATTACGGCGGTTGCTTATTACAACTCGGCTAGGACAACCATTTATTTATGGCAAGCACAAATTTCAGACATAAAAGGAGACATTGTCTGATGTGGCGTCCACCGACTTAAACTCGGCGATGGGCTCAGATAAACCACATTGCCATCACTCATCACTGGAGACGGTCGTTGGAAGACTCCTGCTCCTTCTGGAGCACTTGTTTGGGTAGCGTTGGTTTGTGTGCGCGTATGCCTGTGTCTACATGAACGTAGGAAAACTGAAGCAGCAAAGCCACTACGAGTGCATTCCGACAATGAAAGCACTAAGACCCGATTCAGTGAAACTAGCTCCAGGGCTATCGGGATGGAATAATATCACACATCCAGAAAAAGCTTAGTGTCATCTACAGTTTGCTGTAAAAATAGTTTCGAAGACCCTAGCTGACTTTCAGAGAGTGGTTACGAAGAATCCGTAGGTGTCAACAGCTTCTTCTGAATAAATGGATGCATGCAGACGCATCCATACAGACTCAGAGTACAATAAGGAGCAAAAGTAACTCAACCATAGACTGACAAAAAGTCTACGCATTGACTGCGAACAGTAGTGGGCTGTGAAGGCTAAAGAGATGAGAAAGGCAGCGGTGACAGGTATAAGTAGACAGTCATTGAGACTTGTTAGGGAAACTGGGTCAAAAACGTCAGCGGTTAGTAAGACTATAGCGAAGAAGAATGGGTCTACGATCCACTCACAGGGGAGACTATTGGACCGATGTGCAGAACATTTCGACGGACAGTTTAACTACCCTCTAGCTACTCCAACTCCTGTGAGCGTGTTGAGCCTATGGTGAGATGCTTGGTGCACTGTCTTGTGTACATCGAGTAGTGTTCGTCAAGGATACCCACTCTCTCCATTCGAATTCTACTTTCCCGTAGACATTCTTATGAAAGTCTCCCTCTCGTTATGTGATTTCACAGAGATTGATCCTTTCACAGGAGAATCCTTGTTAGATTTAGAGTACGTAAAGGACATTTTTCTGTTAGGTGAAGACACATTGATTGACTGACATTGATTCACAATTTGGGAATGTTCGGTCGATGTAGGTTCACAACGTCATCAACTGGTGTTTATGGGACATATGTTACTCACTGCTAGTCACTGTCTGTTTCATCACACGGTGTTTGCTAAAAAATAGGTTTAGATCATAAAGCGTTTTGGGGCGACCAGACTAAATCATGACATTGCATGATATTTTCGACTTTTGACCTGGGCCGTTTATGGAAATGTAGAATTCCCTGTCGTAGTCACGTGGTAGCGGAGACCTGTGGTTGGAGACTGAGTAACATTACTCAGAATTGATGTCAGTGGTGCAGATGTATCCACACCTTGTCTTTATCCTAATCGTCATAGTGAAGTCAGTATTCCTTCATTCTTTTTACACTCTTCGGTCGACTTTACAATTTTTAACTGCTTTCTTAATTTGTTTGTCTTTCATCTCATTGTATTCTTGCTTGATGTGATGACATGATGGGTGGCAACTTAATCCACTACACAGTAATGCCCAGGTCCTATACTGATTTTATGTTTCTGAAGTAAAAACTAAAAGCTTGTGCACCTATGATGAATTTCAAAGTATACCGTTCGCCTTATTCCTGATTTTCATTGTCTGACAATCTGACCGAGAATTCGGTTTTTCCACAGTTCTAACTTACATGGTGGGCTAGGAGCTTATCCACTTTTGGTATCACCATCACTAGATGTTTTCTTACTTTATTATTATTATTAGTATTAATCCCTTGGGTTCATAGTGGGACATAGGGCTTCAGTCACACGCCTCCATTGCACTCTGTTCTCTGCAGTCTTTTGGACCTGGTTCCACGTTTGCCCACAAGCCTTCATTTCTTCCTCACATGATCTCCATGTCACACTTGACTCAGACACCTAACTCGTCGTTTTCCCTTTGGATTCCACTCGAGCGACTGGCCTGATGCTTGATGCCCCAGTCGGCTTTCTCATTGTATGCCTAATCCATATTCACTTTCTTCCGCATATTCATTGGGCGATGGGTGCCTTGTTGGTTCGTTCACAGAATTCCTTGTTGCTTATTCTTATCATTCTGGCCATCTGATCTTCAGTATTGAGCCAGCCTAGGCAGTTGTTGATGAATTTCTGTAGTTTGTTGGAGGTGCTCTTCGTGACGCGCCAAGTTTCTGAACCATATATCAGCACTGACTTGACATTGGTGTTGAAATTCCGGGTCTTTTTCTTTGTGCTGAGTACTGTAGATCTCCACACTGATTTCAGATTAATAAAAGCATGTCTTGCTTTCCCGATCCTGGCTTTGACATCCTCGTCTGTGCCGACGCCCGAAGTTGAAACGACGCTGCCTTGGAGGGTAGGTGAAAGAGACTACTTGCTTCAAATGTCTCCCGTTCATGGTGACTGGTGCTTGTTGTTGATGCTGTTGTTGGTTGGGCATCTTCATCACCTCTGTCTTCTCTACGTTCACTTGAAGTCCCGTTTTCGCTGTCTTTTCTGTCAACTTGTTAGTTTTTACCTATAGATCTTCGAGTTTGTGTGACATCAGACACAAATAATCGGTGGCGAAGTCCAAATCTTGTAGGGTCTTTTCATCGGTCCAGTCAGCGTATGCCCCTCTTCTTGCTCCTCACAGTTTGTTGCATGATCCAGTTCAGTCGACCATAATCAGAAAGATCATCGGTGATAGTAGGGAGCAACCTTGTCTTACTCCTGTCTTCACTTCAAAGGCGTCACTGAGCTTTCCACTGTGAATCATATAGCATAGCATATAGCTGTTGAATGAGGTTGATAAAGGTTTGCGGCACCAAAATCGTAGTTTTGAAGCAGTTTCCAAATAACTTCTCGGTCGATGTCGAAGGTTTTTTGAAAATCGATGAAGTTGATGTAGAAAGTTGATTGCCATTCATTCTATGCTCTGTTCTATGATGATGCTTGGCGTAGCGTTGCGATTTGATCCGCACATGATTTGTTCCTCTTGAAGCCAGCCTGTCCCTATCGTAATTTTGAATCCAGAGCATTTTCTGTGTAGTCTCTCTAGATGACGCGCATAGTATTTTGCTTAGGGTGGACAGGGACAGGAAGATGATTCCGTGCCAGTTCTCGCAAAGGCTTATGTCTCCCTTCTTTGGGAGTTTGACAAAGTAGCCCTTCTTCCAATCAGTGGGCAAGTACTTCTTCCTTCCAAACCTTCTGCAATAGTGGTGTGAGGATGTCCGCTGGTGTCTCTTCACCTGTTTTCAGTGAATCTAGTGGGATTTCATCTGGTCCTGCTGCTTTCTTGGATTTCAGCAACTTAATGGCATTCAGGACTTCACTTCTGCATTTGTCAGAGGACTTGTGTCCACTGGTAATTCTGCGGTTGCTGGTGGTATTTCTGGACAAGTTGCAGGTAGCGATGGTGGTGTTGGTCGATTCAGTTCATCGTTTCCTTTGTTGCTCCTCTTTGGTAACCAGGTTTCCTTTACTATCTTTCATTGGTTTCGTCTGAGTTGATCTCTTCCCAGATAGTAACCCGGTTATTTGATTTGATGTTGTCAGGTCTCTGTCTCTCCTACCAGCAGCCTGTTCTGCTTCACTTGTCAATGTGTCGTAGAAGTGTCTTTTGTCTTTGTGCGCACTCTTCTTCACTTCTTTGTCCAGTATGGTGTTTTATAGGTTGTACTCACTTCCTCTTTTCGTTATTCATCTCTTCAGTGTTCTGGTATATCTTCTGCTTCACCATCTTCCTCTCTCTCCTCTATCAGCTTCCATGTATCCGTCGAGGCCCATCACTTATCTTGCTTCATCTCCTTTCCTAACACGGCTATGCGGGTTTCTTTCTATGTCTCTTTCAAAGAGTTCCAGTGTTTTTCGAAGGAGGTTACCTCTGGGATGTTACTTAATGTCCCCCATTTTTTCCTGATGACTGCCTGACGTAGTGATGTCCTTCGTAGTTTCGTCCTTAAGTTTCTGTTCTGGGTGTTGAATATGAACTTCAACTGTGGTCTATCACCAACTTCTGTGGAGGTTTTCAACTTGATTTTGAAGATAGGTTCTTTTCACTAGATAGTGGTTTTAACCCACATCTGCTCTCCATCTTCATTTTGTGTCCAGTAGGCTTCGTCTCCACTTTCTTCAGATTGAGATGAAGTCGATCTGATTTTTAGTGTGTCCTGGTGAAATCCATGTCGCTTTATGAATATCCTTGTGTTTGTACACACTGCCTCCGATCACCAAATCATTAAATGCGCAGAAGTCTGCAAACAGTTCTCCATTCTCACTCATCATTTCACCGAGTGCTTCTCAGTCCATTCCATATCTCCATATTTACTTTGTTTTCATCGAGAGAAGTGTAGGCACATCGGCCCGGCCGATTGACTTTCTAAAGGCCTTCACCAACTGGCGTCATTTCGTTTCCCCGATTCCAGAGAGGAATAAGTTTATTTTTGTTTTTTATATTTACTTTGTGCTTTGAGGTTTCTTTAGCGATTAGAATGGTTTTCCGGGGTAGCCCTAGCCCTACGCCCAACCTTCCCTCTTTACCCGGGCTTAGGACCGGCTAGTAACTAGTGTACTATCTAACTTGGCAAGGTTTTCCTACTTTATGACCAACTTTCATTACATATTCAAGTAATCCGCTGTTTCTTGTATGTATTGCTTATCTCGACCTTTTTGGTTGGTCTGAGTGAATTTTCCAGTTCAGTTTGCTTCCCTTTTCTATCAAATTTTTATACTTGGTTTAAGTCATTTGTTTTCATTCTTTTAATTTTATTTTGACAATCAGAAATATCATAAATCAAATCAGTGTTAATAAAATCATTTACACGTTACTGTGATTGCCTCTATTAATTTACTAAAGAATAAACTTTTATGATATGTGTTGACGGTTGAATAGAGTAAATTAGCTTTGATCTAGCTATATATCAGTTAGTCAATACCAACTTGGGACATACTTACTGTGTAATGTTTCTAGTTGCCACACCCCATTAGCACATCGTGTTAGAAGGTAAAAGTACAAAATCTGCTGAAATAAGTAAAGTAATTGAAGGTAATGGAGAGGTTTGAGAGAAGAAGAAGGAGTAAAACAATGATGAACTTCTGTGTACGATTAGGTTGAAGATAATATGTATCTGTATCTGTGCTACACATCACTTTTTATCCATGTCACTTCTAATTTCCGTTTTCACGCATAATTCAACTGGGAAGTCTACATTTTCCTACGCTATTCAGATAATCAGTCAAGGACTAGCGGTATGCTTCAGTCTTGCTGCTTTTGATCTTCCTCCAGCGTAAACCTACTTCAGCTAACACTGCACAGCGAGGTCTAGACTCTGTCTAGACAAATATAAAACACGACCTAATCACCTTAGTCAATGAAAGCTCATACCTCATTAGGTGACTCACCTCTTCTGCTTAAAATTCCACTCACACCTTCACTGCTAACAAAGGGGTTCCCAAACAGCCTCTACTGCTAAGGTAATGGTGGGCAACCACCTAAAACCTCATCCTTCACTTAAATGGCCATGTTTCACAACCATACATTAGAACGGAGCAATCTCCTGCACAGTCCATTGAATACTTGGTAAATAACCGTATTTTATACTGACTCCACAAATGGCTTAATTTGGCGAAAGTCGATTGAGCCAAAAAATCTATGCCAAGATTTGACTAGCCACTGACCTATTAAGGCTGATCTGACCTCTCAGGTAAGTGATGTGGTGAACTCACGTGACTACTCCTTTCTCTATTGTTGGACGAACTGTCAACATACTATTCCTGGAGTAACAGTTTGCATTTGAGTGATGAGAAACTTTTTCAAGTTATAACGCAATGTTCAGAATTCTCTTCATTTTGTCAGCATTTCCACTTAACAAACCTTCAAATGTGTACTCTAGATCTACTGGGAAGTCTTCTGTGATAAGATCAATTTCTGTAGGCGGACGAGGATACGAGATCGTCCATCAAAAGGGCTATGGTGATGAAAATGGAGAGTAGACATTCCTGGGTCACATCACTTAACGCTCACACTCTTGGCTACATGTATTTTCACGCTGTTAGCAAAATATGGTTTAACCAACGATTGAGCAGTATAGTTTCAAATAAGAGGGTTTCCAGCAGAATATGTTTGCTTTTGTTAAATCAAAGCAATAATTTTATGACGTGTACCACTACGTTTGAAGCTAAAACAGACTAAAAGAGATATTTAAAACAGTAAGTTCCTCTTATCAACTTGTATGGTGTAATTTAAGAAGCAAGTTTATTTGGTCGATGTGATGTATTTGCGCAATACATTTCGAACAGTTTAACCACATATTTACTTGTCAAGTTAGTTTGTATAAAACTGAAGAATAGAAGGACAAATTGAACGGTTATGATAACAGGACATAAAAATTAAAAAAGCTAGAAAAGGAGAAATTATATATTTGATTCTAAATCTTGGTAATGAAAAAAAGTTTACCAAGATAGGTGAAGTGTAAGAGTAAATTGTTTTTGTATACACGAAAGTGGTTTCAACTTGCATATGGCTATCACTTCCGTAGATCTCAGTATGCGTCTCTGACTGCTTCTAAATAAAACTTTGAAGGCTGTTTGAACATTAATTTTGTAACCCGTTTCTTTAATTCGTCTAGCTATAGATAAAGAGTGTTGTCTCGCACCTGCGTGCATTAAGGTTTCACGCTTCCAATTTTTTTGAAACCATTTAGGTACATGTTTTTCCACCATCAGCAGCATGGCTTGACTACGTCTCCATATGCACGTGTGACCATACACGCATGTAAACTGCTAAACACAATGAAATATGATCTAATCATTGATGCAGTGTTTAGTTCTGTGGTTGAAACATGTATGTCTTTTCTACAGTGAATAGCTTAGCTGCATAATATGTTTTATTAATAGCACGTGCTAGTCTCTGTATCAGAATCATAATATTTGACTCTACTCTGTATTGGTAAGGTGATGTGGACACTTCTTAGGAGCCGACTACAGAGTAAGCTTTGATGTTACCTGTCTTCTATAACGGTTTATGCACGCATTGTGGGTTACTGTTATAATAACATGAGTACTGATTCATGATTGGATTCATACTGGGTTGAAATCTATGAACCACCAGTGAAAAATGCAGTGCCTAGACCTTTCGTGCGTATTTCACTCAAATGTCTGAACTAGGTCGGTAATAAAAGTACACATGAAGGTTATCACAACAATCTTAAGCATCCAAGTCCGCAAACTGCAAATTTCACTCTGATCAATTGATCCAGTTCGTTATACGTAGAAATGTTAACAGGCATTAGGTGGTATTATTGATATACACTATAAGTGTGACCCACAGCCCATGGCATGAAATAGTTACTAAGCTGCATAATTTTACTGTCTATTGCGTAACATTGATTAGATTCTGTAAATAGGTTCAGTGATAAAACCCTGCAGTTTGTAAACCGTTTGTAAATTATTTTAGTAACATCTTGAAACGCTACTTTTATGTACTTCATATCCATTTTAATGGAAATTATTTAGGACTTTATTTTAAATTAAAAACAAATTATCCCTCTTCATATTTGCCTTCACGACTTAGCTACATACAGAGTGAAAGTTTTGCCAAAAATTGACACTGTGGGGATGAACGAGTCGCAGGTAGATCAACTTCTCAACGAAACTCGTGAAAAGATGGTCGCAGCATTTGAAAGCATGAAAGATTCAACCTTGCACTGAATAATTTTTGTTACTACCATGTTATTTATTCCCATAATCAAAACTCAATACGTTTGTTAAACTATTTTTTGGTTAAACATGTGTATAAAGTAGCTAGTCGATCTGACAATTCATCCCTTTTTCACAAAAATTACTATTTTGCTAAGATTTTCCACGCATATTTCTTGTAAACTACTTATCCGATGAATTTTTGTGCACAATAGTGTCTGAACAATGTTTTCTTAATTGCTTAATTATTTCAATGAAAATAAAAACCGATGAGTTAACATTTGTACAGTTTTGGGTGTTTCCCAATTCTTTTCTAGTTAGGAATTTTTTGAAACTTTGGTATGGGGGATGTGGCGATGGAAAGATGTCTTTGTTAATACTGCACTTCATCCAAAAGGCTGTTACTTCTAAGCATGAAAAGGAGATTAGTGGCTATCTACAATAAACAGAAAGAGGGGGAAAAGAATATTGAAGAGTGTATTTTGAGCGTATATTGATGTATACAGTATTTATCCACGAAGCTTAAAATTCGAAACAGTCAACAGAACTGAAAGCAATTGAGCAAGGTAGTGTTAGGACACGAATTGAGGTTGTAGTACAGTACCTACACGGCATCCGAATTCAGATAATATGATAGCTCAGCACACAAAGGTGATCACAATTTGAATAACTGAAAAAAAACTTTCGTCAAAGGTCCAAAGGTGGCCCATAAATCCCTTATGACGTACCACCTTATTTGATACTGAGGTTCTGTATTGAGAATGATAAATCTGTGCATGCAGAGGATGGGTAACATTTCGTCAAACTGTCGACTTAATTTGAAGCAAACAGATTCTTGTTTTGTTTTTAGTTTAAAAGTATCTATCAACGTTTGGTAGAATTCCATCCTAGGTATTCACGTTGGCTATCCTTGATTATAGCCGCTTCTTTTTCATAAAGATGAGGTTGATGTGTCTTGATAACCTATCCGAACTATAATAGCTGACAGTCTGTTACCTCTAAGGTTTTATCATGCCAGAAAAAGTGTAGAACCAGAAACAGCACACCTAACAAAGTGTGGTGAGGTCATACTGCTTATTGTACCGAGTTATAATACCAGGATAGTGCTTATCAAGAATAAATGACATTGTCACTGCAAGGAAGAATGGGTTAACAAAGGTCTGTTTGTATCTAAAATAATTCTGTTGTCATATAGAGTCTTGGCATCTATTGGTGAAGTTTTTAAATTGTAGAGCCAACCTTGCAGACTTGCATTGATGTACTTCTAAAGAATTTATGTAAGCGCCACTTGTGCTCTGGGAATGATACTGCCAGGCCGGTATAACCACCAGAACTAATCTGATTTTTGAGGCACTTCAGTGAAAGAAGCATTCTACTGTGAGGACAACTCGATCTCAGTAACATAAAAATACTTACTCTATCGTCTTTTGAACTTTAAACATTTATTATCCTTTATCAGTGCCCTGCTCTGCCATATCTCGCGTAACTTCGCTGTTAATTTTCTATTTTTGTGCTGTTACCAAGCTGGTCCCTTATATTTATGTACTAAGTTACAATGTATTTCCTTTGTTTCCTTGGCCGAAAAGTTTCTTTCAACCGCACGCCTTCAGTAGCACTTCAGTCCCCTCACATTATTAAGGTTTTCTCTAGTTTTCATCTGATTCTTACTAGTTATTAAATTTCTCTGATCTTCTCAGCTGTTACAATCAACTACAATTCATTGGCTTGTGAATCTAAGCTGCACAATAAACTCATGGTTGGAATATCCACATCATTTGCGATGTCAGACTATAACCCTTAATATAGTCTTGGGTAATGTATTTGGGCTGTTTCTGTGATGCGCGTAAGGAATATAGTAGATATGGTTGTCTATATTTTCAGCTTAGTAGATGGCGGGTATTCATTCTTCTGGCACCTGCAAGTTCTGTAGCTGCTTTCCTTCGTCTTGAGAATGTAGTGATATTAATCCAAAGCCGGGAAGTGCATTTCTCCAACTGACTGCAGCCGCCTGCAAGGTGTTTGATTAGGCGTCTTTCTATGAATTTAGTAGGTTCAGGAAACGTTTAAATTTGTGCAAAGCTTCTGTCAACAATACCTGATGTTTACAAATGTAGAAAAGAGCTCTGCTGCATTCTTTAAAAACAAATTTAGATTTAGCCGAGATAATTGTCTCGAACGGTTGCAATAATTAGTCTACTTTACAGAAAGGTCTAGTTGATTATTTAAGTCTCAGTCTAGATGTTTGTAGTCACTTGCTACAATTGTCGTTGAACAACCTTGTTTTTCAATCAGCAACACGGACAGCTCCTTGTGGCAGTTGCCAACCCCAACTCTAGGGTAGAAACATGTTGTAATCATCTGTAAGGGATTGGAGCTTCTTCTACAGTTCATCTGGACCATTTTTGACTTGAATGTGCCTACGTCTATATCCCCAGAAAATGTAGGAAAGTGCCAGAAAAAATTTTCAAGTTTGTCTCGACATATGTATCATATAAGCAACTGCATAGACAACATAGTAAGAGAGGGGTTCTCACAAACTAGTGACATAACCCCTGTTTTGAAATTTAAACAGCGGCAGGAGGTTTTCAGCAGAAACCTGGAAGAACAAATGTTTCAAAAGCCTTGTCATAAATCGATGAGAAAGGCGAGTTATGGAAACTGTTACTGAAAAATGCAGGCAACCGAAACGATTAACAGAACACTAAAAAAAAGTCCAGCTGAAATGTAACTACCCTTCATTTTTCTTCTGTCCAGTAGCTGAAATGACTGAATGGAAGATTATTCTTCCTTGATAACCTTTATCGTCACAAACTGCAAGAAAGAATTGAATTCCTATTGTAATAACTAAAAGAGGACTAGTCAAAATAACCTGGCCCCTCAAATCCTCACATCTGTGACGATTTGACGTCCAACTAGAATAGGACCCACGAAACCCAGACAGGCTCCCAACTTCAGATCGTAATCTTCCCCGGAAAGCGGGGATGTGTACCATCCCTCAAATATGTATAATCCATCATCTTAATAAGGCTTTTATCATCGACTTTAGATGATTTGGCAGTATCTTTCACTGAATGGCATGCTCACTAAGCATACTACCTTCATGAAGATTCTTTACGTAAAAATCTGTGTCATGCATGCACTTTTTCGGGCTAGCGTTTTCCATCACCGACTTATATCCCTGCTGGAGATCTTAGTAAACAGAGTACGCGGGAAACATAACTGTATTCAATGAAAGTACTGAAGAAATACAGTTTCAGAATGAAAGACGGATCATAAGAAAACTTAAATCTTTCTTTTTGTGCTCAGAAGCGATTTATTATTACATCATACTTTGTATAGTAAATTCAGCTTTCAAACAACTCTGAGCATTTTGTTAGTTTTGACATATTGCATTTCGAAACAGTTAGATCCTTTTGTTCCAGTTATTTAAGTTCAGTTGTATTTAAAGTGATAAGATCACTTGATCTTTTCACATCTGAACAGTTATTGTCAACCTTTGAGACTAATGTTGTCCTCGTAATACATTTATATTACTGAGCAGCCCGCTAACTACTATTCGGCTTTGTATGTTTGTATGTTTTTCGCGAAATATTTATCTTCCACTTTCTTTAGAAGTAGTCTGATAATCAGTACTATCTTAGATAGCCTAGTTACAATTTCCTACGATCACTATGAAATCGTGATGATCATATTGGATCAATTGGTTTGACAATTGTATTATTTAACGTGTAATTTGTTTACAGTAAGATCACGTGGATGGAATTCACAATGTGAACTTTTCATGATTATTATGCTGTGAAAAATAATCATTGAATTTATGATTGAAATATGACCTTTATGATTTTCATTTTGATTTTAGTATATTGTTTCAGAGAATATCTGAGCATTCTTGTCATTTTCAACTAGTTCACCAATAAAATTGATGATCGTGAGATAGATTATAGTAAACAAATTCAGAAAGTATATCTGTATTTATTCATCATCAAATAACTCTATCCATGTTACAGATTTGTCAATATCATGATTTTTTTTGTTAAGTGGCCTTCAATAGGTTCAGCTCCGATTTCTTAACTTTAACAGCATTGCATCGTGATTCTTAATGACTTGATGTTTCACAAACTACACGTCAATGTTCAACGTTCAGTATAATTCTTAGTGTCTTATCATTATAAAAGTTGAACTTAGGGGTATAGTATTATCTATGCATTGAATAATAATCTCTTATTTTGACTATCTCAGCTGTGGTTTGGCAGACTAGTGTTTATACTGGATGATGATTGAAGGTGAAATGATGATTTTGGCCACAGCGCGATTCGAACCAGAGACCATCGGGTTTCCGACCCGGTCCTCTACCAACTGAGCTGCGATACCCAACTGCTGACCAGATACTTATTTCACATGAATGATGAATTGTTTTACCTGACTACCATGTGAATTCGTGACTCGTTACTACCGCTTGATCATACACTGGCTGCCTAGTCAGGACTTCTCATGAAAGTCGAAATCTAACTTAATTAGAGAGAGGGAGCATCATATTGATTATCATTTTGACTATCTGAAATAGTTGTGGTTTGGCAGACTAGACTAATAATGTTACTAATAATAATAACTTACCATTTTAATTGACATAAAATTTATTACACATTGAAAGATTATTATTTACTGAATTACGTTTCGGACACAGTTTATTGTCCACGTATCCAGAACAGGTGTTTAGTTATTCAGTGTTGATTCGATAAAAAAAGATTCAGTTATCAATCTCTCCCTTCTCCTCAATAGGTTAATTTTAAGGATTTTCACTGTCATCCTGTTGTATGTTTGTGTGCAGTTGCATGCATAGCTATAGCCGAGCTTTTCTCTAAACTCCTTATCTAACTACAACCTACCAATTTAGCTCAAGCTGGATTCTTGTCCTCGGATAGCGTAATTGGCCGTGTTCGACTACTTTGACTTACATATTCAACCTCGCAGTCGTTGCAGGAGATTTGGCAAACTAAATTATTCTGCCTAATTAGACCAATAGGATTTTTTAACTTACAAAGCTTGTTTCTAGGTAAGTTTGTAGGTTTAAATCCCATTCTAATCCTACTTAACGTCTCTGTGCCGCCTTCCTTGTATGGTAGAGGTTTTAAATTCCCTCTTCAGAATATTACCACTATTATTATTTTTTTCATTATTGTTACTATTAGTAATTGTGCTACCACTATTGGTTATATTTTCCTTATGATTACTAGGGAATTTGTTACTTAATTCAAGGGGTTAAAAGAGATTTTTCCTTTAAAACTAAAATGCATAGTTCATTACTTTTATTGCATCTAAAGTAGAATAGACATGATCATCACTTTTTTTCACAAGTGAACAATAGAAAACAAATATTGAAAAATTTAAATACTAGTTTACAATAAATCAATCTGAAGAATATTTTACTATTCGTATGTACTTTTCTCAAATTTAACTTCTTTTCTGGGTTTTGATGATTCTCTTTTCCATGATCTCATTATTTTTTCGGTTTGTTGAAGTATTTTCTGATGACTTGTCCTCATGCCTGCTTTATCTGTTGAATCTAACCATGTAAACGTAACTCCTTCTACGGAGAAAAGCTAAATGTATGAGGAGAAAAAACACAGATTATATATTTATTCCGGAAAGTTTAAGTTTGTTCAAACTGATTGAATTGACCTTCATTTGATTTTATGCAACTTTAAGTCGACTAGTAAACTTTAAATTACAAAACTGTTGATTCGTTATTCAACTGAAAGTCTTGATATAGTGTTCACTCTCATCTACACGATTCTTAGTAAAAATTTAATTTTATATTCTTCACTGGTTGAATTATATGCGATGAAAATTTTTCTATGATTATGAGTGCAATGATGGTTTGTAATACTGTTGCCGAAATAAAGTAAGCGTTGTTCAAAAAGTCTATAATACGAGAAAAAGAAACTATTTACATAATGTGGCAGATTTTTTTTATTTAGATACATTTTCTGCATACATTCATCTACCTAACTCAAAGTCTAAATTCAGTGATAAATAAATATATAGTTCAATTATGTACATGTAAGAATCTTCAACGACCATGAACACGTTGTTAAAACGTACAGATCATTTTCGATTGATTAATTTCGGTTAACTAGCTACTCAAGAATCACAGGATCTAACGTGACAGTGTTTACAGCCAATAATATTCTTTAGGAAACTCTATACAATTCGAAAACCAGTTAGTTCTATCTATTACATCACAACTGGTTATACTACCTAGCTGTCTAAACATCCATACTTGGGGAAAGATTTAAACCAATGGGAAATTTGTCAAATGAGCTTCAACTCCATGAATTTTCGTAAATTGATTCTTTCGGTCTAGCAATTGGTTAGCGTAGATTGAATAAACGTCAAACCTCTTATTTGCTTAAATCATTGACATTTACAAAGTCTAAGAGAACTATAGAAATTCCCTTTTCACATATCATTTGCAACGTTTTACTCTATTTGAGCACTATCGACACCTTAGTGACCTGCATATAGGACAGGTTCATTAAGTTTTTCAATCTACATAATCTGAAGGTTTATCGTTGACATATTTCCATCTCAATAGTCTCTAAATCTACTTTTCAGAATATTAAAATTAACTGATATCCTTCTACGATGCGTTTTTAATGTCTTACTTCTATCAGTGTTTAAAGAAATCTTGTTTAAACTTTGGAAAAGGGATTTCATATCTTGAGAAAACTTTAACATATTGTGCAAATAGTAGCTTCAACAGTATATCATTCTGTAATCATAGTTTTTTGTTTATTAAAACGGGTAAACTAAACTCTTAAAAATCTCACATCGCAGTCTACAGGTTTCATATGTAGTGCTAATCATCTGATTACTATCCTATAGAAGGAAATATTAAGTGTAGACCATAAGAAAGACAATATGTTATTCTGTGAATAGGTACAAAGTGTATGTAGTATTTTTTTCCAAATATGAATACGATAAAAGATATCAGACTTAGTTAAATATCAATGTGTTTACTGACAACTCATATGACATTCCATTAACATAAGACTGAAGCAATGTGATCAAAGCGAAATGAAAGTTTGAAAATGTAGTGAAGGAGTTCTCATCATGAATCAAAATCAGCCACACAAACATTGAAAAAGTGGTCACACTGAACTTCTGAGACGTGATAGTTTGAGAATCCTCAACAGTACATTGTTATAACACGATATGCAATCCAACGCAGGATCGTTAGGCTTCGCAACCAGCCCATTACCATTCAACCACAAGGTTATAGTCCAGTTATCGACTTTTTCCAATGTAACACGACGATCATTCAGTGACGCAGACAAGTGTTTGTTCTCACTACCAATTCAGTTGACTCCATATATCATAGCTTCTAACTAGAGCTTTGGACAACTCATCAAAAAACAAGTGACTGGTGGTCATTGATGTCACGGTTGAGTACTGTTGAGAAGTTTTAAACTAGGAGGAAACAGCTGTTCAGATTTTCAAATATTCCCTGGCTGATATAAATTCGTGATAAACGCTCTACACAAACCTCCAGAGTGAAGTTCTGGAAGTTTGACTACTGTCCAAACTTGAGTTTTAGCGGACACAGCCTTTGACATCGTCCTAGGCTTCAGCTTCATTATATCTTCATAAAAAGAATGATCTAACTATTCAAAAAGCTACAGTCTAAGCTAAAAACACTTAACACCATAGTAAACAGAGTTTATCATACCTGTAAAAATGTGTCGTTATATGAATGTGAATTACGAATGTGTATGTGTACTGCAGTCGGTTCAATCCAAGCATGGTCTGTATTGATTGCATCATCCAAATATCCGGTATGTATCTGTTAAAACGTAAGTCAAATGCATCAATATACATAAAATAACAGTAAATCATTGGAATTCTCTGATCTAATAATAAGCTAGAAGTTTTCCTTCCAAATATACTTTTAAGTGTATGTACGTACGTTGATAGAAAATACGGGTGATGAATAAGAGGGCATTTCAGAATGTATGAGAAACTTGTTCATTAGCTGATAGAAACAACTTTGCCAGTACTTAAACAATAAAAACAACAAAAATAAATGAAATTTCAGTATTTCTAGGAAGCCGGTCTTAAAACTTACGATACTGAATAATTGTTCTTAATTTTAAAATTGCCATTAATTGCAGCTAAAATCTTACACATCATTACGTGTACCTACGAAATCATTGCCAGAATGATATTTTTATTGTTGCCTAGAAGAAATGAAATATATTTAGAGGTTAGTTTGATTATCTCTGATAGCCGTGGTTTGATAAACTGGTATTATTGATATCAGGTGATGATTGAAGGTGAAATGAAAATGTGGGTAGTGGCAGGATAAAACCGGAGACGAAACTAGGTCTCTTAGATCAGTTGATACAGCACTGGGCAGTTAACTCAGAGGTCGCTTGTCTTGAAGCCTACCTCAACCTAGATTTTCATTTCACCTTCAATCCCCACTCACTATGTTCAGAAATGTTGTCCAGCTTTTCCACTTTTTCATCTTGGGTAGTTGTAACCAAATGTTTAAAAACTGAGCATCCAGACTTCTCTTATTGCTATAGTTTGTCAAAATACCTAATAAAGCAATAAGTCAGTCCTGGTTGCATTGTGTTCTCTGAGCTGGCTATTTTAGTCGTGTAGCTTTCATCGTCTTTCTAGACAACATCATCACCACCGACTTCAGTATGATGTGGGCTGTCAATATCTCTCCCTGAGTGATTTAGTAGCTTGCTCTGACAAACTGGCTTGTGATTGGTTGTTCCCTTTGTTTGTTTGTCATTGACTGCATCGATTTTCCTGTTGGCTATTCCTCTGCTTGACCTGACCTCTAACCTTTCAGTCGTTTGTCATTTTTTTCATTGGTTGGTAGATTGGGTCTGTGTCTATACATCTGTTGATTGCTGAATGACTGACCTGAATGCCAAGCTTCTAGGAATTCTCTCATATTCTTTGTGTTTCCTCTCTCCATCCAAGATTTCTACATTGTCGAAACTGAATTCATGTCCACAGTTGTTATCCACGTGCATTGAGATGAGTGACAAAATGTCGTGACGTTTAATAGCTAATAGGTGTTCATGTAGCTGAAGGCGATGAGGGCGGCCACTTTGTCGAATGTATTGTTGACTACAGTTATTGCAGTTGATTTTGTAAATGATGTTCAGTTTGTCTTTTTTAGTTATTAGATCCTTTGTTCTGCTTAATAGTATTTGGAGGGAATTTGTTGGTTTATGAGCCACACCAATCCCACTAAGTGGTCTCAGCAATCTTGTTGTAATTTCTGATATATTTTTATGTATGGTAGGACGATGCGTTTATTGATTTCAGTCAGTCAGCAATCAATAGATGTATAGACATAGACCTAATCTATCAACCAATAAGAAAAACGATAAACTACAGAAAGGTCAGAAGTCAGGTCAAACAGGGGAACAGCCAACAGGTCAACAGCTTACTAAATTACTCTGAATGGTCAATCAGTACTAACGTGCAATCACCAGCCATATCAGAGAAAGTAAAAACGTATGTCTTGGATAAAATATTGTATTAGTAAATAATAAGACCACACTGGATATTTTCCATGAATATGGCACATCAGAATTTCTGAATTTCCACCCTATGATGTCGGTGTCAGGCCAAACCAGTTATGACATATGTGTTTCTCTATATGACCGTTTTACCTACTATATTCTATCATTAGGACGGTCGCCGAAACCTTTGACGTATTTTGTATAGGTTCCAGTGAGTGGATTCAAGAATTATGAATAGTGACTATAGTATACTAGCAATATGCAAAGATCGTTCATTGCTACGGGTGTGATATTTGAACACCCATTGGTTTTGATCGAAAGTTCAATGTCATTTGCTAAGTCGCTGACGAGGTTACTGTCTTTGCACTCTTCATTTCATCATCATTCGCTTTATCACAACTCATTTTTCTGTTTCCGTGAATCCACTCGATTTTCCTTGCTAAGTGGGGTAGCCTTGATGTATAAAATCACTTATTAATGCAAAGATGATACTTTAATTTAAAAGAAAAAGTGAATCAATATCGGATTTGAGCATTCCTGTTGGTGATTTGTTGAATTAGTGGAGGATATTTGTAGCTCAGGTCGCTAGTATTGGTCGTATTGTGTTCTCTGAGCTGGGTTGTTTAATCGTATTTACCTTTGCCAGAGAGAGAAATATTTTAGCATTCTTCTTCAGTAGGTTACGTCACTGACATATTTAAACTTGGGAAGGTAAGGAGTTGTACGAAACAATGAAACCTTCAAATGCACCATGAAATATTCAAATGAAAGTCGGCTCTGATTCCGCGTAGGATTAAATTTAAAAGTTATGCTTCTTTGTTAGTTTTCGGGAAATTTATGACAAGTAGGTAACCTAAAGAGTTGAAGTGATTTCTCACATTTACTGTTTTGTATTGTTTGTGTATTTACACACATATTATTATTATTATTATTATTATTATTATTATTTGTCCTTTGGGTTCCTAATGGAACGTAAGGCTTGAGTAGCACATCTCCAGTGACCTCTGTTCTCCGAAATCTTTTGAACCTGGCTCCACGACAGCCCAGAAGCTCTCATTCCCTCCTCGTACGATCTCCTCCATGTCACCCTCGGACGCCCAACTAGTCGCTTCCCATCTGGGTTCCACTCGAGGGCCTGGAGCGTGATGTCCCCAGTCGGCACACAATATGCTCGTTGTTATTAGAGTGCCTATTAGTAAAAGCTGCATATTTTGTAAATAACAGCCTAATGTTACAAGATAATGCTATTTCTATAAGCCTAATGTAAAAATGAAAAATCACAGCTTATAAATATATGAAACTCTGCTTAAAGGCAAATGTCATGAAAATAGGAGGAATTAGAAATTTAACGAAACAGGAAAGAAGGGGACAGTAAGCCTGTAAGATACAAGCTAGTGGCTAATGCATACGTTTTTAAGTGGCTATTATAACAGTCTCCGAAGTAAAAATGATACAGTTTCATCTGCAAATGAAATATTACATTAAACGATCTACCAAGAATATATATTTGGCATTATTTTTTAAGGTGAAGCAGTGAACGCTTCAGTTATTTATCAAAGAGTAATGCTCATTTTTAGACATGTTCAACTATTTATTTAATAAAGTTTATCATTTTTAATCAGTAATTCCGACCTGAACTATCCGCAGTTTCACTCGTAACGATATTTGGTAAAATAAATATAGATAATAATGATGGATAGTGCCTAGCAGTGGAATCTAGGATACATACTTCGTCCTATTTGAGTCTTGTCAGCTAGATGTAACTGGCTTCTAGTGAGTGGTGTTGTTCCCGAAGGGTATAATACAAGCAACAACACGAAAATTATACCCGTCGCACAAGAAGTGGATATCGTAGCTCAGTGGTCTAGTGGGTAGCGCTCTGGCATTTGAAGCGATCGGCCCGAGTTCGAGTCCCGGTTGAAACGACACTCACTAGGAGGTAGGCAGTATCATGGGGTCCGTACAGGAGCACATAAGCCAACAGAGACCTATGAATTTGGTCCAATTAACGACGGTGTAATACAAGCAATAACACTAAATATGGATAATAACAAGAAACATATTCAGGGAACTCACTATAGTTGGGGGAATCTGCTTAACCTTTGCACTGCTTCCTGAAGAACTGACTGGTTTTTTGGATTTAATTTGATTAACTGTCGCATACGGCTGTGTATGATAGACTCAATTATTTCTTTTGTACACGTTTCTGGTTTACAACCAGAAGGGTGTTGAACCAAAAGCTGAAGTTTATTGAAAAAAAGTTATTGTTATATAAGAAAAAAAGAAACAATGGATCTCATGTTAATTTGTACAGCATTGGAAGAATGGTAATGAAATATTTCGAAAGCAAAAGGTATAATATAACCCATATTCATGGTCCGTTACTGGTGAGTAAGCTTAAAGTTTGCATCAGAAGTTATAATATTATGACTATTCATGTTGTCACTTTACATCTACCAAAATAAATGGAATGCGAATGGTTGGATGAAACTTAGAAAATTCGTTTTGGTTATTTAACAAGTTAAATAATATTAGTTTATTTATAGAATTGATGATTTTCCGTGCTTAGTCTTGTTTACACAGCTGAAGCAAAGCCTCTTCATGAAACTCTAGAGATTACACGTCAACATTCTGATCTGTTTTACATGCTTACATTGGGATACAAACACTTGTTAATACTGGCCAAAAGATCTTGCTTTTAGCTAGGAAAATCCGATATTTAGCCATACATATTACTAATATGACGCTATCAGCTGAGTGACAATATTTGAATTGGCGGATCATTTTTTGAGAAGTACTTTTGTACTAAAGCTTGCTATTAAAAATCTAAGCGAACAAAAAAATATTTTAGATAATTAGCCCGCCTTATAAACTTCGATAAAACGATAGAAGATATAATTTGCTTGAATCGTGCTATGTATTTGCGTAACATATTTCGAACAATCTGATCGCACAATTACTTATCATAGGTATTCATGTGAAAGGTTCTAAATAGAAAAGGGATTAGAACATGAAAGGATGTCAAGTAGTAAGGCAAAATTAAAGATCAAAAACAGAATGAAAATTTATAGAGTAAGGATGATAGTACACTGAGCTTCATTGCAGGGTTGAATTCACCTAAAGATGTTTCATGTAATAATAAAGCATGCAATATGGGCCTGCACTCCTTAATAGCTAAAGCCTCGACAAATACAAAGATCTGCCCTCAACACGTTTGATAAATGGGTTTAAAGGATTTAGAAACATCTATCCTGTGGCCTGCCTAAACGATATGTTTCTCAATAGAAGAACTTGAGCGTCTGTTGCCAACGTTTATAGGTCCAGGTGATTTAATTTACCTTTGAAGCCACCTTGGAATATATTCCGAGGCCCTTACATTTATGGATATGAGGTTATCATGTCTGTGTGTTTCACCATCCATACATTTAAATTTGTAGACTTAGTGGGATGTGACAGTACCGTTCATATGCTGCAAAGGTCAAAGTGGGTAAACGAACTTGGTGATTTCTACTAACCTGACCATGGCCAAATACTTTCTCCATCTAACAGCGATGTTTAGCCTCTGCTCAGGCATCGCACCATAAGATTCATCTTTATAAAGAAGATTGATAAAGACGTCTTTTTTGGGACGAAGTAAGCAACAGGTTTTGGACTGTAGCCACTTCCTACCAACTAGTAAATTTTGATGGATACTTGTTTTTCAGAAATGTTTAAGTGAACATTCTTATCACCACTATTATATCATTTGTGTATATCCGTTGCTTTCCATGGAATAACCACCTAACTAACGGTCACTTGTACTGAACTGAACCAAAAGCTATGATGATTCAAATATCGCTAACCATGTAAGTTTTCTTTACGCAGATGGTCTTAGAGATCCATCTGTGGTCAAATAATTAGTATATCTAAAACAGACTTGCAGTAATTTTCCTCTTCTACATATACATCAGAGAAATGTTCTTCTGTGCTTCATTCAATCAGTCTAAAACTGGAGTGGACTTATTTGACTTAGCACTTGTAATTAAGATATCATCAAGATATCTTCGATATTCATGGGCTTTCTCACTTAGCCTCTCTGATAAATTTCCCAGGTGTAACATATACATGTCTGCTAAAAATTTGTTTATGGACACTAGGTTTGCGTTCATTGTGACTGCAAATCCAGTTTTATGGACAATGATTCCTTCAACAGAATGGATAATAAATACCCTTTAGAAGTTTATTTATTGTAGCAATTGTTATTTTTAACTCTGAAGGAAGTAATAGTGTTTTTTCAGTCAACCAGAAACGACTCCAAAGTGAAAATAGTTGATTCATAAATAGGTTGAAAGGAAAGTTAACAATAGTCAAAAAAAATACTTGATAGTCAACAGTTACCTACACAGAATTATTTGTAAATGTCGTACATGTAAACGTGACAAACCAGAGATAATTGCCATCAACATCAACCGGATATTTATTCACCCTGGGGTCATATGTGCTGCTATCAAATGAACACTGAACTGAACAGTTTACTTCTTTACTTATATTAGTTCTCCTATTACGGATAGCTTATTAGCTATGCTTCTCGGAATCTATCTCAGAAGTACAAACGGAACTGATGGTATGCTGACTTTCCAAATGAGATATAATGTGGACAATAAATATTCACTTTGAGTAACTCATCGACACTGTTGTTTCTTATTACTTTGTACATCATATGACAAAATATTTAGAAAAAGGAAAACCAACTAGAATAACTAATAAACACTCAAATGGCTTTAAATATGTTGTCTTCTCCCTTTTCTACCTAACTACGGACAGATAAGGCATATCAATTTTCTCATGATGTGATCTTTTCCTACTATTCTTGTGATCATAGCTATTTCACCATCTCGTGTTGTTCATTATCTGGAACAAATTAGGATTAACAATTAAAGTGTTCATGAGAATGATCAAAGTGATCTACTCTAAGCTTCTCCAGTCTTGTTTATCAGGCTATTTTTTAACAGATTCTACTTCTCACTTTGTTTTCCCCCCAATTAATTTCGATAACTTATATGTAGTTATAAATAATGTAATAAAACACAGATAAATTTACATTTACTTCAAGTTCCGTTGTTTGTAGTTAGAGTATCTCTGAAACCACCTATTACTGCTGCGAAGTCTAATGACTTAAGTTTGGAATTTTCGATTGACTAACACAAAATCTTGGCTAATGGTTTTCTTTACCAAATCGACTTTTGCTATGTTATGTCACGTCTAAGCCTTAACAACCTGTACTATCTTGTGATAATATTGGGTCTAATATCCGTTGCCTACAGCTATTATCATTACTTGGGAATGACGCAAACCCTGAGGTTTGTTAACCTGTTAACTAATGATGGTATGGTTATACCAGTGAACTTTTTTAGCCATTAACACTTATATGATTTTAAAACAATTAGTTCCCTTTATAAACTTCGACGTAAATTGTCTGAACCGTGTAATGCATTTGCGCAACACATTTAGAACTATCTGATCACATACGTACTTGTCATTTATATAAAAACTCATGAAGATAAGGGGTGAGAAAATAAAAAGGGGGTCAGGTAGGAAGGCTGACTTAAAGGCCGAATAACAATGAAAATCAATAGAGCGAAAAATAACAGTACATCGAACTTGGTTTTTCAATAGTTGAATTTACCAAGGAAGGTTTAATGTGACAACAAACACATAAAGGTGGTTTCAACAAATTTCAGGATCCCTCCCCAACATGTTTTGTAAATAGGTGTAAAGGATAGTTCGAAATGTGTTGCGCAAATGCATTACACAGTTCAGACAATTTACGTCTTCTTATTGTTTTGTCGAAGTTTATAAAGGGAACAAATTGTTTTAAATTCTTGAACAAATGACTCCCTCCGCACACTATCAAATGGTTAAATGAACTTGTTAACCTTAGGTGCAAAATTACCTCTGAACCCGAGGGAATTGGATTTTGCCAGTCATGTATTTCAGGTCATATGTTTGCCAAACAGTTTTACAAAACTTTGGAATCTAATAAGCTACAGCCAAACATCTCCAATCTTATGCGTCTTACAAAGTCACATGTCGAAAATGGGCAGGATAAGCTGCATGATATGCTTTTACTCCACATCAATGTATCAAATATTCTATCGGATTTGTCAATAATATGTCGTTTGAAATTCCTACAATTTTGTAGTAATGTCATTCTCAAAACGAAAGTCAATATGCATCAGAAGCTAACCAGTTCACTTGACAGTAAAAATCATATTAACCATTTCCCTGTTAACCCGGATAAGTACGTTACTAACCTTTCTACAGTGACACTGTCCACCTATCAGAAGGAAGCCCTATCCCTTGGACTTAAATTTTGTGTTCCTCGAAAGCAGTCATCAGATTTGGCTACCCATGCACAGTTTGAAAACCTATACAACCAGTTGAAACCTCTCGTCCCAACTTCAATTGAGGACCAGGGATGGCTGAAAGCCAAGATGGTGGATATCGCCCACCAGTTTTGTGATAGCCATCAGAACCAGAAAAGCATTCTAACTTCTGAACATTTCAGAGCTATGAAGGAACTACGAGAGAACCCTGATATTATTATCCTCAGACCTGACAAAGGCTCAGGTGTCGTGATCATGGATAAAATCGAATATAAGTGTAAAATGTCATCGATTCTTGAAGATGAAAATAAATTCACTAAGGATTGTTCTTCAGAAGACGTACAATTGTTACAGGGAACTGTGACCACTAATCTAGTGAAACTGCTCGAAATGAACGTCATTACCAGTCAAAAATTCGCCCTACTGAAACCAACTGAATCCCGATTCCCACATCTTTACGGTTTGCCCAAAGTACATAAACCCAACAACCCCTTACGTCCCATAATGTCAATGTGTAAGTCGCCAACGCATAAGCTTGCCCAGTGGCTAGTGGAGTTATTGGATCCCATTAAGAAGCAATTTTGTAAGTATTCCTTAAAAGATACATTTGAAGTAATCAAATGCCTTGAGCATGTCAACATAAAGAGTAAATTTATGTGTTCATTTGATGTTAACTCATTATTTACCAATGTCCCTTTGGTCAAGACAATTGACATTTTATGTGGTTATATTTCTGTGCATAAGTTTCCGATACCCATTACTTTGGATCACCTAAAACAGCTGTTACTTTTATGTACAAACAATATTAAATTCACCTTTGAGGGCGAACATTTCCGCCAGGTTGATGGTGTCGCTATGGGAAGTCCTTTAGGTCCCCTCCTAGCCGACATATTTATGTCACACGTTGAGAACTTAGCCGAGAACTTAATAGACCAAGCCCATCTGTATCGAAGATATGTTGACGATATCCTGATTATTTGTGAAAACTCAAATCAGGCTACTTCAATTCTAAACCGACTGAACGAAGTACAGAACAGCATATCTTTGACATGTGTAAGAGAGGAAGATGACTGCTTGCCGTTCCTAGATATATTAATTAGTCGAAGGCAGGATGGATCCATAAAACGATCTATCTACAGAAAACCTACATGGACAGGGCAATATCTGAATTACCATAGCTTTTGCCCAGTTCAGTACAAGCGAACGTTAGTAAGGTGCTTATTCAGCAGAATTCAACGAATATGCACCGAGGATACTTTAGAAGATGAAAGAGGAACACTGACCGATATTTTGTTGGAAAATAACTATCCATCAACATTTATCAGGCAGAACAAAATCAGCAGAGCGTCAAAACTAGAACTGCAGTCAGTCCCAAAGAAGGATGTCTTCATCAGCCTTCCGTACAAAGGTGACTCTCAGAGTGCAATCCTTAAGCAGAGACTTAACGCTGCTGTTAGAAGGACTTACTATGCAGCCAGGGTTCGAGTAATCGAAACCACGAAGCCCTTATATTCCCCCAAACCCCCACAGCATGTGAACGATAATGTCACATCCCATTGTATCTACCAATTCAAATGTACGTGTGGTGACACATACATAGGGAGGACTAATAGATCCATGCAAGTAAGGGCCTCGGAACATATTCCAAAGTGGCTTCAGAAGCAAATTAAATCACCTGAACCTATAAATGTTGGTAGCAGACGTCCAAGTTCTTCGATCGCTAAACATATCGTTGAGACAGGTCACAAGATTGATGTGGCTACTTCCTTTACACCTATTTACAAAACATGTTGGGGAGGGATCCTGAAATTTGTTGAATTTTTTTTTTTTTTTTTTTTTTTACCACCTTTATGTGTTTGTTGTCACATTAAACCTTCCTTGGTAAATTCAACTATTGAAAAACCAAGTTCGATGTACTATTATTTTTTCGCTCTATTGATTTTCATTGTTATTCGGCCTTTAAGTCAGCCTTCCTACCTGACCCCTTTTTATTTTCTCACCCCTTATCTTCATGACTTATATGATTGCTTATCCTATATACACCACTGTGTTATATTTCCAGCTGTATTGTTCGGCATTTAATGCTAATTCTAGTATTCATTTCAGTGAAAGTCATTTCTAACAACTCTCTACTTTAAATATTTCATTGATAATAGTATCAGAGAATAGCAATCTCTTAAAAGTAGTATGGCTTGCGTGACTCGCCGTAGGGAAGGCAGTTAATCGGAAAAAAGACGCCTCTTAATTATTTTGATTATTTGCTAGTCTCACCTTTACTATATAGTTGAATAGTTCATTTTTCAATACCCCCTACCTATTGTTATCATTGGTGAAGGCAAGTCGAATGAAAAATAGTGGTTTTATAAAGCATGCTTTTGTGAGCACAAGAAAATGACTAGCTATATTGATTAAGTACTTGTGTGTTAGGTGTGCTGCACATATATATAATCGCATAGATAGCTACGGTTTATCCAAATTGCTCAAAAGGTTGTGGATACAGAGCTGTATGAAGAGGATTGAATTTACTAAGACATAATTATCTAGCAGCACATAGGCTAAATGAAACCTTTCTTGAAAAACGCATTCAGCTATACGATATAACACTTAACATCATAAAACTGCTTTCAACCACAGGCAAATAGTGAAAATTTACTGAACGACTTTAGTGAAGTGCGTTGTAAAATGATACAGCTACCACATAAAACAGATCATCTAGGTAATGAACAATATAATTATTACTTTTTAAGCACTTCCTTTCCTAACGGGTAAAGAAAGAAATTACTTGAATGAATAATAATTTGATTCAGGAAAAGTATTTTGAAGCTAGGATGTGAATCTTGTGTTTAAATCTTTCTGCAGTTCGTGGGATGGGGTTGATAAGTAGCAAATATACCAGTCAATAGGGAGGAAAAAATCTAAATGCACTCAATAACTATATACATGTTCGTACAGTAGGTAAAGAGCCATACTTCCTATATGAGATTTTATGATAATACCTCAGCTTGTTTAGTGGATTTTGAACTCCTGACCGTCTGATTAAAAGACAGATGTCTAAATCGGTGTGTACAGCAGCCTATGAGAGAAGACGCGCTGAAAGGGAAGAAAAACTACAGACTATTTTTTTGTGAAGATGAGGTTTCATTTGCAGTGTACTTTTTGATCAGAGTGAAAAACTCAAGACCTAGTTCGAGCAAGCTTTCATGCCTTTTCCCTGCCAACATGTTCAATCAACAGATATGTAAAACATCACTGTTTTTCAATCGTTCTCTGATTATCTGATCTAGTTCTTTCAACCGGGAAGTACACTAATGTATTCTGATTTTTTCTGTACATATGCACAGTTAAATCAGCAATCAGTGGCTTGATGCATATTGGGTTTGTCTTAGTTTCATCTTGTCAAGACTTATTCTTCTTTCACTCTGAAAATTATCGCATAAAAGTTTCGCAGTCAGCTAAGTTTCTTCAGATTCAGTACAGTTTCTAGTAGCTTATTTATCAAGGCTAAGACCCTGGTACGAATTCCCATAATCTCTAGATTTTGAATTACAACAGACAACGATGAAGTGCAGAAGAGGATCTTAGTAGAACAATTAAGTTAGTTTAACCAGTTCCTAATCCCAATATAACCCATTTAGATGAACTTTATTACGGAACTTCAAGATCTGAAGGTTTTGATTAGCTATAAAACAACTATGCAAAGAATAGTTGGTGTAAACTGTGGATTCATAGGAGAACATGTCACCATTAACTTGGGTGTCTGACGTTCATTGAAAAAGAACTGTTAATATAGTAACTCACCCATGGTAATTGTGAACCTAATAGATGTTTATAGGCTATAAATTTAAAAGAACTAGTTGTTACATCACTTGGTCCACTTGTTTGATCACTTGAACTTCTTGTAACCAAAAGTATAATGGCTGAGTTTGGTCCCCACAGTGGTAAATGTCCTTTGCCGTTGACTCCAGTGCGACCACCAGGATTTTTTTGGAAGGCCATTCCCCAGGTCCGTTGGTAAGGAAATAGATGATGATTGTAATTCAAGTTTTCTTTCCTCTGACAGCTTTTCGTAGTCATTTGGTTCACTCCACCCTTCAATTATATAAACTGGTGGTTTCCAGCCCAAATACAGTGGTTTCTGTATTTTCTTCTGTCAATAAATACAGATATTTAACGTCATAATGAGTCAGTCTGATGTGTTTTAAGCATACAGAAATTTATATGTATAGCAATGGGAATTAGAAGCATCGAATAATTATTTTTGTATTTTCAACTCCTACAAAGCTCTGGAAGGTTTTCTAAAACCTTGTAACAGTTCATGCTTAAGAGGAGATGGTTTTTTAAATGTCTCTCATGCTTTTCACTTGTTTTTAAATTGGTTACAGTTTCTGATGAAAACCAACTGAGAGGAAACAAAATTCAGAAAGATAACAGAATCAACCAAAGATTACTGAACACAAGAGTTGACTTGATGATGAGAATTACCTTTTATTTGTGTTCACTGATACCTCATCTGAATAACTGAGTGGAAAGTGAAACGAAAGCAAGACAATAATCTACAGTTAATCATCCAGGTCTTATGCCGTTCGATACTTATTGGTTGAATCACAGTTTTCATGCGTAAACTAAGTGGGAAAGAATTTCGTTTCAGAATAAGTACTATACTTGTGTGTTATTTTATTGAAGTTTTCAGGTTCTTTCACCACCCCTTTTTATCACTTTCAGAGATCAAGTGATATTTAAACCTATTGAATATAATTTCTGCATAAAAAGCTGTTCATAGTTATGTTGTTGGACGTTGACTAGTAAGATGGGCTAGTCAGAAACAACAATGGAAACTACACCATTATGGTATTTATTCAATGCTGCAATTATTTCAAGTCATTACATATTGACCTGATTTCAAACGTCCATAAAGACTGAGAAGTGTTGTTGATTAGTCAGTTAAATAGACAGACATATGAGTAAGCTTAGACTTTATTGGTTCGTTTTGACAAAGTGTTCACGCTAAGATATCCTATGCTCCATGTCACTTAATAAATTTATGGCGAAATACCGTAGTGAATGACAAGAAAATTGCTCTGCAATTTCTGTTTAGTAACCCGGAGACTGTTCTACTTAAGCGTTCACACAACCTCATGAAGTAAGTCTAGAATGAGTAACTTGAGCCTGGACATTAAATATTTACAAGCAGTATCTGTATTACATTAAAATGTCAAAATAGGTGTAAATGAACAGAAAGTTTGGGTGACTTTAAAGGCTACTCTAACAAACATTGAAATGACCAATCAGATTTCTTCATTTCGACTGGGAAGGCAGATTTCCATAAAACTGGAAAATCTAATTGGTCATTTCAGTCTTTCCCTAGGTGGCCTTTAAAGTCACGCAAAGTTTTACGTTATAAAAAGGACTATATACTTTTGTTCTAAAGTAGGTTTTTTCTACTGGGAGTAGTTTGCAGAACTCAGTAATCTGCGCATTACTGTTGGCATTTTGTACATAATATGGCGAGCCGGATTAAAGCTGAGTAATTTGTACTAAATAAACCACATCAAAGTAGGGAATGCAGTTGGGAACAATGCTTACATGACATTAGGATAGGTCATCAGAAAGGTACTTGAAGAATTTGATACAACGAAAAGTTTGGAAAATATCCCGTAAACCTCATAACGTGGCACTGAGATTTTACAATTATGAACTAATGTACGAAAGACTGACTATTTTAAAAGTAATATAATGTGATGCATCATTGTCCTGCTTTTATTTTTATATTTCATATTGAATAATGTAATTCACCAAAACACTGATATTGATTAGGGGTTAGTCAGTTAATTAACTTCATGTTGATAATAACTTTCTTTCTAATAATCATTAAAAAAGTCTCATTACATTCTGTGGACCATAAATACGATTTCACATGGAAGTGAATTTCTTCTATCCTTCCTAACTACTTTCAGTACCTCCAAAATGGTGAGTTCTTATAGAATGACTTTTAGATTTGTTGGTATCTGGCATGAATAGTTCTGGTTTCTGATATACATTCATTATAAGCATTAAATATTAACACCTTGCAAAGACAAGTGACTAAAACCTTTATCGATCATTTACTGACTATTATCATCTATTAAGTCACTAGTAGTTTAAATAAAGATGCAGGTAAAGGTAGTCAGCAGAATTACGCATACCTCCTGTTCCTCCTTCACCATGGGAGCGATATTTATGAGAACATGTGAAATAAATCTTTGACATTTTTCAGCCGGCAACCAACTGCTGATCAGCAGCATACTCAATAGATGCGGTGAATGTATATCAACTGACAAAATAAGAATAAAGTGTTTTGAGCATGTACATTAAGCGACCACCACCTGCAATTCGTCCAGAAATACCACCAGCAGCCACAGAAATACTAATGAACACAAATCCTCCAACAAAAGTAGAAGTCCTAAACGCCATAAAGCTACTGAAATGTGGGAAAGCAGCAGGAACAGATGGAATCCCACCAGAAGCACTGAAAACAGACGCAGGGACAACAGCGGACATCCTCACACCACTATTGCAGAAAGTCTGGAGGGAAGTAAAGGTACCTGGCGATCGGAAGAAGGGCTACCTTGTCAAACTCTCGAAGAAGGGCGACTTATGTCTTTACGAGAACTGATGCGGAATCACGCTGCTGTCCCTGTCCACCCGGAGCAAGCAAAATATTAATCCGCATCATCCTGGAGAGACTAAAGGATGTGCTGGATTCAAAACTAAGACCGCAACAGGCTGGCTGGCTTCAGGAATTACAAATCATGTGCGGAACAAATTGCAACGCCACACTATGCATCATCATAGAACAGAGCATAGAATGACAATCAACCCTCTACCTCAACTTGATCGACTGTGTAAAGGCCTCCGACAGCGTTGACCGACAAGTAATTTGACAGTTGCTTCAACACTATGGAATACCGCAAACCTTTATCAGCCTCATTCAACAACTATATGAAGACGCCACATGCCAAGTGATCCACAATGGAAAGCTCAGTGACGCCTTTGAAGTGAACACAGGAGTGAAACAAGGCTGCCACCTACTATCGCCCATGATATTCCTGATTGTAGTGGACTGGATCATGCAACAAACAGTAAGGAACGAGAAGAAGTGGATACGCTGGACCGATGAAAAGAACCTAGAAGATTTGGATTTCGCCGATTACTTGTGTCTGATGTCGCACAAACTTGAAAGTGTACAGACGAAAACTAACAAGTTGACAGAAGAGGCAGGGCAGGGTAGCGAAAACGGGACTTCAAGTGAATATAGAGAAGACAGAGGTGATGAAGATACCCAACCAACAACACCATCAACGACAACAAACTCCGATCAACATCAACGGGAGAAACCTAAAGAAAGTAGACTCTTTCACCTATCTAGGCAGCACTGTTTGAACTACAGGTGGCACAGGCACAGACGAAGACGTCAAAGTCAGGATCGGAAAGACAGCAAGACACGCGTTCATTAGCCTGAAATCAGTATGGAGACCTTCTGCACTCAGCATGTGGAACAACATCCGGATTTTCAACATCAACATCAAGTCAGTGCTTCTGTATTTCTAAGAGATTTGGTGCATTACGAAAGGCATTTCCAACAAACTACAGACATTCATCAACGACTGAAGATCAGATGGATTGCCAGAATAATAAGAATAAGCAACAAGGAACACACTTTGGCAACGAACCAACCAAGAAGCTATTGCTGAACAAATATGCACTCGAAGGAAGTGGAGATGGATTGGGCATGCACTGAGAAGGCCGATTGGGGACATCATGCTCCAGGCCAGGCCGTTGAGTGTAACGCAGATGGGAAGCGACGAGTTGGGCGTCCGAGGTGAGGGTTACGTGGAGGAGGTCGTACGAGGAGGAAATGAGAGCTTGTGGGCTATCGTGGAGCCAGGTTCAAAAGATTTCAGAGAACAGAGCGCATTGGAGATGTGCTAGTGAAGCCCAATGTTCCATTAGGAACCCAAAGGACAAATAATAAATAATAATAATAATGTACACTTACATCCCATGGTATAGGATCTGGAAACAGACGTGGTGTACGATCTGCTGTTGGTGGTACAAATGCTGCAAATCTATGCCATTGCTTTTCAAAAACAACTAACTGACTACTTTTAGTTGTTTGTATCACTTTCGATACGGTTTCTTCGGCGGATTTGGAACGAGAGTACTCTGTACCCTGTTTTCCTTGTTCTACAAAACAAAAATATAAAATAGGATTGTCATTCATCAAACTAAGACTTCTACTTGGTTAGTAACTCTAGCATATATTTAAGGCACTCATTACAAAGCATAAAAATTCGTTGATAAAATCCAAGTAAACTGGTTAGCTGAATTGGTCTTACCTAAACCTCTTAGATATTCATCTTTGAGAGGTTCGAAAATTTTTAGCTTTGTATTAATTGCAAAACTGCTAATCCGAATGTTCGAGAAGTAGCAGTTGATAATTTCGAAGTTTATTCAATTTTTCCATGTTAAGAGCTGTGGTTCAGTGGCCTACTGAATCAACTTGTAGGCATTGATGTTTTGATTGGAATCCAGATCTACCTAATTCTGTCTTCGAGACTAGATAGTATTGTAAATCCTCATTCATTAAATATGGCTCACAGCCTAGTACAAAAGCTATTATGCCATCTCCTTGAAGTGATCAAGAGTTTGCCCTTATGATTTCTAATCTAAGGTGAAAATGCTATCTAAGGTAAGTTAATTCTGTTTCCGAGCCAACGAATAAATCAGACCAAATACTGTCTGTTCCACCTAGCACCGTTTCATAATAAAGATAAGCCTACCAATTACAGATCCTTTTCTTTGTTGACCTAGATAAGAAAAAGAACAAGAGTATGGGTTTTTACCTCAAGTATAAGTAAACTAACTATAGGATGCTCTTAAACAAGTTGCATTCATTAAAGCATAACTAAGGTTACAGAAATAGAAGTGGATCCTTACCTGCAAGAATTCTTTCAAGCCTTGAACCAGGAGATTTATCCATACCTAAAAAAAAGAATAATGGAATTATTAATAAAATGGTGTTTTGTTTTAATATCACATGGTGAACTGCAATAAATGTTTGCCACCAAACGGTCGAGGAATTCAGTGACCGATTTCCTACAGAAACTAAAATATCCTGATTACAAAAAGTGAAATATCGATGACAGACTCAAAAATAGAAGGATAGTAGCCTTAATCAAAGCACTTAAAATGCATTTACATCAAATGAACATATTTATTATCTCGATATAACTACCAAAGATTGCTGTTTGTTGCAACCTTCTCCGTTATAAAAATGTGACTGCTCGGAAACTTTTGTATACATTGTTTCATGAGTAGTTGTATGACTGTCAAATGTAAGGACTTTACGTAGAAGTACTCATATGAAGGTCCTGTAAGTTAGTGACTGATAATTAGTAGTTCAATACACTTTTTCGAAGTATAATTTCCTTTTCATACGGTTGGCAGAAACTTTCAACATTTAATTATCCTCATTATTCACTTCCATTCTTTGATGAGCGAATAAATTTATTGTTCAAGATGAAAATTACAGTTCCCTGTTATTCGCAGTAACAAATCTTCATCAGTATATTCCAGTAAAGTAGAAATAACTTGAAGAAACTCAAAAAGTCAGTTCATAATAAAATAAAGCCGAAGTTGTATTACTTTTTCATTTCTGGAGTTTGTTAAAATTTTATCCATTACAATTTAGTATTCATCACGGAGTGACGTCAAATGAAGAGCCATTGATAACTTGCTGGTATTGAACAGCTGTTTCGTTCTACTATGAGACTCCAACAGTGCCTATTCATGACCCTAGTGGGGGTCAAGCCCAGGACTTTCAGGTTCTGTGACCAACACGTCACGACTGAGCAACTCGATTGGAATCCATTGATCCACATTTCCTTACTTCAGTCAATTCACGATATAGCTTGACCACCATCAGATGCTATCGTTACGTGACTATCCTCACGTCTAAATCGATTCACTCCATCGGTTTTGGCTCTTTATTAGGACTGTGAGGAATCTTAACTCTACCCATGTTACTAGTGAACACTGGACAGTGGTTCAATAGTAAAGTGCTTGTTACGAAACCTGAGGGCTACGAGTTCGATCCCTAGTGGGGTCACAAGTGCACACTGTCGAAGAGTCTAATGGAAGACGAAGAAGACGTTCAGTACTTCACGGTTTACTATGGTTTTCTAACTGATGGCAGTCAGTAATGCAGGTCAGCTTAAAATGCTCCTGTAACCAGTCATAAATAATTAACAACTAACTAAACAACAACTCAATGGTAGGAATAATGTTATGTAGCTGGAAGGAGGTAAGGGAATGGCCAGAATTTGGTGTAACACAGGAAATTAGACATTTCTAGTGTGACATAATACTACTTCAGATTGGTTTATTTAATGAATAACTCAATGGTGCAGTGTTATTTACTAAGGCATGGGTTGCATGCCTTGTAATCAAGGACCTAAACCTACGCCGTCGTTAAGTGTTACAGTTGCAGCTTACTACTGACCTATTCGATTTGCAACTGATAACACAGAAATATATTTCATTATTAAAAAACGTTGACATGGATGGTTATGTATAACTATCTGATGAGTAAATATTAATTTATAAACTATTCAACTACTTAATTTCATCAGCCGTGCCTCTTTTTAAACGTTAAATTCAGTAATACTTTTAGTCTAAGATTTTTTAGGCTGAAAGATGTTGAATGTAAAGATAAATTTGTTTAGGCTGATTAGCCAATTTTCGTGCAGAAAATAATAGTTTATTTCCTTTTGTTCTGGTGTGCAGAGCAAATAAAGAAGTCTTAAAAAACGATTTCTCCCTTCTTGTGTTACTTGTAAGTAGTTCAGATTAAAGGATGAGTTACACTATATCAGCGGCTAATCAAATGTTAAAACCTCTTCACTAAGCATTTTTAATTATTTACGATGCAAAAAGCTGTTTTAACTCCACTCCTGTATAATGTTATAGCTGTTTGAACCCAGAATAAACGGGCAGGGGGAGATACAACTAGACGTTAAACTGTTAGGTTCATTCAATGCACAGAGTTCTCAATCTTTTCATAGAGTTAAACATTATCTTAAGGTTTTTGTTTATTTTAATTTATACATGAAAAGAAAAGTAAGCAAAACGCGTACTAGTAGAAAAGTCGATTTCATTCGGTAGTCAAAATTGTAATATGGTAAACATAATGCATGATAGTCTTGATAGTTGGTGAATTTTGTTGTTTTATCATACAAAAGTTTTAATTTGTAGTGTGAAATAAGTACCTCAGAAATTATTATTATTTGTCCATTGGGTTCCTAGTGGAACATACCACTTCAGTAGCACATCCCTATTTCACTCTCTTCTCTGCAATCTTTTCAACCTCACTCCACAACTACCGGCAAGCTTTTATTTCTTCCTCACACCATCTCCTCCATATCACCCTCTGCTCAGACGCCCAACTTGTCCTTTCCCATCTGGATTCCAATCGATGACCTGACCTGGCATGTGATGTCCCCAGACGGTCTCTTCTCAGTGTATACTCAATCCATCTCTACTTTCTCCTTCTGCATATTTGTTGGGAGTTAGGTTCTTGGTTGGCTCGTTACCAGGTCAGCCAGAGTTCCTTGCTGCTTATTCTTATTAATCTGGCCATCTGATCTGATCTTCAGTATCGAGGTAGAGTAGGCGACAGCTGTTGATGTGTGTGCGCAGTTTGTTGGAAATGCTTTTAGTAACGCGCCAAGTCTCTCAATCATCACATAGAAGCACTGATTTGATTGAATTAGTGCTGAAAATCCGGATATTGTTCATGCTTTATGCTGAGTGCGGTGCAGTGAAGTGGAGTAGATCTCCACATTGATTTCGGATTAATGAAGGCCTGTCATACTTTCTTCCCAATGCTGGCTTTGACATTCTTATGTGTGCTGCCGCTTATAGTTGAAACAATACTGCCTTACCTGGGTAGGTGAAGGAGACAACATCCTTCAGATTTCTCCAGTTGATGGTGATTGGTGCATGTAATTGTGGTTGTGCCTGTGGTTGTTGTTGTTGATTGGCTGTCTTCATCACATCTGTCTTCTCTACGTTCACCTGAAGGAAGTCCCATCTTCGCTGTCTTTCCTGTCAACTTGTTAGTTTTCACTTGTAGATCTTCCAGTTTGTGCGACAAGACAATAGACATCAATCATCATTGGCGGCAAAATCCAAATCTTCTCCTGGGTCTTTTCATCAGTCCGGCCAGCGTATGCCCAACTTCTCACAGCTCCCCACAGTTTGTTGCACAATCCAGTTCAGTCGACCACAATCAGGAAGATCACTGATGATAGTAGGCAGCAACTTTGTCTAACTACTGTCTTCACCTCAAAGACGTCACTGAGCTTACCTTAGTGAATCACTTGGCATCATATAGCTGTTGAATAAGGCTGATGAAGGTTTGTGGCACTAAGACCGTAGTGTTGAAGCAGCTACCTGCCAAATTACTTCTCCTTCAAGGCTTTCGAAGGCCTTTTCACGATCGATGAAGCTGGGGTTGAGTTGACTGCCATTCTATTCTCTGTTCTGTGAAAATGCGTAGCGCTGCATTGCATTGCAATTTGATCATTACATGATTTGTTCCTCTGAAGCTAGCCTGTCCCTATCGTAATTTTGAATCCAGAGCATTTTCTGTGTAGTCTCTCTAGGATGACGTGCATAGTATTTTGCTTGGGGTGGACAGGGACAGGAAGATGATTCCGTGCCAGTTCTCGCAAAGGCTTATGTCTCCCTTCTTTGGGAGTTTGACAAAGTAGCCCTTCTTCCAATCAGTTGGCAAGTACTTCTCCTTCCTTCCAAACCTTCTGCAATAGTGGTGTGAGGATGTCCGTTGGTGTCTCTTCACCTGTTTTCAGTGAATCTGGTGGGATTTCATCTGGTCCTGCTGCTTTCTTGGATTTCAGCGACTTAATGGCATTCAGGACTTCACTTCTGCATTTGTCAGAGGACTTGTGTCCACTGGTAATTCTGCGGTTGCTGGTGGTATTTCTGGACAAGTTGCAGGTAGCGATGGTGGTGTTGGTCGATTCAGTTCATCGTTTCCTTTGTTGCTCCTCTTTGGTAACCAGGCTTCCTTTACTATCTTTCATTGGTTTCGTCTGAGTTGATCTCTTCCCAGATAGTAACCTGGTTATTTGACTTGATGTTGTCAGGTCTCTGTCTTTCCTACCAGCAGCCTGTTCTGCTTCACTTGTCAATGTGTCGTAGAAGTGTCTTTTGTCTTTGTGCGTACTATTCTTCACTCCTTTGTCCAGTATGGTGTTTTATAGGTTGTACTCACTTCCTCTTTTCGTTGTTCATCTCTTCAGTGTTCTGGTATATCTTCTGCTTCACCATCTTCCTCTCTCTCTTCTATCAACTTCCATGTATCCGTCGAGGCCCATTCCTTATCTTGCTTCTTCTCCCTTCGTAACACGGCTATGCAGGTTTCTCTCCATGTCTCTTTCAAAGAGTTCCAGTGTTTTTACAAGGAGGTTACCTCTGGGATGTTACTTAATGTCTCGCACTTTTCGTGATGGTTGACTTCAGAAATAGTCGTCTGCTATAATAGTCTTCTTTGCTTCATCCTTATTGCCGTCAGTCGTAGTATTTCTTCTTCGTTTCATCTTATACTTGCATAATGATATTTTGAGAACTTTTTAAAAGTCCAAGAGATCAAACAGTATGATTTGAAACCACAGTTATGCAATTCAAAGCGTGCAATATATACCACTAGAAATCTCGGTAGCACAATTTTCAAGCAATCGGGATATAACAGTTGCCCAATAACCGTTGATTATCAGTAGTTGTTCACCTGGTACTCCATTTTAATGTAAACTGAGTCTGTTAACTTAAAACACATTGGGAATTTTATTTCTATTTTTATGATTTCGCTTCATATGTTCAATTTCCAATGATCTGATCATTTAGACGACGAGGTTATTTTAAAAAATGACAATGAATATGACTGAAACAATTACTCGAGAAATTCAAGTTTCACAACATATAAGTCTTCCTAATTGCAAAAATACTTGTTTGTGTTCAATTATAAACAAATAAAGGCAAAATATCTCACTGGCTCCTGTTTTAGATAGGCCATCTTGAACTGTCGGCTGGGGAAGTTTTTTGAAAACAGAAGTGAACAGTTGCAGAAGCAGCGATTGGAGAAAAGAAAAATCATAATAAGCTAATTATAATCAAAATCATAAAAAAAACTAGTCAATAAAAATAAACTGAGAAATATCCAGAAATTTCTCAACAAATATGAACAGTTAGTTTCTCAGTTATGACTGATACTATCCATTTTTCAGGCATTATAACTTGGACATAAATTGATTGACAAAAGAATAATAATTTAGTGATAATATTGGTGAATATTTATGTGAATTATTGCAGACTATACGTGGGTAAAATTGAATGCGCTGGAACTGACGAAGGAGTGTAAAATAACCTGCATAAACAATATATTTACTTATTTGAAATTACTGAACAAAAGCATAACTGTACCAACGAGTAGGTGTTCTTCACTGGCTTCTCATAAACGGTGATAGCTAATAATTCTTAAAAAGGAGACAATGATTTTGCATCACTCATACTAAACAACTGAAAACAAACACCTATCTAACAACACCCACAGTATAATAATGGTTGTAAACAGACTTTCTTCAAACAGATTCTTTGTCAAATTGTAGACATGAAATAAACAACAAGTTGCAAAACATTTCGGTAGTCTGTTTATTTCACACATCAAATCTTTGAGTGTAAACTGAGTTGTGTAATTATTGAACATGTGGTAATTATCGTATACTGATTGACATGATCTATTTCTCGAGACCATTTTCTTGATACTGATGATAACAAGAATCTTGAGTACTGATAGAAATGTGAGGATGGTTGACAATTTCCATCTGCACAAAACGTCAGAAGTTTGCTGCTCCTTGTAAATAGATGTTCTTGACTCTTATTTACTGCAAAATTTCTGCTTTAAATTACTCAGATATCTCATAAATTTCCAGTTCCTATGATCAACCAGTTTCTTATCGAGATCATTATCTATGCATGCATTTACCTCTAATCAGAAGTATTTTGAAGCAATTGGTATGTATTTTCTAGGTGCATGCAATTTAATCGAAAGTTGACCTTAAACGTCCAAAAGGGTTATGCTTACCCAGCTTCCATTAGACGTCCCTTTAACTTTGCAATCAAGCATTACAACTGACCACACAATTTCTTTTTCAGGTTGCCTAAAGAAGCAGCAGCCCTATACTGTTTGTGCAGATGGAAATTGTCAACCATCCTCACATTTCTATCAGTACTCAAGATTCTTGTTATCATCAGTATCAAGAAAATGGTCTCGAGAAATAGATCATGTCAATCAGTATACGATAATTACCACATGTTCAATAATTACACAACTCAGTTTACACTCAAAGATTTGATGTGTGAAATAAACAGACTACCGAAATGTTTTGCAACTTGTTGTTTATTTCATGTCTACAATTTGACAAAGAATCTGTTTGAAGAAAGTCTGTTTACAACCATTATTATACTGTGGGTGTTGTTAGATAGGTGTTTGTTTTCAGTTGTTTAGTATGAGTGATGCAAAATCATTGTCTCTATTTAAGAACTTCCATTAATTTGTTTCTCCTATTCCAAAAGCAGTCAATACTTTATCTAAGATTGAATATAGTGTGAACATTTTTTCACAGATTAGTGGCAGATTTGTATTCAAAAATATATAATGTTTTGAACGAGTAGCACTCGAAACTGAAACCTTTTCTTCACTTTCTTTCTACTGTCTATTCGTAATACTAGTAACACTAATGAGAAAGATTCGAAGTTTCTGAACCACAGTCTTCATATCCATTACACTGAAAGAGACCTGGTAGCTAAAGGAACATTTATCAAGACTACTTTTGACCTCTGGGCGAGTGGGTAACCAAACTGTAGATAACCAAGCTTATGATATATTTAGTGAAGACGAATGTCTCTTAGATAATCAAATGCCTGTCAAATCTCTATGGGGTACTGGCTAGCAGTATCTAAGATTGTTTTGCATTATATATATATATATATATATATATATATATATATATATATATATATATATATATATACATACTAGATCATGACAGCAAGGTTCAACTCAAAAGGAAGAAAGGTCACAATCATACAATGTTATGCACCTACAAATAATGCAGAGCAAGAGAAAAAGGAGGATTTCTACAGACAACTTCAATCAACACTGGACAAGACGTCAGTTGGCGATATCAAAATTCTAATGGGCGACATGAATGCCAAACTGGGAGGGGACAATACGGGAAGAGAACTAACCATGGGTCGAGAGGCGCTAGGTGAAATGAATGAGAATGGAGAATTGTTTGCAGAATTCTGTGCATTCAACGATTTGGTGATTGGAGGCAGTGTGTTCAGGCACAAGGATATCCACAAAGCGACATGGACTTCACCAGATGGACACACTAAAAATCAAATCGACTTTATCTCAATCTCAAGAAAATGGAGACGCAGTCTACTTAACACAAGGTCAAGAAGAGGAGCAGATGTAGGTTCAGACCACTATCTAGTGCAAGGAACCTTCCAAATCAAGTTAAAAGCCTTCAAGGAAGCTGGTGATAGACCTCAATTCAAGTACAACACTCGGAAACTGAAGGATGAAACTACAAAGGAGATCTTCAAAGCAGCCATCAAGACAAAATGGGAGACGTCGAGGGACATCCCTGAAGAAACCTGTGTGGAAGAACACTGGAAGTCTTTGAAAGCTGTGTGGAAAGAAACCTGCACAGCCGTATTAGGAAGGAAGAAGAAAGAAGACAAGGAATGGATCTCGACGGATACCTGGAAGCTGATAGAGGAGAGGAGGATGGTGAAGCAGAAGATAAACCAGTGCAAGGATGCTCAACGACAAGAGGAACTGAGCACAATGTATAAAACACTGGACAAAGAAGTGAAGAAGAGTGCACGCAAAGACAAAAGACACTTCTACGACACACTGGCAAGTGAAGCAGAACAGGCTGCAGGTAAGAGAGACCTGACGACATTGTATCAAATAACCAGGTTGCTATCAGGGAAGAGACCAACACAGATGAAACCAATAAAAGATGAAGAAGGAAATTTAATTACAAAAGAAGAGAAACAGAGGAAACGATGGGCCGACCACTTCAAGAAGCTCTTGAATCGACCACCACCTGCACTTCGTCCAGAAATACCACCTGCAGCCGCTGAATTACAAGTGAACATAAATCCCCCAACGAAAATGGAAGTCCTGAACGCCATAAAGCTACTGAAAGGTGGGAAAGCAGCAGGACCAGATGGAATACCGCCAGAAGCACTGAGAACAGATGCAGAGACAACAGCGGACATGCTCACACCACTATTGCAGAAGGTGTGGAAGGAAGAGAAGGTACCTGACGATTGGAAGAAGGGTTACCTTGTCAAACTGCCGAAGAAGGGAGACCTCAGTGCTTGCAAGAACTGGCGCGGAATCACTCTCCTGTCCACCCCAAGTAAAATATTAAGCCGCATCATCCTGGAGAGGCTTAAAGACGCACTGGATTCAAAACTGCGACCGGAACAGGCAGGCTTCAGGAAGTACAAATCATGTGCTGACCAAATTGCAACGCTTCGTATCATCATAGAACAGAGCGTAGAATGGCAATCAGCTCTATACCTCAACTTCATCGACTTTGAGAAGGCCTTTGACAGCGTCGACCGAGAAGTAATTTGGAAACTGCTTCAATACTACGGAGTACCGCAAACCTTTATCCGCCTCATTCAACAACTATATGAAGATGCCACATGCCAAGTAATCCACAATGGGAAGCTCAGTGATGCCTTTGAAGTGAAGACAGGAGTGAAACAAGGTTGCCTACTATCCCCCATGATATTCCTTATTGTGGTGGACTGGATCATGCAGCAAACAGTAGGCAGCGAGAAGAGGGGGATACACTGGACGACGGAAAAGAACCTAGAAGACTTGGATTTCGCCGATGACTTGTGCCTAATGTCACATAAACTTGAAGATCTGCAGGCAAAAACTAACAAGTTGACAGAAGAGGCAGCTAAGACGGGACTTCAGGTGAATATAGAGAAGACAGAAGTGATGAAGATACCGCACCACCACCATCAACAACAACAACAAACTCCAATCACCGTCAACGGGAGAAACTTGAAGGAAGTAACCTCCTTCACTTATCTAGGAAGCACTGTTTCAACTACAGGCGGGACGGACGAGGACGTCAAAGTCAGAATCGGAAAAGCAAGACAGGCGTTCATTAGCCTGAAACCAGTGTGGAGATCTTCTGCACTCAGCATGCGGAACAAGATACGGATTTTCAACACCAACGTCAAGTCAGTGCTCTTGTATGGCTCAGAGACTTGGCGCGCCACGAAAGGTATTTCCAATAAACTACAGACATTCATCAACAACTGCTTACGCTCGCTGCTGAAGATCAGATGGCCAGAAAAAATAAGCAACAAGGAACTCTGGGAACGAAGCAACCAAGAACCTATCACGCAACAAATATGCAGGAAGAAGTGGAGATGGATTGGGCATGCACTGAGAAGGCCGACTGAGGACATCACGCGTCAGGCCCTCGAGTGGAATCCCATGGGAAGCGACGAGTTGGACGTCCGAGGGTGACATGGAGGAGGTCATGCGAGGAGGAAATGAGAGCTTCTGGGCTGTCGTGGAACCAGGTTCAAAAGATCTCAGAGAACAGAGGTCACTGGAGGCGTGCTACTGAAGCCCTATGTTCCACTCGGAACCCAAGGGACTAATAATAATAATAAAATAATAAAATACATACTAGATAAAGCTTTAATGACTACCACTATTTTATGTACTTTTTAGTGATGAATATGAGCAGGGATAGAACCTAAGTAGAGGACTTAATTTTCATTATGTCTCATTCCTACTCTTCAGATACATCGCTATACAGCCTAAGCTTAATCGGCTTTGTGAAATAAACAGATTCCTTGATGGGCAGACTGTAATCATTAGTATGGATCACTGTATAAGTTAAAAAGCTGTTAAATGGTATCAAAGAGACTTTTCAAATAGTTTTAACTCACTGTACTTTTGAATTCTTTGAATAACTTTAACAATTTATCAACTTTCTCTTCAACTACTAGAAGTCGGTCTGCTTTTGTTTCAACTCTTGTCAAATAATCTTGTGTTGTTTGATAATAGGTTTGTATGGCTGTGGCTACTTCCGATGATGTGTCAGGACCTCTACCCATTTGCATTACAGTGGTTCTTACATTGACCAATCGTTCACCAACTTTATGTTTACGCTTTTTCCCTTGTATAACATATCTATCGTAATCCCAGAAACGTAATCTTTCCCAATGTATAAGTCGAACCTCTTGGGGTGATCCCGGTTCATAGGATTTTTCTAAAATTTTAAACAAATAGATCCATTTTTACTTTATAATAAAGTAGTTTAAAAAAGTACTGTTGGTCAGTGGAAATGTAGTTTTATTGTTTCAACTATTATAGTGAAGTAAGTGAAGTACTTTGGCATCTTACATCCATCTACGAGCTTAGCTCACGATAAGCAAAGCCTATTATGATTTAATAGTATCACAGACAAGGTGCCTATTCACTTGATATTCTGTTCAAATATGCTAACAGAAGAATTATATCCTACTAATAACTACCAAATATACACCATAGAAAGACTGAGATATTTACCAAATGGATGCTACAACAAATGAATTAGTTAACATGAAAAAGAGAAAAAGGAAAATTTATTTGCAGACAAAATCTCACGTAAAGAAGGTTGAACCACCATATCACGTAAACAATGCAATAAACTCACTCATAAGAACAGATAGCAAGTGTTTTTCTCTGTTTGTCCTTTTGTATGAAATGTACCATTACATAAATTATATCTGAGTAACACAAGAGACAATTCCTAAAAGATTTCAGACTACTTATAGTAGATTGATCAGTTAGTTACAAAACATTTTAAGAAGTCTTTTATTATTGCTTCGTAGTATATTTAGTCTTAGGATTCCTATCAGCAATTCAATATTAATTTGTTCCTTGAGTATTTCATACACTGAAACAGTATCATTCACTGAGTGATGTTTCGAACAGAATTTGGCGTTGATATTCTGAGAAAACGTAACTCCAGGTTTTTCACATCCTGCTTTGGTAGTTTTATATTTTCTCATAAATTTTTTCTATGGGTAGTAGAATTCTCCAAATATCTGGAATGGTTTTTGAGTTATTCCTATTGTACACTTTCGATGTTGGTTCGACAAACAAAGTTTCCGTTATCAATCTCTTCCTCCACCCTACTAAGTTAGATTTAAGGACTGCGATTCTTCCCATCATATTGTGTGTTTGTGTGTGATGACATACATCTTTATTGAGGAGTTTTTCTCTAGATTTCTAGATTCGGTCAAGTTTAGGTGTTCAGTCATTCTAAATGACCTCAGTCGACTACTATGACTAGTGTGTTTGACCACGAAATCATAACATGAAATTTGATAAACATAATTATTTTGACTAGTTAGATCTGCAAGATTCTGTAGCTTACAAAGCTTGATTCTAAGTAAGTTCATAGGCTTGAATACCGTCTTAGTCCCAATTCTGAAAAGAATTTTGCTTTAAATTTCTGAAATACCTTTTTTGTATGGTGAAACCATGGAGGTCTTGAATTCTCTTTTCTCAATTTCACCATTATTAGGATGCATATTTTCTGTGAAAGCACTACTCATTTCTTTCTTACAATTTCCTGTGCATTTTGGGGTCATTATACCCGGATAGTTATTGAGTGCGACGGTTATTTTTACGCCTCATTTCCCCTTGTGGATTTTCAATTTCATTTCTTATCTAAGAAAATTTATATGTTTCACCAAACTGATTTTAACTGACGTAGAATGAGTTGACCTGAAGTCTAAGTATGGATTTGTATGTGTAGATTATCTGTAAACACTACTGTCGAAAAACTCATTCAATCTTTTTATTCAACAATCCATGATAGCTTACTCTTCTCCATCAGTCTCTAATTCATAAATAAACAAGATTGCATCTACAACTGCATCTTATGTATCAAACAGAAAAATTACAATAGGGCCCAAGTTTTGCTCTTCCAATCAACAATCTTGATTATTTCTACTTTGAATGAAGTATTTTCGAGTTACGTGAATATTCTGACAAAATCTATTTGGCCTTTACAGTTAACAAACTGTGAGTGGGCGAAGAGTTTCATCATGCGATGATATATGTTGTCCTGAGTTCCAATGAATTATGTTCGGACTGATTTATGTTAAGGTAAGATCATTGACCACTTGACTACTAATTTACTTGCTCATATCCTGCTCGTTAAACTGCTACTGTGTCGTCAGTGAATCTAAAGGTCACTCTAGCAACTGTTGAGACAACTAATTAATTTTCAGTATTTCGGCTGGGGAAGCCATCATAAAATGGAGGAAATTAATTGGTTACTCCAGTAGTTGTTAGGTTGGCTTTGAAATTTACTTCTATATCACAAAGGTGGAAACCCAGAACAATATAAACCGTGTCCCAAAGTTTTGGAGTTGTCTTGATATGACTATGGATAGTGATGTATGTCCGAGACGTAATCCAGGAAGTAATAATGTTCCGCTATGTGATAGACCCAATTAATCAATTATAATAGAGTGTTCACTGTACATTTCCGCCACCAAAGTGAAATTCACTGGTTTGCGTTTTCTAATCTCACTCAACTTTGTGGTGTGAAGCTATCATGATCTAATCTGATTGATGAATTTCTGCCCTCAAACCTGACTCAATTGGCCTCAGTATCACCGTACACATTACACATACATTTTAAAATTTTATGGATGACAGTTTGAAGTTACGTTCTACTGACTTATATTTCAAATTTCGTTATTACATATACATTTTTCAAAACCTGCATTCTCCATCGCCCCAGTATAAAAGAAATATTAATTCTTATAGTTCACTATTTCTGTACATATTTTGTAAAATATTTGATAAACTTACTGAATGGATGATCATTTTTTATAGACAGTTTCTTACAACGTTTGACAAGATAGCGAATTATTAAATAAATATACCATATTAAATTCAGCGGAGGTGGAAGCGGTGGACGATCTACATATTCCCCCATTATATGATATCTTTGTAATGCCCAATATTTAGTAGATGCAGATTCAATTCTCATATAAGTCGATCTGTAAGATAATCGAATAAATAAATAAATATATCTACTCTCAGGTTATGAATTTGACATGAAAGAAGCTGGTTTACAGGCCTCATCAAGTTGATAATTGCAGAGAAACCTAAAAAATTTGAGAAGTGTTGAATGGTAAAGAAGGAGAACACTAAACTCTATCATGATATCAAGTGTCTAAAAGTTATGAAAAGAGCAGGAAAATATCACTTTACAGTACATACACATCGTTCTGAGTTTAGATCATTCCTACTCACACCTCTTTTTTTCATACAAAAATGATATCAAATCGGCACAATATTTGGTGTTTGCGTTATGAGTAGTCGACATGATTGATCTGTCTGCGAAATCCAGTGTTTAGTCAGATAAACGTGTAGTTTAACAGCATTTCTTTTGTTCGTAGCTTCATTGACCAATAATAACTTACTTCGTTGATCTCAGGAATAAGTAACTATCTATACAATCATGTAATCCAAGTGAATATCTGAGTTAAGGCATTTCTAACTCTCTAAGTGTTATCTTTCCCAGTAATTCAGATTGATAGTACTGAAAATATCTGTTGTGATGCAAGTAATTAAAAACTGAAAGAATCGTCGTTCAATAGTGGTGAATTTTACACACGTAAAACTTTATAGATTTCATATTAAAGTATACAGCATTGTCAAGAAGATACATTGGTTGTAAATTGACTACTAATAGACGGATTTATACAAGACAAAGAAATACATCTTAAATTAGGACATGAAAAGAAGTAAAAGGAATGCCGTAAGTAAAAAGCATTGGCTTCGCCACAATCATTGAAAAAACGTGATTAGTTTTCTTACGTTGCTTCATACGCCAGGCCATAGATTTAGAAGTATCACCACTTGAACAAACACTGCAATGAAGTTTTACCTTATTAAAATTAGCTCTCACTGAGGTGTTTGAAAAGATAGGTGTTCATTTGAATATGAATAGGAAAACCAATCCAACTTAAGGTAAATTTAGAGAGAGTCCCGAATTGACCGTAATGAATATCTCACATTTCACTTATATCTACTCCCAAGAAAATAACATCCAAACTAAGTTCAAAGTCACATTGATACTTTCAGTCACAGATTTTATGTTTTAAAAGAAACCTTTCAACTTAGCTATGTAAACTGAACTATAGTATATCCTTTTTAGAAAATATATCATCATTATCAAAAAGGGATCTAAATCAGTATATTTCGTTTATATAATGAAATCTACACCCAAAAAGCCGGTGATCTATTTTAGGTCTTTATCACTGACTGATATCAATGAATAAATACATTATACTTAATCACATTTTCTACTGGTCTTTCCGTTGTTCCTTTTGGCTTCCTAAAAATGTGTTGTCATTACTACTATTCAATCTGGTGGTTTGTGGAGACTTATTAATTTGTTTCAGGTTAGAATTCATCATGGGATGACACAATTTGAAGGAATGTTGGAAACGTGAGAGCACTGAGTAGCTGTTTCGTCCTAGTGTGAGACTCAGCAGTGCACACTTACGACCCTGCAAAGGATTGAACTAAGGGCTTTCAGGTTCCGTGGATTGCACATTACCATTGAGCCACTGGGTCAGAACCCGGTGATCCTTATTTCTGGTTTCTGTTAGTCCACGATATAGCGCGACCTGTATCCAGAATCGAACTGCTGAGGAAACCCATAATTAAACGAAAAAGCTGTCAAGTGCTCCCGGGTTTCCATGATGAGTTCTGATCTGAAATCAAGTTACAAATCTCCAGAAAACCTCCAAACTGAATTAATCTATTGCTTATTGGTGACTACCTTCGAGAGGTGATTCCCAAAGTTCCAATAAGAAGTCGTGGCCAGTGGAGCCAACCAAGTAGAACATGAGAACAGTTATCCAACGACAGAATTGGATAAAGGTAGCGCTATGTTAGTTGATTGGAGGCGATCAGCAGGATGCTTAATGTGCACCGCGATGCTGAGCTTCCTAGCTTGGTTGCCACATTACAAATATGATCGACAGGATTCGGTCTGCACTCAGGACTCGATAATATGAAACTGGTTGCACTCCCGTGACCAATTAGTGCATAAGTTCGTGCTATATCATGAACTGACAGAAGTAGGAAATATGAAACATTGGATTCTGACCCAGTGGCTCAATGATAACGTGCTGACCACGGAACCTGAAGATGACGGGTTCGATCCCTGGCGTGGTCATGGGTGCCCACTCCGGAGTCCCATACTTGGACAAAACAGTCGTCCAGCGTTCCCATGTTTCTAATGTCACTCCAACTAATGTCAGTCCATGATGAATGCCGACTTGAAATCCTTACTACTATTGTTAGGGAAATTAACTCATTTTTACTCTATGAGAAAGGACGAAAGACGATTGAAGTGAAGAAAATCTTTGCCTTTCGACCGAACAAAGCACAAAGTATTTTAGAGTAGTTTCTGGTCAACGGTCAGACAAATTGTTTTACAAAATAAAGTTACGCAATATATTTACACAGGTGCTTAAAATAGAAAGATAAATAAATGATTACTCTACTACTTTGTGACAACTAATATCACTTGAGAAAACGAAATGATTTTCAATCAAAATAGACCATTAAAAGGATGTATCGTACATCGGCACACTATATTCATGTAAATTACATCATTTTCTTACCAGCAGTGACATAATGACTGCAAAGGCTACCTAAACTCATTACAGACTTCCATATTTAACTTTCAAGCAATAAAAGTCAATCATTCAGTGGATTTGCAATAATTCTTTGTTTTTTGCGTATGATGTCCACCAATACCACACTAGTGACACCCATGCTAGTCTCAGTCTACTCATTTTCTGGAACTAGTTTTTCACAGTTAACTATAGCGGTAAATCATCTCGGTAATTCATGAATATGTAACAAAATGTCAGTAAGTTTGAACAAAGTAAAAACGTGATCAACTTACGCAAACATAGCAATGACAAGATTCAGTAATAAAACCTGTGTGAGTATTACATAAACACCAGAAAGAATTGGTGACAACCAGATTGACCAACCTCCTGGACAGTTGACTTTACTTTCTTTACAGGAATCCAACAAGGCTATTTTCAAGTAAAACGAAACAAGGAAAAGACAAAAGAAAGAAATAGCATACATCATTATCATTTCACAAATGGGATAAAACCTAAATAGATTCTGACCGCACATTTATTCAACATTTTTCACTCTAACAGTATTATGTGGTCGAAGAAATTGATTTTCTTTTAGACATCGAATGGAATAGTTTGCAGTCATGCATTTCTATAATAAGCTTTTATTCATCGAAGTATTGCTCTATAAAAACTGTTCATACCGTAATCGATGTTGTGTCAACATTTCAAAACAGCTGTCAACAAATCTGATATATTTAAACAAAGCAAGAAGGACTAGACTGTTGAGACATTGTTCGTAGAAATAAACTTTAGTTGACTATCTAACTACTTTTCAACTTAATGTCAATACAGGATTCTGTAGCTTATCTCTTCAAGCATTTCGTGCATTTAGATCCCTTGATAAATTTCAACAAAGCAAATATATTCCTCCTTGTCTTGTTAAAATCTATCAAGGGATTCAAATGGATGCAATTTGACATAAATTACAAAATCTGATTTATAGCAAGTGATATTATACCATTCACATCTTTCAGTAGTATATATCAACCGAACATTATGGTACAAAACATATCACACGGAACACTATTTAACGGAGTTCACTAAATATTCTTCAAGAGAAAGATATTCACAACACAAAGGAGAGATGGACTTTCGCTCAATTATGATAAACATCTATGCAGACTACAGAACTAATGATGACTAGTAGCCAGCAGCGGAATTCAGGACGTTCGTTTCAGCCCATTTCAGAACCGTTAGCTGGATATATCTTCCTCCCAGTGAGTGATATTGTCCCCACTAGGACTTGGTACCAGTTGCTTCAAACGATAGTAGATCGATCGCTTCGGTCCACTCAGTAATGGGATAACAAGCAACAACATTAAGAGTGCAGAATTTCCCAAAATTTTAAAAATTATCCCATAACTAGAAATCAGATTTATATAAGAATAAGAGAAAACTTCAAAATGTATGCAGCAAAATGATTACAAACCAACCCAGTAACTGTCCCACACAACTGAAAATTCCCATTTCTTTTTTTTTTATAAGTTAGAACAAAGTATTGTGAAGAACTGTGTGCATTGAGTGGCTAACTGACTGGTACGAAAGTGTGACTGAATAAAGAATGACCATGAAGATCAACTACTGATGTAAAGCTCCGACTAAAATACTGTCAAATATCGATGTGCAGATGTTAGTAGTAAAAAAAAATGGTATAACTACGACTTATACTTTACAGAATTCAACGATTGGAAAGACAAATGTGTAATTACCATCAAAAGTTGCAAAACGCCATATGACGCGTAGAACAGGAGATAAGAAAAGTAGAGACACCTTATATCTTGATTAAGATAAATCGACTTCGAGTAATTATTACTCGGAGTATTGTATTCATCTTGGTGACTTGGAACAGAAGTTAGGACGAGCTTCTCATCCTACTTAAGCTTCTTCAGCTGGGTGTACCTGCACCCTAGTGAGTGGTGTTATTTTCACTGAGATTGGGATTTAGGCCCTGTCACGTCAAACGTCAGAGCATTATCCACTAGGCCTCTGGAGCACACTGGCAAGGGGAACTACAAGTATCTAACAACAAATAATACCCGTTGCACAAGAGGTGGCTGTCATGCTCCAGCGGCCAAGTGGATAACGCTTTGACGTTTGAAGCGATGGATGCTGGGTTCGGGTTTCAGCCAGAACAACATCACCCACTGGATGCGGGTACATACAGCTAACGAGTCCAAAATAGAAAGAAACGTAGGTCTTGGATTCCACTGCAAATACCAAGGTGAAAACAGTCTAGCGAATATGCGGCAGTATTGATGAACCCAAACATGTGGCCATCTGCTAATAAAGGTCGAGCAGTTTGACCTTTTATGGCAACGGGAAATTATAAGTATCAAACAATGATTAAACAGAGTACTTAATCATTAATTTCAGTTACCTTACGAACCCTTACCAGGAAACTGGTGTTTCCTCATGTTTCTTGGGCCCCCAGTAAGAGAGCACACTAACTAGTGCCAACTCTTAACAACCCCTTCCTTTATACTACTTAGAGTCTGTTTTACTTAACACAGTGTTGTGATAGATCATTAGTTAGAAGAAGTATCGTGAGTCTCGGCCATCTCAGTCGCTGAAGTTTCATCCCTCTTCTGACTGATGTGAATAGTTAACATAATATATAACATAATATTCTATTCGAAGTGATGACATTGACAATCCATCACAAATAAGTGCAGTTTACAAAATAACAGTGATTGAATTCCTATGACGCTTTAAAATTCATATATTAAAATGATATATAGATGGTTGGTACAAACTTTCTCATATGCGAAATTCTCATCGAAAACTCCTTTTGTCCTGTCACTACGTTAACAGCATGAATAAGTTTATGCAAACCCAGACCGTTTCTTAGACAAAATGAACGATAATTCCAACAGATATTAGATCTCATGACGAATTTAGCATCTTATAAATTTGCTGTTACTGTAATTCCATTCTAGTCTGTTTATTAAAGTAGTTACACAGTGAAACAGTATTGTTTACTGAATGACGTTTCGGACATAATTAGTTGTCCATATTCAGATCACGTAACTCCAGAAGTTTGCGACATAGCTAATACAATTCTGATTCTCTCTTCTTTCTTGTGATGAAGGAAGTATACTTTTATGCGTATCTAGAGCGTGGTGAATCATTCGTATAGCATGTATTTGGTGTTGATTCGATGAACAAAGACTCGGTAATAAGTCTCTTCATCCACTTAACTAAGTTTTTAATACGGCCGCTCTATCCCGCCCCACTATATGATTGTGTTCAGTTGCATGCATGGCTATGACCAAGCTTTTCTCCGAATTCCTTATCTTACTATGACCTAATAATCTTGATTTAGTTAAGTTTTTGTCCTCTGTTATTCTAATTGACGCTGATCAACTACTTTGACTTATGTTTTTGACCTCACTATTGTTTCAAGGGATTTAGCAAAATAAATTTTTCTGCTTAATTTTACCAATGAGATTTTTTACCCTATAAACCCTATTTCTAAGCGTGCTTATTAGTTCAAATGTCGTTCTGATCTCAGCCTTATTGAGAATTCTTTGTAACGCTTCCAAAATGCCTTCTTTTCAAAGTAACTCAGTAGAGACCTTGAATTCTTTTTCAACCTTGTCACCATTATTACTAATATTAGTAAAATCATCATTAACACCTGTGTTACTAATATTACTCCTATTTTCTATCCATTTCTTAAAAATTACTGACAAGTTTAGGTGGGTAATTACTGATACGCAAGGTATTCTGGATGAATCTAATTTCTTATCGTAGATTTTCAGTCCTACTACTAAGTTTTTTTCAATCTATTACTTAAACATTTGGCTCAGCCTACTTTAAATGAGACAGAGTGAGATTATTTGAAGTCTGAGTAGCGATTCCAGTGGGAAGGTTTCCTATAGACACTAGTATCTGAACTTCCACCTTGTTTTCTTCTAATCCCGCAATCCAACATTGCTAGCTCAATTTCATCACTATCTGAGTCATAGATAAATTGGATTTCGTTGTGCTGTTACCACATATGAATATGGACAACTAATAATGTTCAAAACGTCATCTGGTAAGTAATACTGTTTCACTATAGAATAATTCTAATAAGCAGACCAACTAAAATGGAATTATAATGTACCACAGTGCCCAAGTTTTACTCCTATATTGCTGTTACTGTATTTGGTTCTTATCTTTGGTATGGATAGTTAATTTTTCGATCTGCAGAGATCTATTTCTTCTACAAACATCTGCTAGGTCGATGTGAATGCAAGCATTCATACGTATTCAGAATATACAACAAATTACACAGTGTTTAGGCAAGTTTGAATTAAATTCCCAGGTATATTGGTGAATATTTTTATCTTTGTCTCACAAAATAATGATCTTAAACCAATTGTTCAGGGTGAAGCACGTTTGTCAATAGCAGAAGGATGAACCTTTAAACTTATAAGAAATTAAATTCAGAAAAAAACAATATTACCAACAGAGTAATGAACTGCAAGGCAGTTACCTACTAAGGTGTAATTTTAAAAGTTTTCTTCCATTGAAGGAATCACCAATTTACTGAGATAAGAAAAATTCACACTGTCTTTTTATAGATCAATTGATTCGAAGGTAGTTTTCATTATGAACTGGCATCAGTTAGACTGAACTACTTCCAGTACTCATTAGTGACTTACCTCGAGTTGGATTTCCTAGAAGTTCAAATGTGAGGGAGATGCCCACCACTGATTTTAGATGACGTCCGAGCTATCTCGAATTTATACGCTTAGGAATTAACAGATCGCCGGATCTGATCTCATTAGTTGAGTGATCACACACGTGTCGTGAAAAGTAATGGGCCAATACTTAGGCTTAACATGAGTGAGCACTGCTGATGTATCCCAAAAGAAGGCGAAGCAATTGTATCCATTAGTTTCAGGTTTTGCTATGTTCTTTGGCTGTTTTTAGTCAGTGATGAAAAATACTTTCTATACAGACTCCAAATGTGATTAGGAAGAATGTTTGCTGAACAAATCTGCTAGTATATGTCCTGGCAAAAAATAGGCGACCATATAATACCGAATATACTCTTCAGCTAATATGGATCAGTAGCTGCATTCTCAAAACCGGGTTTTAAATAAGGAAATAAGTATCGATAAATAGAAACTATTAAACTGGAAGTGTAGGACTATGGTGCTGTGGTGGATTATTAGATTAAATTATTTTGATACAACACACAATGAAAGAGTTTATTTCTGTTATAATTACTACTACTATCCAGTTAATGAAACTACCTTAACTAAACAAGCATAATGCAGTACAGTCTGTTCTGTCCTGTCATACGGCTGAGATATATGTGTTAAAAGTGGAAGACATGAAGCGGTTACAGGGTCTTGATCCCAGATGTCTTCATAGCATTGCTCCAGCTTGGTGGAATCACCGTGTAAGCAATGTCGAGGTTAGGCGAAGGATACTAAACAAGATAGGGAAGTCAACTGGTGAAGTTGATAACCTTATTCAGCTGAGATAGCTTAGACATGTACTGAGCATGCCGAGCCACTCTATACCCCGACATGTTATGCAAGAAGGAGGGCACTGGTATTGACGAGGGTTCAGGGTGGTCAGACCAAGACTGTCTACTAGTACATGAAGTCTCTGACTGTTGGTCTGAGCCGTGTGGAGAAGTGTTGACTAACTGGATGGGAACCTCGAGATGAAATGAATCAGTTATTGAGAACTCTTGGTGCTGTCAGTGAAAACCAGTCACAAAGGTGCAGATGTATTCTAACTTTGATGTCTTCTGAAGCTTGGATATTCGTTTCAACTTTTATCTTCAAATTGTTTATTATCCTATACAATTTTGCTCTTTTTTGATGTTAGTTTTCTTTTATCTACTTACTCTTTATATGCCGCTGTGGGGTGTGGCAACTTGAAATGACGCATGTGTGCTAAGTCGATTTCGTTGATTTCTTCTTTCCATCTAAATGAATGAAGTGACATCGATGTGTGCTACATCATAGTTCACTAATCTAATATGGAGTATGACAATACGAGTGAGACGTTACGTGTCTCCCTCCTAGTCTATAAAGCTGCTGACAAAATTAAAGTGCTGATCGATTAGACTAAGCTAGATAAGAGAAGAAAGGTACTCAATTGGATTAGTGTCTGCACAAAGTATGGGGTGCATTTTGGGAAGTTTTAAATAATAAATTTCAGTGTATTAACGGAGGTAGTCTGGAACGTTTAAGCACTATAATACACTCAGATTTCTTAGCTTTAAGTGACTGAAATGAACTTTTCAGAATAAACAAGTAAAAACAGATTCTAGTCCAAGGTAAAACTCCAAGTTCACTGCTGGATTAAAGATCCTATTGTATTCCAAAGTTAAATCAACAAGGTTAAACGACAAATTACAGCAAATTAAAATAGGATACTGTACTGTTACCTACTTTCCCCAGTTAAGGTTTCCAAATCATATTCACCAAACACTTGAAAATATGACACTTTAAGTGCTTGAAATAAAGTATATATATTTGTTACTGGATTTAGGCTAGCTGTTGTTTTATATGCTGTCACCCATTGTAATATTGCAAATCCAGTAATCACAACAGTGAATAAAGCCAAAAATGGTATTAAATCACGAACAATCTAAAATGAAAATGAAAACCCATTAGTACTTTCTTTAATATACTGGGAATGCTTAAAAAAGTTTACAAAGATTGACTAACGGTTTTGGAAGTTAACATACACTAAGTTTAGCAAGTGGATTTCAATGCAGAGTGACCTTTTCCATGTTTAACAATAGAATTTAACAGACCAATGTCAAGAATAATAGATTGAATCATAACTTCTGTTCTTAGCTCTACAGAGATACTACAGTGTTCACAATGTACAAATCGTGGAGGTATAAATATAGATATGTGAATCCATCAGTATGGTTCAGTGAAATAAATGACTAGAAATTACAAGTACACATGAACAAAATATGGACTGTTTACTTTGATATATTCATAGGTAATGGAGTAGCAGTAAGGAGTGGCGAGTACAATTTGATGAATGAAGTGGATCTTTTTCAACTTTCTGTGAGATTGTAAAGATGGATAGTGACTAACAGTGGAATCCAAGATGTGCATTTCATTCTATATGGGACTCTGTGAGATTACTTTATTCCAGTGACATCTGTAATTTGAATTTATATTCGGTTTTGAAACTACATCAGCAGTTGTTCTAGAGACATCTATTTCCAACAATAACCGTAGTGGACTTGTTGGTATCACCAATAACTCGTAAGAATGCAAGTGGTGGAACTGATAGTGAAAGTTTAGCCCTTATTGGGATTAATCAGCTAAAAACTGGAAAGTAATTTTAAATGACTTTCTGGATATTTTCTTTCTTAATGAATCCACCAGTTTCTACCTGTCTCAAGAATTTCTATTCAAAAATTCTGGAAGAGACTACCTTTCACATCATCAATCAGTACAAATGATTGTATTCAATGTTCATTCGGGAGACTGCTTCCATTAAACTATCTAGTTCGGCGAGACAAACGGTATTAAATCTCATCTTTATAAGGCTGCAGTTATCAAGACACTACTTTATTTTCTTTAACATCTGTTTAAAAAGACAGACAAAATTTCACTTCATGACTGTAGAAAAAAGACACGATGCAGAACATATTATGGCTCAAAAGTGAATGTTGGTTATATTATCTGAGGTACCCTTTTTACTCTATGAGACTTATCTCAAAAGAGGTAAATGATGACTAAATGTGAAGTAAAAACCAAATAACAGCAAGTTTTGGATAGCTACTGGCTTGAATGCAGTTACGATAGAGATTAGAGTGGTCAGAACACAAGACGGCCATTTCACTCGTTTGAGGCTGAGCTCATCCGTTTAAATTACTCTAATCTAGCCAAGAAAATTCAAAAGTCACAATAGTTGGTTTCTAACTACCTACGTTTTTCAGTGAAATATCACGTTTGTTCATGAAGCTTTCGTGTCACAGGTTACACCTTGAGTTTGTGGTTGGGTGATTTTAAAATGAAATTATATTGGCGGCATATTTGGGCAGCTGAAAACCACTCAGCTGGGAGAAATGTCATTGTGGACCGTGCATTTTATAAGTCATTTACTACCTGATCATTCTGTTTAAGGTATGTCGGTCCACGCAAGTCAGCTGAACAGATTCAGGTGAACTTAACAATTGAGCTATGTACACTAAAGTTGTCAGGTTACACTGTTGATGAACCCACCCTTAAATGAGTAAAGTGGCTATCCAAGGTTAGGATCACTTTGATCTGGTTGGTGAAATCTACAGATCAACATAAATGGTTTCCAACTATTTATGTTGTTCAGTAATATACCTTATTTTTTCAACTGACCTGTGTTTCAATTCTCTACGATCTTAGTCTTTAGTCAGTTAGCGACTTTCATAGGTATCATGTCCGCTCAAACCCATTAGTAATCACTCATCGAAATTGTTGCACATTCTTCATCTTTTTCTTCTGCTTGTGGTCAGTCTACAACCACTATTAGGCAGCCTGTCTAACACTTCTCTGTTACTCATCACTTCACCTTTATTAAATTGATTTTTCCCAGTCATTTTGTGAGTTTCAACTGTACTTCTGTCTCTCTGCATTTTGTTCACTTTTACTAACAGTTTTTCTTTCTCATAATTCGGCTCACATATGTGAGTGGATTTATATCCTTTTAACTGTTTATTTATGAGTGAAGTAAGATTCAGTTCAAATCACCTTCTTTTCTCAAATAATCTTTTTTTGACTTTTCAACTAACCCTTTTTGGTTCCTCCTCCTTACTATATTTGTAAATCCAACAATATTCGTTTACGAAAACGCCAATTTTAACGTTTGCTTTTTATTATTTCAGTAGTTTTTTAAACTTAAAGTACAAACTTAGGGATAAACCTCAGTCTTGAGCCAAAGTTGTGAGGTTAGAATGCATCAACTAATTCATCTACATCCGGAATTCTTCTTTCATATTTCACAAAAGTTTCATTCTCTTTGTGCCGATTGAATTCTCTTTATTAGTGACGAAAGCACCTAAAAGACATCCAAGAGAGGAGAAGACTGGTACTTTCCAGTGTCTAATAACATTTCAGAAATAATATTTCTTCTAGGTGTAGACACAAACAAAACACATCGAAAAGTAAGACAGAATTCAGTGAAGTCTGAAGTTCTTATTATATGACTCAACAAGAATATTTAGGTCTAGCTAAGGAGGTGTTTTTTTCTCTATAGATTTTTCCAAATTTCGATAACACTAATGATTTTATGGCGGCTTTTTGTATATAATCGATATGTAATTAGAGTTTATAGCTTTAAACGTCTGCCAAGTAGTGAATAACTTGTCCTTTCTCTGCTGACTTCATGATAGTTTTTCTAACTGCCAAAAAGTGTTCCGTTGGTCAAGGCGGCCATTGGTTTTGTAAAATAACGGAGGCCAACATGTCTGTAATCAGTTTTCATTACCGTTTCCCCTAGGTTTTGTAGATGGAAGGAAAAGGTTTTAAATTCATAATTTGTTATGAATAAAAGTGGATAACTTCCATCATAAGATAATGTTTGAATTATTATTCAATTTGTAGATGCGTAAGATAAAAGTATACTCACCATAGATTGAACCATAATAACCATAGGACCCAAACGGATATTAACTGTAAATAATTCTAAGATACGATGATAAAATATACATAAAGAAAGTCCAAAAAATATTCTTGATAGTTGATTTAAAGCTTCTTGAATTGCACCAACTGGATTCACTGGTGTAAATGACATTCTTTCTGTTTCTTCTGTCCATACTAACAGTTGCAGTGCACAACCAAGAAAAAATACAACTATAGCCATCACTTCAAGACACTTCCATAATTTCGCTAAATAGACTTTGAATGGAATATCTCCCAACATTCCCTGATAGAAAAAAACAAGGAAGGAGGTAATAGTGAAAAGTAGACATTTTTATTGTTAAGGATTGATAAAAAACTATTTCATAGATAAAGTTTCATTTCATTGTGATATCGGTATGAAGTTAGAATTGATTTTGTGAACAATATTGTATTTTCTCATTTTAGTGTTTGACCATTCATCCTTCCATTATTCCTTTTACACAGAATCATTTACTAAGTCTCGAGAAATTGTTTTCAGTATCAAGAAGATTTATGATCTAATTGATATCATCGTAAGTAGAACCTTGCAATCTACCATACTGATGCATTAATTGGCCGCTGGAGAGTTACCGACTTCATATTATCTAGTTTTAAATGATGACCCAAATCTTCCAGTCAGGCAGTCGATCTGGAGGTCAGTCGCCAACCGAAAAACCCAATGATAACACCTCTAAGTTAGGGATTGGATGATAAGAGAGTCATCTCTTAGAGAATAGGAGACCCCTCAAGGTTACAGATGTACCATGCTGATGACTACCAATAAGCGCGAAGCCTGTGTTCACAGCTGCTTATCAGTTTTCTGCAACTACCTGAGATCTAATGTATCTCTAATGTCTTACACATGGATTAGGAAGTGCATTTTTAATTCCTCACTTTTAAAAAGGCTTTAAATAAAACTCGAATATTGTAACATAAAAAGTAGATTTCAGATATATGATTTGTGAGAGACAAGATATTTAAGCTGTTTAGTATTCAAACTAATTAACTTTTCGTCTGACATTAGCCAAAACTTAGATATACCTTTCGAAGTAGGCTGCATAACCAGCCAAAGATGACTTTTCTCGAATAATAGCACCACTTCGGTTAGAAGATATCCAAGGGATTCTGAGTAAGTAAAAACTGATCTTACATACCGAAATTAGTGATACCATTTTAAAGAAGGATGGTTTTGTTGAACTGAAAGCTACCTGCGAATCTCATCGTTTTTGTTGGCATTCTTTACCTATAGAGTATTTGACCGACCATGCAAATATGTTAACATTATGGTCTCTAGTGAACAATAACCAGTGAAGATCCTAAGGTGTGGTCACTAAGCCGTCATGAATTCTCTATTGAACCGCATGAGTAAAGAGTGGAACGAGGCTGATCAGTTACTGGTTCTGATGGATTGAGTCCAAAGTTTCAATAAGCTATTATCACTTGGTAATCGTAAGCTGACACATATTATCCAGTATACCGTAAGCCAGGTGGTCAATTTGCGAATTATTTTCTTGCTCTATTATTTTAGTATTATTTTCTTGTTCTTAATGTATTGTACTGTGTTCACTTTCCCCAAGATTATTATGGCAATGAACAGAATTTCACTGCTCTGTGGTTCCGAATAACTGTTAATTTCATGTTATTCTATGATGAGGAGTACCTCTAGGTTACAGATAACCTTCGACACTTGTCTTTTTCAGCCAGTTTGTTTTGTAGGTTTATGAGGATTGATTTATTTCAAAGTGGCACTCATCTCAGACTGACATCGTTTAAAGAACCATCGAAAACTTAGGAGCACTGGACAGCTGTTCTGTCCCAGTATGAGACTCCTTGGCAATGTACACCTGTGACCCCATAATGATTCCCCACAAACTTGAAAAATAAATTATTATCTTGTGCTCATTGGTGACTTGCTTCGAGATAGATTTCCTAAAAATCTAATGAGAAGCCGTAACTTTTAGAGTCAACTAAATAGGAGGTGGAGTGGATGCCCATTGGTGACATGATCGCAGTTTACTGCATGTGGACAAAAGTATGGAAATGTGGACCATTGAATCCTTCTTCAAAGGCTCTATGGTAAAGTGTTCATCCCAAAACCTGGAGGTCCTGGGCACAGTCCTTGATGAGGTCATGTGTGAGCACTGCTGAGGAGTTCGATACTAGGAAGAAAGAGCTGTTCAGTGCTCCCGGGTTTTCAATGGTTCTTCAACTGATGTTAGTCACGTTTAATATCATCTTAGGGTCTTTCAATTAAATCTCACGATACAATTTTTGTTGTCACCACTAATTATCTCATTTTAGTATCAGTCTGATTAACTCGAAGTTTCCACTTGATTAAACAGTGTCCTTAACTGTATTCCGTTGAAACTCATGACATAGAACTAGTTCAATGTAATTCTAAAGTCAGAACTGTTGTTCGACTTCTCTTATGCCTTACACACCTGAACTCTGCTAGTTAATCACTAGATGAACATTTCAAAATGCAAACTGTTGAGTATATTTACCTTCCAGACAGTGATAATTTATCTAGCTAAAGGGAGCGTTTACGTGAAAAGTTATTTTAACTGGACGTTTCATTTTGATTAAGGCAGTGAAATTTCGTCTCAAGTATCAACAATGACTTTTATTTACCAGTTCAATTTCTCATTTATGTTTAAAATTTGCTGCGGTATCGGTGTGTATCTGAATCAAGGTTTCGCACTTATTGAGACTCATCAGAAATGTGTAAGTGCAGGCAGAATGTAAGTTAATATTAGAATTTGAGTTCACTTGGTCTGGCTTCATAGAAAAGCTCCCACTGAACCATGTCTAATGTGACTGACTGTACGCATCATTCCTTTACTTACTATACGGTAATTAGTGTCAGATTTAATGCAGCAGTCTTTGACAACTTGAAAAGTCAGACTTGATAAATGCAATGTTTACGTTTTTTCTCAAGAAACAGTACTACCCATTACGTTTACAGTGAAAAGCTAATGTATATTTTATGTAAACAAGAAAATACTAAAGTTTAATTAATTAATTTATTTATTCCAGTAAACAGTGGGGAAGCCATGAAATCTGTCTTCTCAATGCTTTTAAAACAATTACTGAAATGACCCAGTGTTTTGTAGAAAATGCCGACGAACTTTGCAACTGAAAACAAATGGCTTGTAGAATACATAACAGTATTCTGGTTGTCTACCTTCTTAGCAGATATCTATGGGTTTTAATGATTCTCAAACATAAAAATACATTTCACCAACAATTTATGCATCCATTGTTTTAGTAAATACCACAGACATGCTAACTGTAATTAAAGTTATCCATTCACCGACATTCATGTAACTTTGTGGGATTTACACGCATAACTTTTGGCATTGTGGTTAGAACAATTGATGTGAAAATCTCAGTGACTGATTTTTGATGAATGAGGATAGGCTATAAGCTAGAATCGAAAATATTCATAAATTGATAGAAATATTTCACTTAGTCCATCTAGAAATTGGTCATTTTAATGTTCATACTCATTGCTAACAGTATTCCAGTAAGCTGCTTAGACGTAGTATAGATTCCTAGATGACCAGCAATTATTCTCTCTTATCTGAAAACAAGAACTGCTAATCAAAAGTTAGAAAAATTGAAATAAACACAAACCGGATGAGGTAATTTGAAAGTTACCAATTTATGATCATGCACAGAATTGACAGTTTTATTGCTGTTGCCCCATTTGTCATCATTTTCTACTGATATATTAGGGTTACTTTTGAGTAAGATAAGTTGTCTTCATTCCTTCTTACAATTACTGCCTAAAACACAATGTCACATGCTATGCTGATTCATTCAGTCAGATAGTCAACACAAAATTCACCGTATCTCAACCCTTTGATAGTAAATTTCGGATCATGATTATCATCCCACTATCATCAATGGATACTAATAGGCATCTTTTTAAAAACAAAACTTTATTAAAACAATTCTTCACTGTAGTATAACACGATTTCCGGTTACTTAACCCTCTTCTCATATGTCAAACGTGATTACTAGGATCATATAGGCAAACAAACATGGAGAGATGAATTTGCAACATACTATAGAAGTCCATTGGTTCTGTGATCTGCTCATCACTGGAAGCCGTACCTACTTTGTGTCATCTCAATGTATTTGATCCAATCGTACATGGGAAAAGTAGGTTCCTGAATAGCCTAATGACTACTAACTGTAGAGTATAGAAGGATATAAGCGTTTTGATTACGAATGCAAGTAAGCAGACAACTTAAGCAAAAGGTATACACAGATTATTTTCAAACACCTAAGATTTGTACTTTTTTTATTTATCATATGAAAAACATATCTACACCAAAATATAACTGGTATAAGAGTAGTAATTATATCAAAACTAGTAGTAGTCAACTCACCTGACGTATATGTTCAGCAACAAATGAAATTACCCACAAATATAAAAGAGTATTTGGGAACGACAAAAAAGGCAGTAGTAGATCAACAGAGAATAGTAAAACATATGTGAAAAAGCATAGAAATGCAATGTAGGATATCTGTAAAAGAAAGAATAGTTAAAACAACAACTTGTAAATCTCATAAATAAAATCATATGTTTCTTAGAAGACAAAGCCCTAAGCGAATAAGTATTTTCGATAAATTCTCGTCAGGCTTTGCATTTACATTCACAAATTATTCAGTACAGTCATTTGATACCAACATGGTTAAATTAATTCAGGCATATGGATTAAAAATTAACAGTAAAAGTGATGATAACAAAACAAAATCTCGGGAAGTTTATAAATATTCTCACTAGTCAAACCTTGTAGTTGTATTGATTGGTCACGCGCGTCCTGGATTTTTCTGCTAGCCACAACCAAACAAGTTACCTTAATTAACATTTAGGCGATATCGAAGCATCCGCATAGGAGCCCATATGCCAATAGAGGTCGAACAATCCGATCCAATAAAACAACGGAGAATTTCACGCATGTCAATAAATAGTAATGATCACTACACGTTGTACAAGAACTGGCTATCGTCCCTCCATGGCATATCGGATAACACCTTGGCGTTTACAACGATGGGTACGAAGTTTGAGTCTCAGTGGGAACAACATCACCCCGCACTGGGGTGCAGGTACACTCAGCTGATGAGCCCCAAGTAGGACGAAACGCACATCTTGGATTTTTCCCCTAGCCACAACCAAACGAACTTCATGCTATCTAGTCCTGATTGCAGACTGAATCCTATCGATCATGTTTGCGATGTGGCCACCAAGCCAAGAGGCTCAGCATTGCGGTGTACATTAATAGAAGTTAGTTGTCTGTAGGCAATCGGTAGGAAACCCTATACCTAGGTCTCGCGCTTGTTGGTACTCATCGGTGAGGCGTATCTCCAACCTCGATGAAACTGATATCCCATCTGAAATTCAAACCCACGTCACCCAGTGTTTTAGTCAACGACTTTTCCACCGAAATAGTCGAGAATATTCTTGGCTCAGGTGGATGGTCTTGGTTGTATTGTGTTTTCCGAGCTGGGTTGTTTATTCGCTCAGCTTAGAGAACATAGTGCGATCAAGACTTTTCCGCTGAGATATTTGAGCTGCAGATGACCTCCTTCCTTCGAGGTTCCAGATATGCCTTGTCAACGACTGTCAATAAGAACGAAACCTAGGTTCAGGGCTTTCTGCCGATTACCTTCAACCAACCAAAATCCTTGTAGTTGCATGAGTAAATTGTGTGCGTGTGTGTGTGTATCGATAGACAGAAATAAAATTATTGTCGCATAACGATTAGATAATTATGAAACTAAGGGCGAAAAGTTAAGATAAAATGATAATGATAAGAGTACAAAAAAAGATAAAATTTACATTTATTCGGGTGACCAGGAAGGGATTTACTGTAATTGTATCTGCTTTGAACTTTCTGAGATTTTGTTTTGATATCATCACTTTTACTGTTGTTTTTTAATCTATATGCCTGAATTAATTTAACCATGTTGGTATCAAATGACTATGCTGAATAATTTGTGAATGTAAATGCAAAGCCTGACGAGAATTTATCGAAAATACTTATTCACTTCGAACTTTGTCTTCTAGTTACCACAATGAGAATATGTTACTTGGTTATAAGGAATTTTTTTAGGAAAATTTAAAATAGCTGATGAATTAAGCAAGTTAATATATTTATACTTGGTGATGACTGGAGATAAAATGAAAATTTGGACCCCAACCGGATTCGAACTAGTGACCACCGGGTTTTCGGCTTGATACTCTATATATACTACATATATGTCAAAAATTCCAAAGTCACTTTGATGTGAATACTAATTCTGCTTTCAGCGTCATCTATTAAATAATACTGTATCACATCTCCCATATCAAATAAACAATCTAATATGGAATCATACTCTACCACAGTGCCCAAGTTATACTCGAACATTACACATCACACAAAGAATATTAACTACAGTTTCAAACAGTAAACAGTGCAGCAAAGACTTTAATAATGTATCACTTTCACTTTTATAACTTTGAGTATGAAAGTACTGGTGAACTCTGTACTGAATCCGATAAAGTACACATTAACAGATAAAGTTTTGAGCACACTGATTGTTTATTGTTGCAACTAAGCAGTTTTCAAACCGAGTATTTTAGCGTTACTACTTCTCATTCCTTGATTTCCGTGGTAGCAGAATTTCTTATTTAGCTTGGACAGAAGTGATATTTACCCTGATATATTCTTGGTTATCGATTCTGTGAAAAGAAATTTTGTGAACAAGTTTCTTTACTGAAAGACTATTAGCTATAACCATTAGTAGTTTTTGTGAAAATCCAATAAACTAAAGGCGATCAATAAAATTAAGATATATGTAGCAGATTTTACATTTTATCCCATGACCGTCAAACATTTTATGTTCATGAAATCCTTGGAAGTGTAAAATAGAACTCTGACTCAATGGCCTAGTGGATAACGCTCTGCTGTTTGAAGTGATCTGTCATGGGTTTGATTCTTAGTGGGAACAGCATTACTCACTAGAAGGTAAGTACACCCAGCCCATAGAGGCCCAAATAGGACGAAACAACCATCCTAGATCCCACTGCCAGATATTATCCATCACTTATATCAAAGCTGAAGATATTGGCAACATCAAGGCATCTACATAGTAGCCCATACGTCAGTACTGGCCGACCTATTTGGTCCAGTCAACGATGGAGACGTGCCAGCTATAACATCCAGGAAATCCTAAACTTGATGTCAAGAAAAAAATCAAGACAATTATGGAAAGTCTCACTATGCCAAGTTCAACTTTCAGAATCAACAGTATTTGAATACATAAAACAATCTAAAGGAAAAGACATAGGTTGAACAATAATTTTAAGGATATGGTTCCAAGTTTCAAAGAACGTTTACTTACAACTTGGATGTTAAAATCATTTTGTTCAAAACAAACTGAAACTAAATACTCATCTCCAACTATACACTTGATAGTTTTTAACTTAATGTCATTTTGTAATAAAAATGATCAAATCATTTGTTCATACTACTTCAAACTTTCGAAGATTTCCATCTAGTATTTGGAAGGAAAGCCTATCATTTCAAAAAGAGATACTTGGAACGACAGAAAAGATCGGTTACTCTGGGAGAAAAGGAAAGTTAATTGGTGTTCTGTGACGCCTGATCCCTTTTTTGAAAGTTTCATTTCCCTGCTCAGTAACATCATGAACATTAATATCCTTAAGGAGTATTCTTTCTCTAGTTGTACAGGTAGATGCCCTTTTTGAAAGCCAGTGTCACTTTTTTTGTAATGACAATACCCCGTTCCCTTTGATGTCAAATCAAACAAATCGTGACCACATAAAATGTTATTTATATTATAAGGCAGTTAGAGTTTTCAAGTGAAGGTAAGACTGAATGAAGTTAACTGAGATCGGATAAAAACTACTGATTAGCATGACAAATTATAAGATTTCAAACAACTAAAGATTCCCGTAGTACTGATAAAAAGCAACAATCTAGAAGGAAAATATTCTTTTCAATAAATTCTCTTCAGGTTCTACAATTATAAAATGCATTTGTACAGCCAAGTTAGGGGCAATTACATTTTCAAAATGAAGGGAAATTTAAGAACCGAAAGAAAACCAATTTATCTTTTTTAAATTGTCACTATTAGGATGATATATATACAGAAGAATGATATGACGGTGAGCAAAAAATGACTGATAAAAAAGAACGAATGACCTTTAGTTTACTGAAGGCCAAGGTAGAAGGTACGCTTGGACATGTTCTTTCTGAATTCAGGGTTCTAGTGTGATCACTCTTATTGAGATAGCTTCCGCTGTGTTGAGCAGGCATTGGTGAACTGCACGTGATGTCGTTTTTGGAATATGATGAATGACTTTGAAATCTCTATTAGCAGCTATATGATGCCCTGCGTCGGATAGTTGCACTAGGACTGAACTTTTCACCACTTTCAATTCGCCGCTTCTGAGCGCAGCAGGTAAATGCTGTCGTATCCGGAGACGCACTTGCCTAATCGTACGCTCTATGTAACTAGTTCCACAGGAACAGTTAAACCGACATATGCAAGATGAAGATCTAAGATTGGGTAGGCTATCCTTTAGTCTGGGACTGAGCAACTGCCAACTACTGAATAATGTGCAAAGCCGACCCGCATAAAACGTCCTACTGACTTCTCAAGCTAGATGTTGTTATAGAATGTTACTTGTAACATCTCTCTTGAATTGTAGGCGTAGAAACAAAGGCTTTTTCTCCACTGTCATCAGTTCTTGTTCAGGACCAATGTAGTTGATGTCAGCCTTAATGGACTTGTCCGGAAATCTGTTTTTACTTGGAATATCACTGATACACGGTAGTCCTTTTCCAACACACTCCCTGGAACAGATCGATCTTATTCGAAATGCTATTCACCTGATCATATTACTTTTGTACTTCGTCAGTACGAAGCTGAGAAAATACGCATACTGTGCCTTAGATGAATTAGTTAAAGTGACATGTTGCTTAGTAAAGTGAAACAGTGAGCACAGAACTAACTACGTAAGAATTTAATAGAGTGAAATAAATTAATTATTAGTTAATTGAGACAGTCACATTAGATAAGGAAAACTAATAAAAGACAACTCAGTGAAAAAACTTTCTTTCCGACTAATCATTTTCAAAAGCTGTACATCATAATCATGTTTACGACCGAATATCCATCACTGGCTAATGAGTCAGTACAAGGTCATCATAAACGGCCAGTAAAGTCACAAGGTGATAACGTTTAGAAGGTCAAATCAAGGTCACCAAAACTGTTTATAGAATTATGGTAGATAAACACAAAGAGCAGACTTGTGCAGCTGGATTGTCAGAGCTTCTGCTGTGTTGAGATGGGGAATACATACTCGCTTTGAAATGTTTGCCTTCACTTTAGAAATGACTTTGAAAGAAGAATCCTGTGCATCACAGTAACCAGAGATAATTTATTGTTCAAGAACTGACCTGCTAACGGCTTTAAACTGTCCTTTGGACAACCAGTGTTTGGAGATGCGCTTGGATAGAACATGCTTTGTGAGGCCTATGTAACCAGCTTCACAAGAGCATATGAATTGGTAAACACACATGAAGGTGGCACAAAGCAGTAGCTTATCCTTTACACACTCTCGAATCAGTTGTTGGCTGAAGAAAACAATTCGAAGGTGGGGGGAAAAGTAGGTGCTTTTCACAGTCGATTCTTCAGTATCTCCGCCACTTCATCTCTCTTGAATCTAATATTCCTGAACAGTGTCTCTCTTGGAACTACAGGGACCTCTTCCTTGAAATTATTAGGCCTCATGTTTCACTCAATGAATCTTGAAGGATAACTAATGATGACTCTTCGAAGTATTTCCAGTTCCTCATTTGCTGCATCATCCTTACAAATCCTAATTTGTGTGCATATGGAATTAATCAGGTTTCTTTTCCTGATTACTGGAACCCAGCTTTCAAAATGAGTATACTGAATATTCCAAGTTTGTTTTCTGAAAAGTCGATCTCAAAGCAGAACCTTCATGTCTCCTTCTCAACAGAATGTCTAGGAAGTGTAATTCTGAGTTATTTTCAGTTTCTATCATAAATTTGGTTGAATTATGAAATTTGAGGTTATTATTCTCCACATAGATGACGAAAGTGTCATTCATATTTCTCTTATATAGATGGAACTGGCCGACCAGTGCATGCAGTTTAGTGTTCTCTAGACTGGCCGTGAAGAAACTAGCTAGAAAAAGATCCACTGATAAACCCGTTGCTACCCATCCGACTCCTGAAAATGTTAATTATTAAGTCTAAATTGTAAAGGTACATCGTAAGAGCAGTTCCTTCAGATGATGCTTAGGAATCCCAATTTCAAGCTTCATGATCTCGAAATAAACACACAAGGCGGATTTTTTTCCTCGAAGGGATATTTGTGAAGGGCGATGTGACGCCCACTGATAAAATACGCTTATCAGATAAGCTGACATCTCTTATGCAATTAATGAAGTCGGAGTCAGGAATACTGTAATTAGTGACCTGACATTTCACTGGCTGAAGGATTTCAGTCAACCATTTAGTGATCCCATGATGTTGCTGAATTGTTCATGTCAATTATCGGATGAAGAGTAGTATCTTTCTCGTGAACTTTGGGAAGACCGTAGAGTCAAGGGATTAATCTGCAATGACGGTCGATTCGTCTTCCATCTTCTTCAAAATTTTTGCCAGTTTTTGTTCTGTTTGTTCCACTGAATCTTTCTGAAACTCTTCCTTCTTTCGGGAATTTACTTTCATCTGCTAGTGTAGATGACAGTTCATCAACAAAGTATTTGCAATTCATAAGAACTATGCCCAAGCCACCATCAAGACAAACTAGCTAGAACAAGACAGTTTCTTGTTCTCCAAAATTCATTTGACTGGGCTTTATGTTCTTTGGATAATAGTCTCCTAGTATTAGGTTTTATGCTCATCTAATGAAGACTGCAGTTTGAAATCGTTGATTTAGATTACTCGAGACTCTGGTTGGAGGTTGGAATCAGATCGTTTATCTGGTTCATTAAACTTTCAAACTGAACTTTAGTGTCAAGCTCTTTAAAAGAAGTAGAAATATCACAAAAATTTGAACCCTAATTAATTTAGCGCGATTATTCATGGTGTAATGAAAACCGGCGTTGTGGCAGGACCACAAACAATAACCTTCAGATTAATGGCCGGGCTGAGCCACGACACATGGCTCCTGGTTTCACCCTAGTGATTGTTGCAACCGTAATCTGGTTAGTGAAAACCGTCGGCTTGAGTCCTGTCAGTGTTTGAGGTTTGTTTGACTTTCATCCATCACTTGGCATCAATTATAGTAGTCTGTCAATCTGTGGCTTGTCAATATAGCCTCACTAAGAAAAAAATTAGCCCAAAAACTGACAATCAGCATCAAGCACAGAGAAGAAACAACAAGAATCTCCCATCAGTCACAGTTAGAGATTCTTTGTATGAATGGCTAAAGCTTTTTTAATATATTGGATATAGGTATGAGATGTATTTTGTATTAGTCTTAGCGTGTTTCTCATAGAAGCCTGGTTTGTGATTCTTCAGGAAAATATTCAAAATTTACATTAACATATATATATATATATATATATATATATATATATATATATTGTGTAGTTCACCCCATGATCCATTCTTATTTGGAAAATGATTGTCTTTAAATATGATAATTAGTGAATAATTTGAAAATATACACACAATGTATGAATGTATGTGTGTGAATTTTATTCCAGACGTAGGCTACATGAGGTAAGAATGCCAATGGGTATCATTATAGTCTATGTATGAAGAATATGCACCGTTCATAAGAAAGCATTCTGAATGAGGAACCTATCAATGACAAGTAACTGTTACTCACAATTCATTCTATTGCAGAACTTATGAATCCACTGCTTACTGTTTGGAACTATGAAGGCAGTGTTCCTTAACCCTGCCAAAAACAACGGTCATTAGATGATAAATAAACCTTCTTTCATGGAATCCTATACACACCTATACACATGATTTGATTTGGTGGCTTTTGCTTCAGATCATCAAGAGACCATTGGGGGCTAATAAATCACTACTCTCCTGTTTAAAGTAAAACTATGTCAAAAATGACTCTGTTTATCCTGAATGTCATGAATAGAACGCATTATATTTTTCTAAAGTAAGTGGTAACATTCGTTACAGTAATGTTACAGAAACCTCTTCACTAATCACTTTGTAAAGCGGTGCAGGCTATTTGATCACTTAGAGGTGCTAAGACAGTTCACCAGTTAACATCTGGCTTAATAATCTATTCCTTCTTGTTATTTAGAAGTTTACGTAAGCATTTCTATGTGAAAAGATATTTACATGACATTTTATGATCAACTGAAAGTCAGTAGTTCAACTTTAGTAAACTTCATTTTTATTCTTACCGTTGTATATGAAAAGCGCACACATGGTGATTCATAAAATCCTCGAAGTTTTTGGAAGTAGGCAGAAAATGAGCCTTTGGCACTAAAAAGATACATTAATAAACAGTACAGTAACACTTAAAACTATTTGAACGATTTTGAAATCATTCTCAGCATAATTTTCAGCTAAAAGAACACCAATGATATAAGAAGGTAGTTTATTGTAGATCAAGCAGTAAATCAGTTGCCAGTTATCCGGTGTGTAACTCAAAATCCTAATACGACTTCCAGAAGTCATGATATGCGGATAATAAGGAAAATTTACTACTTTAAAGCCAACCAAATTCGACTTCAGGAAAGTTACCCGTTAATGACATTATTAGATCAGTCTACTCTGGCTGTGTCATCTAGTAGATACCAACTTGAATACTTGACTGTAGGAGAACAGTGCTGAGGAAATGCTACTATTTCTCAAAAACTCTACCTGGAACTGTTGAAAGATTTATATTTTTCAACCATTTCGAAAAAATTTGAACTTTCGTGAAATTCTAATTCTAGATTCACAAGTTCAGTTTACCGCGACTAATTCACAAGATCACCTAACAAATATCTATATACACATTTGAAATTTTCAAGTGACAGTCATCAGTTCTGACTGGGAATAAATAGGTTCAGTTTCAACCTACTTTGTTTTTTGCTCACTCTTCAGTGACTCTGTCGGAGAACTGCATAAAAGTTCCTGAAAATCGGTTTAATATTGACTTTTTGAGCGATCGGCATAGAATCACAGTACACTCTGGAAAATGCGATAGGGCGAAAAGTTGCTCATTATCACAGCAATAATAGGCTGCTAACTTTTTCCATTTGAATAAATAAATCCCTTCGAACTCATCTGAATGTGACTGCTTTGACTATTTGAAATAAATGCGAAGTCTTTTATCTCCAAGCTACTATGATAGACCTCACTGTTTCCACGTGTTGTCCGGTATCAAGTTAATAGTGAACTACTCTACTCCTGAATGAACCTCATTGACGTAGACTCATAGGCGTTCGCTAAGCAATCATAGAAGACAGCTGTCTCTTTGTTCTTCCTAAGTACTTGCTCCCCCATGTATATGTGAATTAACAAACACAGAAGCTTACAAGATTTAGGAGTTTGTTTAATTTTCATTGTATAGCTGTACATGATGTTTGGTACAATGAGACAAGTCTCGAAACCAAATAGACTATAGACGGTGAACTCCTAATCCATTTGCTGATTTTCATCACAGAACCAAAATAAGAAACAACGGCTTATTTTCTAAAATGTTACACCCTTATTACTCTTCACATCTTTTAAGCATTTATGCATTAACTTCGAGTAATCGTCACTGCGTAAACACTATTAAACCAACTTAAGTTCTAAATGCGGTTTTACTTTCCAGTACAATTCATTCTTGTATGACATAATATCATCACTTATACTTTCTTGTAGCTGACAGAGCAGAAACTGTTGAGGTCTAACGATTGACCACCGCATGTGGTTTTATGATAGATGCACCTCTTTATTGTACTATATTTGTGTCTCTTGTATAGGCAGAGATGATTCAGATATTGTTTCTCTTTATACTCCATTGTAGACAGCACTGGGACGTTAATTGTTGAGATGAGTCAGAAGCATCTAGATTGAATAAACTTTTTCACAGTTAATGAAGACACTAACAATATACAAGGGCTAAAAATGATTTCCTTGATCACAAATTTCAGATTGGTGATTTAAAAGGATGTCACAGGGACTTCCGTCACTACTAGTTAAACTAAATCTCTCATAACCATACCGTCAGCCTGCTTATAGATGAGGATTTATGAAAAGCCGTAGGACATAGCATAAAAATATATGGATATGAAAGTTAAAGGGTCCGATAAATTGTGAGATTATGTGTAAGAATATGTAATAAGATAACAGTGCAATTCACAGAGGGTTGATGCATTAAGGGTTATACTAACTTATTAAATATACTACACCCTACCGAAGTGTCCTAATTCTACTGTTTCAGAATTTGTCCATTTCGAAACCTTTTAAGTTAGTTGTAAAGACTGTATATGTCAGTGTTGTTCATATAATTTGAGCTCTCTGAGACGAATGGCTATAGCTCCTGGTGTTTGGGATATCCAAGTTCTAGTTGCTTTTTGGCAAGTTAACGAGGATATAAAAAATGATTGAAACTGAATGAATAAAATTAGCCCTATAGTCTATCTGAACCATATTAGTAGGTGTTTGATAGCACGGAAAATAAAATTATTCGAGCATTGGTAGGCAAAAAATCGTCATTCAGGAAGAGTTGATTTAAGGGTAAACGGGAAATGGTCAAGTTATCGAAATGAGCACGCTTATTTACTTAACTATGCTACATATTCATGTTACTGACATTCTGATAACAAAAACATTAAAACGCTTCTATCTTGGTAATATTAACATCAAATGATAGTATCAGATCAAAACATAAATTGTTACTGAAAACTCACCTTTGTGAGGTTTCATGTTGTCTTTTAGTCTAAATAAATAGAAGGAAATATCTCTCATTAATAATGACTTTAAGGTATAAAAATATAGTCAAAATGTATTTCTATGTTCTGTAAGCTTACTGCACTATACACACTGTAATTTGTAAATCAGTACTTCTAGATCATATCTTTGGCAACCACGAATTACACCTGTTTCCCACTAGTAATAAATTCATTCTTTATTAATAAAGTTGATGGAAAATCTTTACTATGAAAGGGATTTTTAACTAGATGCTCCTCCCAGTTGGGGCTAAAAAATAACCCTTTGATAAATTTAAACAGCGTAATGAGAAGATGAAGATCATCTGAAACATGTGATGTATTAGCGCTATACATTTCGAACAATCCGATCACACATGGACTTGTCGAACTATTTATATGAAAATTTACGAAAAGGTCAATGAAGTTAATGGGAAACACAGGAATAGGAAGGGATAGAAAAGAAAAAGAAAACCTTATTCTTGGTATGAAAATTAAAATCAATACTACCAAGGTAGGTTCAGCGTGAGTACAAATTGTTTTTGTATACATAAAGGGGGTTTAAGTTTACGGATGGCAAGAGCTTCAATAAATTTAAGCACTCGGCTCTGACCACTTTTATGTAGTACTTTAAAGGCTGTTTTCATGTCTATTCTATGGTTAGTTTCTAGTATATGTTTAGCGATAGACGAAGATGGATGTTTGTCACCTGCACTTATCGGATCTGTTGAGGTCATTTGTTTTTGAAGCCACTTAGGTACATGTTCAGCCTTCCCTAACTGCATATCACGATTACTCCTCCCTATATATGTGTGTCCACACATACATGTAAATTGATAAACACAGTGGGATATGATGTAATCATTTATATGTTGTTTCGGTTTGTGCTGTAACATGGACTTGGACTTCTCTACAATGATGACCTTAGCTGCATAATACGTTTTGCAGATGGCCGATCTAAGTCTTTTCCTCACAACAAAGCTATGTGAATCACCTCTGAATGGTAATGAGATGTAGACATTTATCTTAGCAACAAAACACCGTATACTTTTCAATGGTACATAACTTTTGCACCGGTCGATAAGTCTCAACGGGTATCCATTTTGTATCAGAGTTGTCGTCAGTAAGTTGGCTTCTTCTTCCCTGGTGTCATCGGTGCAGATACGGTTTATCTCTTCCTATTCCTATGTTTCCCATTAACTTCATTGACCTTTTCGTAAATTTTCATATAAATAGTTCGACAAGTCCATGTGTGATCAGATTGTTCGAAATGTATAGCGCTAATACATCACATGTCTTAGATAATCTTCGTCTTCACATTACGCTGTTTAAAAAATAACCGTTGGAAACACAATAACTCGTATTTAATATATCTAATCTATTAATCCTACGTTAAATTTCATTGTGATTGAACAGATTAAACAGTGAACAAGATTAAAAAATATATTCAACTAGGTATCCCACAGTGGCAGAAACACATATCCCACTTAAAGAGTAAAAAGAGATTTTTTATTATCATTTCAATTTTGAAATTATGCACAAGGAGTTCAAAGAATACTTTGAAATGGTGGGGAATATTTGTGGCTCAGGTGGATGCTATTGGTCATATTGTTTTCTCTGAGCTGGCTATTTTAGTCGTGTAGCTTTCATCGTCTTTCTAGACAACATCATCACCACCGACTTCAGTATGAAGTGGGTTGTCAATGTCTCTCCGTGAGTGATTTAGTAGCTTGCTCTGACAAACTGGTTTGTGATTGGTTGTTCCCTTTGATTGTTTTGTCATTGACTGCATCGATTTTCCTGTTGGCTATTCCTCTGCTTGACCTGACCTCTAACCTTTCAGTCGTTTGTCATTTTTTTCATTGATTGATAGATTGGGTCTGTGTCTATACATCTATTGATTGCTGAATGACTGACCTGAATGCCAAGCTTCTAGGAATTCTCTCATATTCTTTGTGTTTCCTCTCTCCATCCAAGATTTCTACATTGTCGAAACTGAATTCATGTCCACAGTTGTTATCCACGTGCATTGAGATGAGTGATAAAATGTCGTGACGTTTAATAGCTAATAGGTGTTCATGTAGCTGAAGGCGATGAGGGCGGCCACTTTGTCCAATGTATTGTTGACTACAGTTATTGCAGTTGATTTTGTGAATGATGTTCAGTTTGTCTTCTTTCCCTTGTTGGCTGTTCCTCTGTTTGACCTGACTTCTGACCTTTCTGTAGTTTATCGTTTTTCTTATTGGTTGATAGATTAGATCTATGTCTATACATCTATTGATTGCTGACTGACTGAAATCAATAAACGCATCGTCCTACCATACATAAAGAATATATCAGAAGTCACAGCAAGATTGCTGAGACCACTTAGTGGGATTGGTGTGGCTCATAAACCAACTAATTCCCTCCGAATACTATTGTGCAGAACAAAGGATCGAATAACCAAAAAAGACAAACTGAAAATCATTCACAAAATCAACTGCAATAACTGTAGTCAACAATAAATTGGACAAAGTGGCTGCCCTCATCGCCTTCAGCTACATGAACACCTATTAGCTATTAAACGTCACGACATTTTACCACTCATCTCAATGCACGTGGATAACAACTGTGGACATGAATTCAGTTTCGACAATGTAGAAATCTTGGATGGAGAGAGGAAACACAAAGAATATGAGAGAATTCCTAGAAGCTTGGCATTCAGGTAAGTCATTCAGCAATCAATAGATGTATAGGCATAGACCCAATCTACCAACCAATGAAAGCCTCTGTCAACGTTAAAGGGAAATTTGAGAAACTTGAAGTGTCTAACAGCATTGCATGGAGAACTGAAAGAAACCGTAAAATCTTCTGGGATTCTTAGTTTATTAATTCTACCGAAAGACAAAACAAAGATGTACACAGAAAAATTACAGAACGAAGAATAACATTATAAAACGCAACTAAAAAAGACGAGTAATTTGCTATTGTAAGTTTTTTTGTATGTTTACAAGAAACGATAACCCAAAGTATGAAATAAAAGCAAGCGAAAACTATACGGAACAAAAGCATTATCTTCACGGTGCCGTAAATCGGCAAATATCAACTCATCGATTTGAAAAGATAACATGTACTGAGCAGTCAGCCAAATGCCAAAGTGCAATCTGATTTGCATATAACATATTGCCTCTTAGCACTGTTCATCGACTACAACTCCAACAAGACGAGGAGGGGGAGTCATTGCTTGGTAGTTCAATCTGTGTATGTCAATTCGAAAGTCCTTAAGTAAGTATATATGTTGGACATAAGGCTAAAGACGTATCCGATTAGCAGGACTGTACAGCAATAAATATTTATGTCGTCAACCCCACTGTCAGTAAATAGTGACATCAGAAAATACTTGAAGTTATGAAGACCTGATTGTCTTTAGTGCCGAAGCACAAACTCTATGAGCCAGAAGAAATGGCAGTTGCTGTAGGTTTTCATATTGCTGTTGATATCCCTTCTTCACCTTCTTTCTTTAATAGGTGAATCATAAGCATCATTACCCTACTTTCAACTCTATGATGCTCTAATGGATTACTATTTCAAAGTTTTTAGTTGACTATCAACTGTTCTATTCACAGTGACATAAACAACCCTTAGATTATCTAATTCATACCAATAATTATGAAATACCATTAAGTCTGTTAACACTTCTACCTGCTCTTTCAAAAAATGTTTCTACTGACACCTAATTCGTTGCCTTATTTTGTGTCATACTTGTTTACCGTTGCAATATACTGGAGTAAAAATAATTAGGTGTGCTGAGTATTCAGTTCACAACTCCTACCAGAATTTCAAAGTACGCTAAATACTACTTTCTACATTTTCCTTACATTTATATTATTTAGAATAACCCATGTCTGGGAAATCAACTACTTAGTTTTACAATTTAATAAACCGTCAACATTATGCAAGATATAGTGAGTTTTTCGACATATCGTTAGATGAGCCAATTTCTTGACTGTTATTACAATATAGTAGTTACACGTTATATACATTGATTGAAGAGCAACCAATTTAATGTTGTCTAGTCCTGAGTACTGATCGAATTCTGTCAATTATTTTTGTAATGTAGCCACTGAGCTAAGAGGCTCAGCATCGCGGTACATACTTATAGATGTTGGTTGGTTGGAGGCAGTCAGCAAGAAACTTCCGACTTCGTTTTCATGCTTCTCAGCACTCCTGGATAGAGCGTATCTGCGGTCGACACACTCAACAACTTCACTCCGTATTGTCAGCCACGGCACCGCTGAAGACCAGTCCTGGAGCAAAAATTCGCATTTGGGTGGTGAGAACCGCATCCCAAACATTTTCAAATTCCCACTCAAAGTGTTCAGAAGACTCTGCATCTTATCATCGTCTTCACTTAACAGGACAATGTCATCTGCATATTCTAGGTCTTACGAAAATTCTCCACCAATTAGGTCAACCTCTGTATAATTAGGTGACGAGGAGACCCCCATAAGAATATCTGTGATAAAATTGAATGAGAATGGAGACAGTGGGCATCCTTGACGGACACCACTCGATGAGTATAGCTCCCTGGACAACTCGCCATAGGCTCTAACATGCCCACAAGTGTTCGAGTAGATAGCTTTCAATAAGGTGATGTACTTAATCGGCACCTCTTTCAGTGAGAGAAATTGCCAAAAGACTTCTCGACCAATGGAGTCAAATGCCGCCTTCAGGTCGAGAAATACAGCTATCGTCGGGCATCTGTAAGCATGCCTATGTTCCAGGACCTGGCGCAGTGTGAATATTTGATCGATATACCCACGGCCAGGTCTAAAGCCTGCCTGGTTTTCTCGGACTTGTTGTTCCCGAGCTCCACTCAGGCGTCGGAGAATTATAGAACCTAGGATCTTACACACTATGTTCGTCAGGCTGATTCCTCTGTGGTTATCACAAGAGGACTTCTCGCCTTTCTTGAAGACTGGGATGATGAGTGACTTAGACCAGTCAGAGGGGATGGTATTTGATTCCCATATACTAGCTAACACTTCCGTTAACCTAACTAAGAACACTCCACCACCATTCTTGTATACCACAGCAGGTAGTCCGTCTGGTCCTGCTGCCCTTCCTCGTTTCAGGTTACCTACCGCTTTCTCAACTTCTTCTAGTGTTGAGGGACCTGTCTCTATGTCCCACTCAGGATCCGAATGGATAGCGGGCAATGCAGTGGTGGCTGGAGGGTAGTTAAACTGCTTCTCGAAGTGTTCTACCCATCGTTTCAGTCATCTCCCCTGCGACAGAATCGCGGATCCGTCCTTCTCCCCTACAGCCTCACTAAATGTTGTTGATCTTTTCCCCGCAGTCTCCCTAATAAGTCTGAATAACTGTCTACTGTTACCGATCGCCGCTGCCTTTTCCATCTCTTAAGCCTTCACTGCCCACCACTGTTAACGATCGTTGCATAGACTTTTCATCAGTCTACTTTTAAGTTGCGCTCGCTTTTCATTGTGCTTAGAGCCTCAACCCAGGGATGTGTTCATGTGCATCCATCAGCTCATAAGAAGCTTCTGATATCCACTGGCTCTTTTTAGCCACTATTTTGGAGTCGGTTACAGTCGCGAGTACCAAGCTTCTTCTGGATGGGCGGCAGTCTTTTGTTCCGATAACTGCCTAGCCAACTTCTCACTGAATGCGGCTTTGGTGTTTCCTTTGTCCAGCAGCACTCGTAGTGGTTTTGTTGTCAGATCTTTCTCACGCATGATCGCTGTCCAAGCACGTACTCCAGAAAGAGCGACAGTCTTCCACCAATCCTCTTCAGTGATGACTAATAGCAATGTGGTCTATCTGTGGCCATCGCTGAGTTGAGCTTGTTGGACGTCAGGTCAGACAGTGTCTTTCTTTATGTCTGAAATTGGTGCTGGCTAAAAATAGGCGGTTATCTGAGCACAGTTGTAATGGGCGATCACCGTTATCTGTACGTCCAGCTGGGATTCCGAAAGTGCCACCTAAGCGCCCTTCTGCCTCACTCAGTCCACCCACCTGTGCACTGAAGTCACCTGCAACAACCACTACGTCCGAACGTATGGCTTTCGAGAAGAGGTTAGACAGTTTACGGTAGAACTCGTCCTTCACTTGGTCCGAACTACAGTCAGTGGGTACGTAAGCAGGGATTACAAAGAGACGACGGCGAGTCTCCCTATTCCTTTTAGTTCTCACTATGCTGTTCAGCCCCATAGCGCAGAGGCGACTATCAACTGGAAGCCAGTCTAGTAGTGAGTTTTCTGCCCTGGTGCTTAGTGCTATACCTACACCTGCAAGACGCCGAGAGCTAGCTATCGAATCTCCAGAAACTCGGAGCGTGAATTTTGTGGGTTCACTAGATTGGTCAGGTGAATAACCACACTTGGGTCCTGTATGCGTGTCTCACAAACAGAACACATCCATGCCCGAGTTGCTAGAGTCTTTACTAACGAAGCCTGTTGGCCCATTTGACGGAGGGTGCGGACATTGAAGGCTCCAATATGTAATTTTAAGTGTGGTTTAAGGAGACCAGGGATGCTGTTCTGTGAACTCAGATCGTTGTCGAAGGCTGCAGAGGTAAGAGAAATTGAAGATGATGTAGTATCGTTAGTTGAGAGACGTGAAGGAAGATTAGAAGGTAATGATGGAGGAGATGGATAGCAGTCTGAGGAAACTTGGGTGCTGACAGAGTTGTGAGGGCGGCTGACATTTCTCGGCTGCCCACACCGTGGAAGGCTATTTCTTCTTACTGGTCACTCGGCAGAAACCAATTTAATTTTACGTATTCAACCATTTATTCACCAGAATGAAGCTTCAATTAAATAGAAAGAATCATTTCTAGTTTTTAAATATTAGTCTATCTTCTACTAAGATCTCTTCTATAACAGTAGTAAATACTGAAAAGTATAACAAGCTTGGATTTTGGCCTTATGCAAAAAACTCTTGTTGATGGAATGTTTCAACAAAATTTTGTCAGACATTATATTTCTTCCGTATCCAATAGTATTGTAACATTCGAAGATTACTGAAATCTTATCAACACAAAAAGGCTATTTAAATAGGAAGAGGTCTTAATTTTCTGTGATCAACATAGTATTTTATGAACTCATAACTAAGGCGTTATCCAATTAAATGTAAAATTACTTGATACCAAACTTTAGAAATGACATTTTTAAAGTGTGAAGAGAAAGTGTGATATCTTTTTTTATTCGATTATACTTACATCCATAGACATTTTTTTGTCCTGTGACTTTCTGTGTTTTTTTTCACGTTCAGCTTCATTAAGAAGATTGCCTGTTGATCGAAATTTCAGTGATAAAGGTACTAATGGTGGCAGAATTATACCGATGATCAGCGCTACAAAAAACTGAAGGATGAAAATCAAATGATATATGGCGCTTAATGTAAATCATTTATTTCATTTGTTATAATAAAATTCAGGTTTCATGTATTTGTACACCGTAAAGGCATTTATGCACCTATATATATATATATATATATATATATATATATATATATATATATATATATATATATATATCAACTTCAAAACTGATATCTTGAAAATACTTCAGGACTTTGTAATTTTCATTTTTTGATGCCTTGAAAACGAAATTTGGTTGCCTTTTGATACTAGATAATGACTAAGGGTGAAAGGAAAATTTGGGCCGTGGCGAGATTCTGATTTTGGACATGGTAATCTACCGAATAAGCTACGAGACTAAGGGTTTTATCCAACTGCCATTTGAATTCATGACACGTTACTACCGCTTGATCGAACTCATGCTGGCTGCTGAGTCAGAACTTCTCATCCCAATCCCAATCTACTTAAATTAGAGAGGGGAGGCATCATATTGATTATCATTTTAACTGAGATAGCCATGATTTGGCAACTTGTATTGATAGTGCATGATAACTGTAGTGAAATGAGAATCTAGTCAGCCTTCGGGTTTAGTAGCTCAGTTGTTAGAGCACTGGGCCGGGAAACCAGAGGTCGCTGGTTCGAATCCTGCCGTGGCCCATATTTTTATTTCACCTCCAGTCACCACCCCGTATCAGTACAAGTTTGTCAAACCACGGATGTCTCATACAGTCAAACTGATAGTTGTCTTTAAGCAACGTTTCGGTGTTTGGAGAACGTAATTAGAAGTAGATTATCTGGAAAAAATGTGATGTATTTGAGCTATGCATTCTGGACAGTCTGATCACACATTTTACTTGTTAAGGCATTTTGTATGGAGAGTAGAAGTGGGAGAGGGACGAATATGAAATAGAGGGACTCAATAATAAGAAATCTAACGAAGAGAAGATTTGAATACTGTCTTGGTAATACGATAAGATAAACATTACCAGAGTAGGTTTAGGGCAGAAACAAACCGTTCTTAAACACATAATGTGAGCTTAAATTCATGTATAGCTGGCACTTGAGCAATCATGCACCATTGACAGTTTCTACATGAAATTATTTACTATCGATCCGATGATCTTTTTACAATCGATGTTGATGATTTTCTGCCTCATTGCGCTTATTGATATTTGTGAATCCAGCTGCTTTTGTAGTCATTTTTGAACAAGTTCTATAACACTCAAGTGCATATCTCGATTAGTCTTGCTTTTATGTGTGTACAAACACACGTAAATTGATACATGCAGTGGGACGTCACGCAATTGTTTATACAGTGATGAGGCTTGTGTTGCAACATGTGTTTGTTTTTCTCAACTACAATAAGCCTAGCTGCATAGTGTCTTTTACTCATGGCAGGCCTTAGCCTTCAGTTTAAAATGACGCTGTAAGATTCACCATTTATATGCTACTGTGATATAAACGCATTTCTGCGAAATCAAATGTAGAGTGAGTTTCAACACTGACTGAACTCTGCAACCGTTTATGAACTTCGATGGATATCCATTTTCCACTGAAATTCCATTTCGTATTTTGATGTCATCATTTATTGAGTCTTCCGTACAGATAGACTAGATACCTTTGAATGGACGAATAATTAAACCTCACCTGTTGGACAAAAGCTATAGAAACTCAAACACTAACCTGTCCAATTAGATTTCCTGTTAATAGGGACTTTAATTTAACCGTCCTTTTGACGACTAAGGAGTATATCCAGGAACGGCAGACAGTTATCTTACCCTTCCTAACATGTTAAGGATATGTTGTTTTATACAATGTTGAGTCTTTCTAGCAAAATTGCCACATCTTCATGCTTATCACTTATCACAATTAGATCATCAACATATCTTTTATAGAGAGTAACTTTACGGGTGAAATCATCAACCTATCCTTCAGTATGTGACATGTAAATATCAGATAGCAATAGTTTTAAAAAACTTTTTATGACTACACTATCTACTTATCCAAAACATTTCTCTTCACAAATGAAATGAATGTCACCAGAACACAATAAGAGTAGCTCTTTTATAACTTTGAAAATATATGTAAAGAAAAACTACTACAAGATATATGATCATAGTGTATGAATAAAGGTTTAAAAATTGAAAATGATAGAATACAAAAGTACTCAGAACACACGGTTGGAAATTTGTTTGACATAGAGTTCGGATTATTGATATCAAAACTTGAAGAGGAATAAATTATGGTGGGCTAAGTAGTTGCCTCTCTGTAGAACTAGATTTCCACTGAATGGGACGAAATTTATCGCCATTTTGTAGGAATTAGAAAGAAACCTACTAAGGAACTGTGTTATCATCAAAGCTATCAAGTTCTGCTTCGAGACTAATCAAAGCATATCTGAAGCGAAATTATACAGGATAACAAAATAGTATCTTTGAGCTCTACTGCATCACCCCTAACGGAAATTTTATTTGTAGGTAACCCTAGAGTAAGCAGTCTCGTACATAAAAACTGGTGATACATTCACTACTCTGAAGCATAACTCGAATAATGTGTTCTGAGATGAATAAAGTATTGGATAGGCAGTCTGTATCTGGTTTTGCTGGAAAGTAGAATCAGACAACGGTGATCTACGCCTCAATGACTGTCTACTTTGACGCAGTGCTTATGCATATGTGACTACGTTTAAGAACACAACACACTGCGATGGGTATTTTAATTTCGGTTCTCACATGTCAGCAGCACACGCTCTTTGGCCATCGCCAGTATTTTAGGTGAGCACATACTGTGACAGAAGATGAAACCGGAGAACTAACAGAAGTGAAGAATGTAATTACATCCTTCAGGTGCATAATTATCACCCAAAATTCGCTCGTAGAACTCAGCCTAACAATAGGGGATACTACTGAAGCAATTTTCAATCACTGGTTGAAACAACTCATCCCATACAGACCAAATACGTCGTGAAAGATTAGGAGAGTGATCAATAAGTACATAACCCCAAACATGCTGCAGAGCTCTTAGCCCGTGTGAATTTGCTGGGACCCACAATATGATTGCATCTATTAAACAGAATGCTCATAGCATGATACAATATATGCCTGAAGCAATGCCCCCAAAATTAAGGCTGTAAAAACTTGAACACCGGCGGGAATTCATTCAACCCTCAAGAAGTGTATGAAACTAGAAGAACTTGAAGACACTTCAGTTGTACTTGCACAAGCCACATAATAGGGCAATGAAAGCAACCCTGAAAATCTTGAAATTACTTGGATATGTTTGGAAAATGAATGACTGGCATCTCATTGCTGCATTGAATCGCATGAAAGTGATTCAGATTTTCTGAATGGGAATGAAAAGATTAATAGGACTTGTCTTATATTCAACTCCACTTCACAAACATACATCATCGTAAGTAGTTGCACAACTATCCTACATATTACCAGAAGGATGATCATGTGTGCATATGAAAAGTGTCATCTTAATTCATATGCTTATAACATGTAGCATACTATGCGTATGTTCATTATCATTTCCAACCAATTGACAACGCAGAATTATCTGTGGAGAAGAACTATGACCAAGTTAACATGCATAAGCTTTGATATTGTAAATTTCGGCTAAATAATAATTCGATAAAGCTGTTAGCACCTTAAAAAAGTGAAACTTCAGTTAAGGCAACTTTGCTCAGTGGGAAATATGAGCTATAAAATAGTACAAAAAAGAATGTAACAGAAGTTTTTAATCATAAAAAGTAGGATCATGACGTATTGATGTCGGCTTTAAATCCATATAACTAAGAAATAAAGAGAATTAAATCTAATTCCTAATTATTTGTAATTCCCTGCTAACAAATAATCCTCAGCTTTGTCAGGTATTTAGACCAAAATTATACGATAGCTTGAAAACATGTGTTATCCTTCATTTGAAGAACAGCTTAAAATTTAGTTGAGTTTCAGTTCTAATAACTTATTATTTGAACAATTGTTTGGTTTAAAATTTGTTACTGAATGGATACATTATTTCTAGCAAGGTAGTGTAAAAGATTTTTTCATAATGGCACAAGATCACAATCTATCCATGCCACCTTTATGAATAATTGTTAAACTTAGTTGGAGGAAGAAAATGGAAGGAAATTTTAGGGATGTAGTGATTTCAGAATGCCAGCTACACTCATTTATTGAAGAAATACTTCCCTTTAAAGATAAATACCAACATTCGATGAACTTTTTTAATGCTGTACCTTTTAGCCACTGTATATAGTTAGAAGGTGAAGAATTTGGAATGGCCATGACAAAAATATTTGCATTTCATTTTCACTTAAAGATGGTAAATTTATAAACTCGTAGATGAATCACAGTATTAGACTGGTAATATCAACATTAAATCACAAACATACTGGAAAGATTCCTGATCGAGGATCGATAATTCCATTCCATACACGTTCAAGATATTGTTCAGAGCATTGATGAGATATAAAACTCATTGATTTCCCTTCAGCGGCCAACATAAGACATGACATACGTCCAAATAACTTTCTTTCTAGAACAATTGTTTTAAATGAAAGACCTTGATTGTCATTATAGCATTCAGTGAGTAAACAGTACGCCTTCGATTCAAAACTTCTGAAAGAAATAAAAGTATACGATCAAAAATTAGTACTCTTAAAACTTTAGCAAAGCTAAATATTAAACAAAGGCTTTACACATTTTGTAAGGAGGGAGATATTATTATTGATGGACCAAAGTAGTGGGTAGAGGTTAAGGATGCAATTTTAGTCTATGAGTTTAATCTTATTAGCGATTCACTGATCAGATAAACTTGCATCTCAGTAGGTACTATTTCTTATTGCAGTGAGGCCTGAACATAGAATTCATTGCGATGCTAGATAAACATTGCCTACTCGATTTTTGATTTTTCATAAGGATTTCTTCCATAACACATGTAGTCTACGATCAGTGGTTTCATCCATGATTATCACGAACGACCTCATTCATTGGTGAAATATTTTTCATTGTGTAGTATGAATAAGATACTCAACAGTTCTTTTTGTGCTGACTCAAAAAACATCTGAACTCAATTTTTAAACGTTTAACTTTAAAACTAATAATATCTGTCACAATGCATTGCGGTATTGAGTCTCCTATCTTTGAAGCCATATTGTGAAGTAATTGATAGAATTAGACCAGCACTGAGGACCAGGTGACATGAAACTGGTTCCTCCTGAGTGATCAGTAAATGAGTCAAGCCCAGTCCTACAGGAGGTCAGTCGCTGCCTAAGTAGTTTAGTTGTGAATTCAGTGACTGAAACAATGGGTGGTGCTGGTTAGAGTTTCAGAGGAGACATGAGTTCTGTCGAGGTTGTGGATAAGCCTTGCTGATGAGTGCCAACAGGCGCAAAACCTGGGCATTTAAGGCTTCCTGTTGACTGCCTCCAGGCGAATAATAGATGCTGATTACATTGCACTATGAGGCTGTTTTTAAGCATTCTCTTTTCCTCATAATAAATCATATAACTTGCGTTTATTGATATGCCATTAAATTTTCTTATTTACATAAGTATTAATCTATACTGTGCAACGTCATTGAGTGTATTTCTTTGATTAGTTTTAGTTTTCGCGAAACCTTTTTTATAAATTCATTGCATTTCACAAATGAATTTATTTTCCTGAGATGAAAATTACAAAACTTTTAAAGTTTGGTTTGAGTAAATCACCTAAGATTTGTAGTAGAAAATTTTATGTGCAAAAAGTGAATAACTTTTCTCTTAACAACCTGAATTATTCTTTTATGAAAGCATTGGAATCCGTTACGATTTAACTTCCCATAGCTATATAGCATGGTAAAATAAAGTTTAGCGTTTGATAAATCATCATACACAAACTGATAATAAAAATTAACTAGCTGTGATAACCACCTTGACTAATTATTACAACTTTCCTGCTTTAATCTATTATATTCATCATATGGAACTTTAAAATATTTTGAAAAATTATAGTCTATTTGATGGCTAATAGGAGAACCCAGAGCACGCGTCTCCTTCTATCTGAGACTCAACAGTTGGGTATGTTTCTACCACGGTGAGTAATGTGGTTGCCACCGAGGCTGTGACACAGTACCCATAGCTTTAAACGCCAAGGCGTTATCCATTAGGCCACTTGGCTATGAAAGCCACTACTTGCCCAACCGGTATCAGTTGTTTTTTAATAATACTTGTAATTTCCCGCTGAAATATTTCCACAGCCCCACTGTCTCCACAATCATTTTTAAGATCAAATGAAGGATAATACGAAATTAAGATCTGTTAAGAGTCTGCATTTCGTAGATCAGTTGATAGAGCACCAGACTGATAACCCAGAGGCTATTGGTTTGAATAGTACAGCGGCCCAGAGTTTCAAATCACCATCAATCACCACTCATTATCAAAGAGAATACTGTCAATAAAAAACTTTCCCTTGAAAAAAACTCAACGAAATACTAACGTCAATTAACAAGTGCGTTTTTATTTAAACTACAATCATAATGGATGGTCATGCATCATATAGTATGACAATATATTTATAGAGTCATTTTGGCTTACAAATGACTACAACTCACTAAATCACTTGCTGCAAAACGTCAAAGTATTACGTGTTCCGATGGAGTGACACTTAAAATCAACATTAACTTGAAACAAATGCTTCTTAAATCGACAGTAACAATTGAAATGTAACACAACTGATTGAAATTGAATATTAAAACAACACTGAATTCTTTTTAATTGTATGATTTTCGTAGTATTTAATTTTTAAATTGTTCATCTTACCGTGAATATTCAAACATGGCTTCTCTAGTCACTAAAGATGTTGCATTCATAGCTAAACGACGGAGTATTAATGCACCAAATAATGCTGCTGGAAGTGGATCTTGAACTTGTGTCCAAAAGTAATCAGCTAATTCAGCACGTTCAGTTAATAGAGCCCATATAAATAAATCAGTTGCAGGATTTTCAAATATTTGGGCTTTTGGAGCTAAATGTTATGAAAAATTAAAACAAATAAAGATTTTTATCAAGTATTGAATATTAAATATTTTTATTTACTTTTCAATTTTTTGACTTCACTTTCAAATTCATCGAATAAATATGACTCCTTTATGACTTATGTCAAAATTAATGTCTTAGTCATTATATGATCTAAACCAATAACGTATTTTAGTTATCCTTTCATTTAGATTGAAATAAATGTGCCAGGCAACGCTAATTCAGATAACCTTTATCAAAAAATGTATATACAACAAAAATTTAATAATTCTCATTATAACATCAAGAACAAGATATTCAGCGAAGAGACTCATTTCAATGAATTTATTTTCAAGCTGTAAATTCGTATATATATATAGATGATATTTGAAAAATTATATCCCGTGAGGAAAACAAACACTATATGATGATAATAATAATAATAAAACGGGTGATGTGTGCATCTACCTGTTCACCTGTTCTTGTGGAGCAAGGTACATCGGCTGTAGCCAGAGGCTGCTTTCTACACGTATAAGAGAACATGTTCCTGCTTGGTTTTATAAAGATGAAGGGAAGTCTGTTAGAAGTCCTATTCTAGAATATTTTATTGATTTCCATCATTCAACAAACTCAGAAAATGACTTTAAAATTTTAGAAGTAGTATTTCCTAACTGATATCAGTCCGTGATGAATACTACTTCTAAAATTAAAATCCCCATTCATCTCAAAAATACATGATTTTGAAATTACTCATGAAATTTGCTTAAAACTCGCACGTTTTCTTCCTTTTCAACTCCTTAAAACAGTGCAGCCTCTAGCTATTCTTGAATTAAAACATGATCTGTGTTTACAAACGAAGTATGTACACTCATTGTTTTTATCGTGGCCATGACATTTTCGATAGCGTAATTAGAAGAAAAAGTTTATCTGAGCTGTGTGATGTATTTGCGCAACACATTTCAAACAATCTGATCACACATTTACTTGTCAATATATATTAAACCGAAGACTGGGAGGGGGGATAAATACAACAATTAACACAATAGGGAATTAAAATTAAGAAAGATGAGGACAAACAGGAAGTGATGTAGTTGGTCCTAATCTTGATGGGAGACGACCCTCTTCATCTATAGCCAAACATATCATAGAAACAGGTCACAAAGTTGATGTTCAAACATATTTCAAAGTTTTATTTAGAAACAATCAGGGACGTATTCTGAGATTTGCGGAAGCCATAGACAAACACAAATTTAAACCATCTTTATGTGTACAAAAACAGTTTGTTATTACACTACATCTACCTTAGTAAACTTTTTTTCTTACCAAGATTAGGACCAACTATGTCACTTCCTGTTTGTCCTCATCTTTCTTAATTTTAATTCCCTATTGTGTTAATTGTTGTATTTATCCCCCCTCCCAGTCTTCGGTTTAATATATATTGACTTGACAAGTAAATGTGTGATCAGATTGTTTGAAATGTGTTGCGCAAATACATCACACAGCTCAGATAAACTTTTTCTTCTAATTACGCTAACGAAATTCATAAAAGGGACTAAATGTTTCATAACATTTTCGCACCCCCATTAGTTCCTCCCCCCTTTGTTAATCTAAACTTTGTGTCCTTCCTTTATCACTATTATTGTCATTATAATTGCTTTCACTTCGATTAGTTTCCAGTGTTATTTCACTTAATTGTCTTAATCTTTTTAGAAAACATTGATTTCACCTTGACCAACTTGCCCTATTACATAATAATTAATTGATTTGCCACTTTCATCATTTTTTCCACCCTTTCTGAGTTATATACCTTCTATGAACTATTCCATACATTACGTTATCATTCATACTTCAACTGTCATCATAATCACAAATGCCAATGTCATCATCTGTCTTATTATTATTGTCATCATCATCATATGGTGTTTAGTTTTCCTCACGGGATATAGTTTTTCAAACATCATATATATTGTATAGGATGTATTTTAACTTGTGTAATCCCGGCGTAGTATATTAGGACAAATAACAAAATAAACATGTATTTTGTATTATTCCTCAACGTTTCGATCTTGCCAGGAAGATCCTTTTCAAGAGTATGAATCTGACACTAAGTTTTCAGGTTAATATTCAAGTTTTGGTACACAAAGTGGTGACCTTTACAATCATCCAATTACATAGTGATATGGAGAAAAGATCAATGTAATACTACAGGTGAGTGAATAAGCAACTCGGTCAGAGAGGTTTTTCCGTTGTGCGAGTAAAGTGGAACAAAAATAGGGTGGGAAAATATTTTAGTTCATATATATACTAATGTACTGCTTGAAAATAAATTTATTGAAAAGAGTCTCTTCTCTCAATACCAACAAAGTAATTTCTCATTAACACTAGGCTCTCAAGTAAACCGCGTTAATGGACTGCATGAAATCTCCATGATAAATGTTGACGTTTACTCATTGGTTCATTCACATGGATATGGGTTAAACATTCAAGTCTCTACTGGTCGTATTTATTCAATGTGTACATTGAATACTAATTTTATTGGATTGATAAACTTCTGTAACTTTATTCTTTATAGAATGATATTTGTTATAAATGAATGAGTTGTTTTCAATCGTTTATCTGTAATATTTTTCGCTTAAGAGAAGCTCATTCGTAAGTACATGAAGAGCAAGCTGAAGTATTCAATGAATCAGTTTACTAGCTCTATCGGAGACGAGTATTTCAGTACGTACTGTAGCCAAATGGATTTATTTCAAAACTTCCTTCCTAATATGAAAAATAAAATCTGTAATCTGATTCTTAGATTTAAATTATCGAAACTAGTCATACTTTGCTAGTGGTTTCAATTGATTTTAACAATTCAACTTTTATTAATATAAGAGTAAAACTTGTGCACTATAGTAGAATGTAATTCCATTTTTATTGATTTATTAGATTTATCACACAGTAACAGTAACAGTAATGTTTACTGGATTACTTTTCGGACATAATTTATTGTCTATAATCATTACAAGATAATTACACAACTTTGAGATATCCTTTATATAGTCCTAACTTTCTCGTCTCTCCGGTACACTTGTTGAGTCATTCTTGTTGCATGTGTTAAGTGTTGATTCGATAAACAAAGATTCAGTTATCAATCTCTCCCTCCACCCTGTTATGTTAGTTTTAAGAATTTTCACCCTGTCCCATCCTATTGTGTGGTTGTGTGTAATCACATGCACAACTATGGTTGAGCTTTTCTCTACATTTCTTACCTTACTAGGATCTACAATTCCTAAGGAGCTTATCAACTAATTTGGGAGGGTAACTGTTGATGATTAAGGTGTCTTTAATGTCTGGTTTCTTGCTTTGGATCTTCTGTTTTACTAGTAAGGAATTGTAAGAAAAATATCAATAACAGTTAATAATAGTAGTAATAACAGCAACAATAATCGTAATAATGATCTTGATAATGATGTTAATAATAGTAGTGGCAATACTGTGAATAGAGAATTCTAAACCTCCGCAGTATTACCATACAAAGAAGGCACCTCAGAAACACCACGTAGAATTTCCAATAAGGCTGGGATTAGAGTGGCAGTTAAACCTACAAACACCTCGAAATAGACTTTGTAGGTTAAAAGATCCTATTGGCCCAACTAAGCAGAATAACATAGTTTACCAAATCCCTTGCAATGATTACGAAGTCAAATACATAGGTCAAAGTACTCGATCAGGGTCAATTAGGCTATCGGAACATAGAAACTTAGCTGGGTCAAAATTGGTACATCCTAGTAAGGTAAGAAATGTAGAAAAAAGCTCAACCATAGTTGTGCATGCGATTACACACAACCACACAATAGGATGGGACAGGGTGAAAATTCTTAAAACTAACATAACAGGGTGGAGGGAGAGATTGATAACTGAATCTTTGTTTATCGAATCAACACTTAACACATGCAACTAGAATGACTCAACAATTGTACCGGAGAGACGAGAAAGTTAGGACTATATAAAGGATATCTCAAAGTTGTGTAATTATCTTGTAATGATTATAGACAATAAATTATGTCCGAAAAGTAATCCAGTAAACATTACTGTTACTGTTACTGTGTGATAAATCTAATAAATCAATAAAAGTGGAATTCAACTTTTAAGTTGTATGTTTTAAATACACATTTGTTGTATTCAAATTGTAAGCGTTGGGAGTGGCCGCCTGATGCTTAAATCATTGTAATCTTTCGGTGGTAAATTGATCTTCCTTTTTTTTAATTCCCACCGAATCCTAACCTTAATCTATTGGGTTTTTCTCACCATTTTTTGCTACATTTTGTTCTCTGATTATTACTAGCTTATGCACGTAATCCTTTTGCGTAAGTTTCACAATATTTTCTCCTTTTCTTTCATCCATATTTTAATAGATTTCTCTTTCTGATAGGACATATATTTATGACATCACTACATAATGCCTCGGTTTCATTTCAACTCGAATAATTTTTTACTTCCTTATACCATTGTCCTATTTTGATGGTTTCACTGGAGTCTGTTGGTATTCCATTGTAATTGTTGTTTTAAATGTTATTATCTTCCAGCAACTTGAGGAGAACAACTGAAATCATTAAATGATCCCACATTATTCTTTCCCAATGTTTTCTCTTCCTAATTTGAAGTTGATAAAGGGAAATATGTGTATGAAGATGCTGTATATTCGATACTATTGGGTTTTTTTATTCACTTGCATGATTGTCACATTTCTTTGATGTGCATCCATGAGTTACAGCTGAATGGAATGCTGATTTTTAATCAATATTAGCCAATCAGTGCAATGAGAAAACGAAATAGCCTGGAAGTGAATTATTTTTAGCCAACCAGTAAAATAAGACAGGAATATTCAAATTTTCAACGACCAATCGATATGCATTCCACATTTTCCAATCATCTTTTTGGGCTGACTGATTCAATATGCTATTAGATTATCTTTTGTTAAACTTCATCAGCATCTTTTCAAATTTAATTTGGCTCTCCGACTGAAAGCTTATTTTGGACCATAAAACGCAGTGTTCTGCAACTGGCCAAGACTGAAAGCCGATGGGCTATTTACATATGTAGTGACGTAGTGACATGATGATGTAGACATGAAAAATTTAATCAGTAATACTTTACCTGCACTAGTTATCACGAAAAAGTGTGGTGCCATATAAGTTGGATCGAACTGTCGACCAATCAGTTCACGAAGAGCGCGGCCAATCAAGTACAGACTTATCTTTTCCGGAATCTGCAAAGAACAAGACAAGTTTATTGCAAATATTTTTAAATTTATCACCGAAAATACCATTCACTTTACAGCAACTTCATTTTCGTAGCTGTATAGTCATCGTTATATATAAGGTGGATGGAACTTCGCGCTTGCTTATGTGTTTCATTTCCACAGTTAGTGGCAGCGTGAAGTGCATAAATTTAAGCAAGGATGATATTTAGTGGATCATCAAATCGACTCGAAATTATAGGTGGCCTAAGGTAAAAGACTGAAAATAGGTGAATGTATAAATGTATATGATGTGGTTTCTGTTGTTTGCTGATACCTGTAACTTCCTATTATTATACTACGTCGAATACCTCGACTTTGGCTGGTAAATGGGATATTATGCGGATGGCTCGATACTACCCAAATATTATCTATGTTATAGCCTATCTGGCGGCTAGCAGTGGAATCAGAGGTGAGCTTTTAATCTTATCTGAGACTGATCAGCTGGTTATACTTTCACTTCAGTGAGCCATGTTGTTTCCACTGAAATTCAAACCCAGTACCCATCATTTCAAATTCTAAAGGTCACTGAGACACTAGAGGCACCACTTGTGCAATGGGTGTCAGATATTGTTTACTGATGCCTGTAATTTTTCGTCGCTATTCTCGGTCAAAATGCCTAGCCTTGATAACCATTGGTTTACTGAAGTTTGAAGCGTTGAGTATCCAGTAAGAAAAACGCCACTTAATAGGGTGCAGCTACGTCCAACCAATAAATTCCGTATGGAACAAAGCGGATGTCCTGGATTCCACTGAGAGCCACCAAATGAACTCTTAAATGGTGTAATTTCATACAAAGCGAAGATCATGATGCACAGAAATTATAATTATCAATGAAATCAAGCTCGATAAAATAGAGATCAAAGGAGATCAACTTTGTTATTCAACGAAGGTGTTACAATATGACGGAATGAAAAAGAATTAGAAGGAAGACAAACAAGAGAACATTTTGAAATGTGATCATTATGATAATCTTGGATCAAGGCAGTGAAAGGAGCTGTGCAAATTTTTTCGTCTGAAATAGTTCACAAAAGCTTCTGAGATACAGATTAGATATATACGCGTAGCTTCCAACAGGTCTAATTTGGCCGGTTAAATAATATCCAATGACGCTTCAGAGGCTATATTACTGGTGTCATAGAAATACTTAAGTACATATGAATTCATGATTCTTCACTCCCCGTTGCTCAGTAATCCTGGTGGGTTTTATCGAATCCTACGGGAATTGTTTCTAGATGAAAGTCTTATATAACTAGCTCCACAAGAACAGATGAACATATGATTACTTCCCCAAAGTCAAACTAGATTTCCATGCGAAACCTTGAAATAATTTTACTCCTTCATATGATGTCTAATTAGATTGTGATTTTCAACATTTATTTTGTAAGCATTGAAAGTCTAGTCAATTGTCATAAGCAATGAAATAAGTAAGTATTGTCGTCATTCTCATATTGGATCTCTTTTTATTGTCTTTCACTTCAGTTAAACAAATAAATATTTAAAAAAATTGTAAATCACGAATTTAAACTAAAATCTAACCTTGACAAATCCACGGATTACATTGATCAGAGTTTCGCCTGGATTCTAGATGGTAAATGAAATGAAAATCTATCATTATTTTCTTCAATAACATTAATTCGTCATCAAGAACAGTACAATACATTTACAAATTACTAAATGTGGAAGGTATCAGCTTTATTTGATTTCAAGATGAAATGAATGGTAAATGGCTGATTGAACATTATCGCTTCAAAAGAGTGAACATATTCTGATATATGCTTTCAGAATTCTTGTCACCTTCCAACACGATTAATATGAATTCTGTGGAATCAAGGTTGCAAGTTTTCTAGTGAATGAAGGGAGAAATGAAACATAAGCAGTATATCAATTCAATATCTTTCTATCTTCTGGCGTTTATTTCCAGATTCATTAAAGCTTCTATTCAAAAAATATGACGGTAGTATAAATAACACGCTTAGTAGCTATATCACAAATAAGGAAGAGTTCTAGCCTTCTGTTTTATGATGAAATATACTGTTGGCTGACCAGTGTCGTCAATCATTAGTACCGGCTAGCTGGTTCAAGATGATCTCAACTTTGAATGGTCGTCTCGCTCGTTTGGAGCTAAGCTAACTAGCAGTAGGAAAACACGATTTCAATCTTTACCGTGGACCGTATATTTTTCAAATACTTGTTTTGAATCCAAGCATAGTTAGCCCACTCAAGTAGCCAGACAGTACTCAGTTGCACAATCCAATCGATTTCAAGGTAGTATTCATCACGGACTGACATCAGTTGGATAACTATGGAAAACCTGGAAGTAATGGAAAGCTGTGTTATCCTGGTATGAGACTCCTCAGAAGTATTCATCTATGACCCCACCGAGGATGGAATTCAGTGGCTAAGTGGTAGGGAAACAGGTATCCAGCGCTCCCAAGTTTTCAACCGTTCCCCAACTAATGTCAGTCTGTTATGACAGACAGCTTGAAATAAATAATTCCATGCAAAATTCCAAGTAGAATTCGGCGGATTTGAATAATCCAACTCTCTGGACTGAATTAAGCTAGGTGTACAACTGATGAGATCAGTCTCAAAAAACCAGCCATCCAATGCTTAGATTACCTCCACTTCTCTAGCAGGAACTACTGATCGTTGTCAGTAGCTCAGAACTTCTCATTTCAGTCAGTAGTATATTCGGTAAAGTTTTTATGTCCAGGGGTCTTGATACTACTTGGTTTCCACAGAAACCATGGGAAAACTTCTCATTACACACTACTTAGTTTGGTAACACTTGATTTTCATCCACCAAATTATTGTTTGTAAAGAAATATCTAGGACTTTAGGTAGATCTCTTAATGAAACTAATCAGTGCGGTATTTTAATCTAATAGATCATTCTCAGATATAATTCCTAGGTTTCAGGTTTCTGTTGACCTAACCAGACGAAATTATTTGACTCACTACATGGTTTGCGACGACTGTCAGACCAAATATCTAGGTTAAATCAGGCCGTCTTATTTTACCAGGTTAGCAGAACATGGAGACTTAGCTAAATTCAGCGCGATAGACCCAGACAAGATAAATAATTTTAAAATTATTCGATTACCGTGATGCAGGTGCAGACGCATAACTATGCCTCAGGATGGGACAGAGAAATAATCCTAAAGGCCAACATAATTAGGTATAGGGAAAAATTGATAACTGGATATCTGTTTATTGATTCAGTACCCAATATATGCAGTAAAAATGAATATGGGTCCATCCCGGTGTGCGGAGAAATCTGTTACCAATTAGTCAAAGAATTATAAGTAGTAAAATCATGAAAACCAGATGTCAGAAGGTGTGTAACTGTCTTCATATAACTTTCGGCAACAAACTGTGCCCAAGATATCATTCTGTAAATAACATTGCGACACTCTATATATGTATATATATACCTACCAATTTCCTATATTATTACTTTTCTGCTCAGATGAAACTGTAAGATATTTACTTTCATGAGAAAGTTTATTCGCTGAACATTAATCAACTTTTTTGTGTTTATGGTAACAGATTATTTGACAAAAGCGGTAAGTGTATATTGTAACTCCTCCAAAATAAAAGTTGTGTTCGTGCCAAAAAACGCCTTCTAAGTAAGTCGTGAGATTTTGTGGATAAATATTTCCCTGACCAGAGACATGATGTAAAACGAGAGCTATGCATTTACTGAAAGAAACTGATTGAATAGATGACGATCTTCATGCTATTTTCAACTAATTGTGCGTTAGTTGGAGGTTAAAATGTCATCAAAATACCTTGATCATACTGTTATTTACTCCTTTGGTTTCATATGGTTCGTTTATGGGATATTCACCAGTCGACCATAACGAGTAACCAGTGTTGAAGTCATGAGCTAAGTTTAAAATTCGGCTACTCAGCTCAGCGAATTGGAAACATCTTTCCATTCATCATTTTTGAGCTCCATTTCATCTGAGGATATCTATCTGTATAGCGTTGGTTGGCTGTTTAATAAACCTCATGACTGCTAAGTACGATTACTTCATGTGTATCATTCGTCTAATATCCTAATGATGCTCATTCTGTCATTTACTATTTTGATATGTTTGCATTCGGGTTAGGAGTGACAAAAATAGTGAGACTAGAGATCATATAAATATAAAACGTATGAATAATATAGCGTAAAGACATCAGAAGAGGTATGATATGGACTTGGTTTTTTGGAAACTTTAACCAACTTCTGAAAATCACCCACTGTCTGGATATTGCCTTAAAAAGTCAGAAATATTCATCTGTGACTCACTAAATAACTAATCCTAGAGCCTGTAGGTCGATTAAGAAACAATGTGACTTATACAATATCTACTCAGTACTTATAGTTGGTCTCAACTGCAATTACTTCATAGGAGAAAACACTAACTAAAAATATTTCGATAAAATACTGGTTTCGAAGTAATAATGACAATAATAATTATACATTTTTCAACGTACTTCTGTATGTATTGATTGTGTATACAACAGTTGAAGAATTTCTATGGTTAAATAATTTGTTAATGAAAATCCTTTCTCAATAAAAACACCAATTAATTGTACTTTATTCGTCAGTAACAATGCGTTCATGTGTTTCCCTAACTTTGAATCCTAAAATAGGAAAAGACTAAATGCCATTGAAAGTTGACAATAGAAGAGACCATTAATTTGCTTTTAAAAGATGAGTTCAAAAACAGACGAAAAAGGTGGTGTCAGACAAAGTGGGGAACGAGATGTGGCTTTTATTATATAACTTCATAAAATGTTTGGAAATTGAAGCTTTAGTGACATTGTCAATCTACGCCTCAGAGATCAATCAACATCACAGACGTTCAGCTGATAGGTTTTGCTTATGATTTGTCTTAAGTGGTTTTCTCAAACTTACTGACTTTTTTCTGGCAACTATTACTGTAGCAAAGACTAAATATGAGCTGCTAAAAGGATTTTTGAATACTTAGTCAGTTCTCACTTGGAGAATTAAGAAAGACGTCTTGTTGTAATTACCATCAAGTTAGTGAATGAGAATGAGGCTAACATTCTAATTACAATGGTAAAATGTGAGTTATTCTTAAGAGGAAGTATGAGTAAAATGTACTACAACCCAAAGTCTTCTCAATTATTTGATAGTTGTAGAAGATGGTTATTTAAGAGATAATTATCGTTTAGTCATTCAAAAACGGCTCTCAGATGAACTGTTTTCACGCTGGACATAGCGTTTGTCTGGTGTAGTGAACATCAATTTATTAATTTCAGAAAACAAATAGAAACGAATATTATATACGTATAACCTCGCCTCGTTAACTACTCCGCTAGTTACTAGCTGGTCTTGAGCCCGGATAAAGCGGGAAAGTTCGGCATAGGGCTAGCCACATTACCCTATAAAACAAATATAACCACTAAAGAAACTTCAAAGCAAAAAACAAAATATAAAATATAAAAACAAACCGACCAGTCACCTGGATCGGGGAGACGAAATGACGCCGGTTCATGAAAGACTTCGGAAGCCAATTGGCCAATGTGTCTTCTCTCGATGACAGAGAAAGTAAGCAAGGGGATATGGAATGTTCGCACCATATATAAACCTATCAACGCTGCCAAGATTGCAAAACAGGTGAGGAGGTATTACATAGAAGTACTCGGAATCTGAGAGAAAGTCAACTGATGGAATGGAAGTGGACTCTCCAAACTGTCAACTCGAGAGGAGTCAGGAATCTACTCCAATATCATCACATACACGACAACCACCAACACAGCACACTCAGTTTTTGAGTGGCTATCATGATGTCCCCAACAGCATCGAAGGCTCTCAAGCAGTGGGAATCAATCTCCTACTCCAGGATCAGGATCATGACAGCAAGGTTCAACTCAAAAGGAAGGAAAGTCACAATCATACAATGCTACGCTGTGCACCTACAAATAATGCAGATCAGGAAGAGAAGAAGGAGGAATTCTACAGACAACTGCAATCAACACTGGACAAAACGCCACCTCAGTTGGCGATATCAAAATTCTAATTGGTGGGGTGACATGAATGCCAAACTGGGAACGAACAACACAGCAAAAGAACTCATCATGGGTCGAGAAGCACTCGGTGAGGTGATGAATGAGAATGGAGAACTGTTTGCAGACGTCTGTGTATTCAACGATTTGGTGATTAGAGGCAGTATGTGCAAACACAAGGATATTCACAATGCGAAATGGGTTTGATTTCACCAGATGGACACGCTCAAAATCAGATCGAATTCATCTCAATGTGAAGAAAGTGGAAAAGCAGCCTACTGGATGCAAGGTTAAGAAGGGGAGCAGATGTATGTTCAGACTACCATCTAGTTCTAGGAACCTTCCAAATCAAGTTGGAAGCCTTCAAAGAAGCTGGTGATATGCCACAGTTCAAGTTCAACACCCAGAAACTGAACTGAATAGCGGAACTACAAAGGACATCTTCACGTCTGTCAGTCATCAGAACAAAATGGGAGACACTGAGCAACATCCCTGAAGATACCTGTGTGGATGAACACGGGAACTCTTTCAAACCTGTGTGGAACGAAACCTGCATAAGCATATTAGGAAGGAAGATGGGGAATGGATCTCGACAGACACATGGAAGGTGATAGAGGAGGGAGAGGAAGGTGGTGATGGTGAAGCAGAAGATAAGCCAGTGCAGTGTAAGGATGAACGACAAGAAGAGGAACTGAGTACAATGTATACAACACCACACTGGACAAAGAAGTGAAGAAGAGTGCGCACAAAGACAAAAGACACTTCTACGAAACACTGGCAGGCAAGTGAAGCAGAACAGGCTGCAGGCTGGTGGTAGGAGCAAGAGAGACCTGACAACATTGTATCAAATAACCAGGTCACTATCCGAGAAGAGATCAACATAGATGAAACCAACCAACGATGATGAAGGAAATACAATTACCAGAGAGGTGAAAGAAAGGAAACGATGGGCTGACCACTTCAAAAAGCTCTTGAATCGACCACCACCATCACCTTCACTTCTCGCAGAAATACCACCTGCAATCACAGAATTACAAGTGGACACAAATCCTCTGACAAAAGTCGAAGTCCTGTATGCCATAAAACTGCTGAAATCCTGGCAAGCAGCAGGACCATATGGAATTCCGCCAGAAGCACTGAGACTGGACGCAAGGACAGCAGCGGACACGCTCACACCACTATTGCAGAAGGTTTGGAAGGAAGGAAGTGAAGGTGCCTTTCCATTGATTGGAAGAAGGGCTGCCCTGTCTAACTCTCAAAGAGGGGCGACTTGAGTCTCTGCAAGAACTGACGAGGAATCATACTGCTGTCCACCTCAAGCAAAATATTGAGCCGTATCATCTTGGAGAGACTAAAGGATGTGCTGGATTCAAAATTACAACCAGAACAGGCTAACTGGTTGGCTGGCTGGATTCAGGAAGTACAAATCAGGTGCGGATCAATTTACAACACTACACATCATCATAGAACGGAATATAGAATGGCAGCAAACTCAATTCCACCTCAACTTCATCGACTTTGAAAAGGCCTTCGACAGTGTCGACCGGGAAGTAATTTGGAAACTGTTTCACTACTTCTATGAAGACCCCACATGCGAAGTAATTCACAGTGGAAAGCTAATTGACGCCTCAGATGGGAAGACAGGAGTAAGACAAAGCTGTCGTCTACTGTCACCTATGATCTCCCTGATTGTGGTTGACTCAACTGAATCATGCAGCAAACAGTGAGGAGCTGTGTGAAGTAGAGGATACGCCGAACCACGGAAAAGAACCTCGAAGATTTGGATTTCGCTGATGACTTGTGTCTAATGTCACAAAAACCAGCAGGTTGGCAGAAGAGGCATGGCAGCGAAGGAAGATGGGACTTCAAGTGAACGTAGAGAAGGCAGAAGTGATGAAGATACCCAACCAACAACACCACCATCAACAACAACAAACACCAATCACCATTAACCGAAGAATTCCAAAGGAAGTAGTCTCCTTCACCTACCTAGGCAAGCAGCATCGTTTCAACTACAGGCAGCACAGGCACAGATGAGGATGTCAAAACCAGGATTGGAAAAGCAAGATAGGCTTTGCTGCATTAGTCTGAAGTCAGTGTGGAGATCTACTGTACTCAGCACAAAGCGTGAACAAGATCCGGATTTTGAAGATCAGTGTCAAGTCAGTGCTGCCATATGGTTCAGAAACTTGTTGTGTCGTGAAAAGCACTTCCAACAAACTACAGACATTCATCAAAAACTGCCTACGCTGGCTCATTACTGAAGATTAGATAGCCAGAATAATAAGAATAATCAATAAGGAACCCTGGCTGGTTGGCAACGAACCAACCAAGAACCTATCACGTAACAAATATGCAGAAGAACGGGGAGATTTATTGGGCATACACTGAGAAGGCCGACTGGTGACGTCACGCGCCAGGCTCTCGAGTGGAACCGAGATGGGAAACGACGAGTTGGGCATCCGAGGTGAGGGTGACATGGAGGAGATGTTGCGAGGAGGAAATGATAGCTTGTGCGCAGTCGTGAAGTGAGGTCCGAAAGTTTGCAGAGAACAGAGTGCACTGGAGACGTGCTACTGAAGCCTTATATTCCATTAGGAACCCAAGAGACAAATAAATAAATAAATAAATATGTACATATATATGAAGTTAATGGAGGCTTTATTTTTAAAGTGGTATTCATCATGGAGTGCTGAGGATTCCCTTGGTAAGACAAAACAGCAGTAGATAGCCCTCATGTTTTCAACTGTTCTCCAACTTGTGTCAGTCCTTGATGAGCACTATTTCTATCTTAAGATAGGATCACTAATATCCCCTGTCATAGTTTACATATGGATATTTGGGAGCGGATAGCCATAGAAAAGTGATGAATACTACCTTTAAATGTATAAATGTATATATTCATAGATGTTAGAAGGTATTTTTAAAAGTTTCATCATCACTACTTACATCCCATTTAGCACCTTCAATAAAGACTTTATCTCTGGCAATATCACTCCGATTCATAGCAATAGCAATAGAAAGTAAAGTCTCATTTAATTCATCCGGTTTGTAATTCTCCATAATAGCTGGTATATTTAAGAAAAAAAGAAAACAATCGCAAAGTTCAAGATCTTAATTTTTCAATTTTTGTAGCACTCGTAAACATTTCATCAGACCATAGGTCGCCTCCGCTTTAAGATGAATATTTCACCTTCTTTAAATGTGATTTCAAATAGAAGCATGTGAATCTTATTAACTTTTGAATCACAAAAGTTCCACTGCTTTAATGGCAAAATGTTATCTCTACGTTTCTAAACAGATGACTCTGCTGAAACATCAAGAGGGATTTCGTCATATTCTCTTAGCAAAAAATGTGCTAACCAAGGAAAATCATTCGAAAATTGTGTTTTCTAGCCTTCAGTTACTTATTTACTGAATCGTAAACTGAAGGGTGATCCTATTATGAATGTTACATCAGAGTTGTCTAAATGTTTGAGTACAACTCTCTAAACTGCTAGTCTTTCAGGTGTCCATAAATGATATTAACTCCGGTATACGAACAATAAATGCATTCATTATGACAGCAAAACGTATTTGAAAATTCACTAGCTCCCAGTAAGTTGATGAAATATGATACCAAACCATGTACATAATCAACTACTGCACGCACGTGTTAACAGGCTGTGCAAAGTTTTGAATACTCTTCTTGAAGTTCTTACTAAATCCTTGAAAATAGAGTTATACACTTCCTTTTCGAGTCATAAGTAGATCAACTAAAAGAATTCTGATAAACCTAATGTTACTTCGTTCTGTGAACTTGATTCAGCATTTAGAAATTCTCTGGTGTTCCTAGTTTTCTCTACCTTACAATTACACAGCTTCTTAGTTAGATTTTCACCGAATTTGTCTACATTTGATAAAAATGATGATGTATGATTTAGTTCAACTGGTCGTTTACGTTCGTAGACGTTACACTAGATGGAATACTCTTTTTAGCTAGGGTAATAGTTCTTACAAATGATGAATTTCATCTTATATAAGTTGTTGATTCTGCCTTCTTTTCTCGTTTAGCCTAGTCCCTAATGTGTTATGGAGCTGAATGACTATCGTCTTATAAGTGACTTCAATAACGAGATGTTTGAAAATTCTGATTGCAACATCAGCTTTTTCGAAGACTAATTTTTGGTTATCGATTGACTAGTGGATCGAAATCGTTCAAGTAAAGTACATGTATACCTTTTTTGGAAGGAAACCACACCATGTTTTCTTCACTAGTAAGATAGAAATGATGTAATCTGTTTTGATTCTTTTGAATAATATTTGTTAAAAAAAACTACATTTTGTGATAATTTACTTGGTTATAGCTAGCAGAGGAATTGAGGAGGCACGTTTTATCTAATTTAGGACTAATCGTTCGGATATATCTTCACCCTAGTGAGTAATGCTTATGCCAATGTGACTCGAACTGAGTACCCACTGCTTCGAACACGAAAGCGTTATATACTAGGCCAATGAGGCATGATAAGCACCTCACGTACATCGGTTATTAGTTATTACAGTCTGTTGATTTACTCGTATTTCTCCGTTGTTATACTGGGTCGAATCGGTTGACCCCTGTTGGCATAGGGCTCCTTTGCGGATGCCTCTATGCTACCTGAATATTTACTATGGTAATTTACTTTACTGCATTTTATGTTGTTGTTGTCGTTGAACACTTGATCAGAATGAATTGATTTCCAGTAAATTCATTTTCATAAATACCCGCCTTTCAACTTAGTGACCAACACATATCTACTAGAATTGTGTCACCTGACTTCATTCTTGTTACTTATTGGAAGTAACAAAGAATACCATTGATGAAGCTGTGTATGTTCCTGGCACGTTTCTTATCGGCATGAAAGAATCGTCTACATAAAGCACTTACAGTTTCGATTATTACTACTGCTATTGTTATTGTTATTATTATCAGTATAGTTGCAGCTTTTAGTTTACGCATTATGATTTCATGGATTAGTTTACCAAAAAGTTATTCAGTCAGTACTCCTTTTTTCTGTTCGTATGTTTGACCATTGCACCGAAAGCATGCTGAAGGACACAAACGTTTAAGTTTTGTCAAACTTAAGTGGAACATACTTGGAAATTGAAAGGGAAGATAATCACTTTTGAGTTATATGGGCATTATATTTTCCATGAGTTTTGGTCTGATTTAAGTGAAAAATGCCTTATCGTCGAAGAAATTCACCATTTTATCGTCTCTAGGTTGAACATGTTTAATTTTCCCTAAGAAATAGGATTGGCTTATCGATGAGGTGGTCATAAGGTTTTGTTAAGTTATTTTTCTCCTTACAAACCATTTTTGATTAACTCTACGATGTGCTTCTTGTGCATGAAAAGTTTGTTGGACGAAAGTATGCACATAGTAAAATTCCGTGTGAATGTGGAATCAGGTGTATTAGGTTATTTGACTTTATTCATTGCTGATCTAACTTTTAGATATATTTTGTCTTCAAAGGTAGTTCATTTGGTGTATGTTTGATTATGTTTAATCTGATATTTAGACAAGATTCTTCTTCAATGGATGATATATATTATTACCAATGGCTGATTTCTTAGCTCCTTATTGTTTCATAGTAACTGCAGTAATTCTTTGTCAGCATAATTGTACAATGCTTTTATTCTACTTTTCAGTAATTCAGGGAGCTTCACTTCCTCATGATCAGATTCTTTTTAGGGTAACTGCCCTTGATTGTAGATATAATAGTTAGGTATGCTTGTAGTAAGTAAGTAAAGCGATAACTCGGAAAAAAAAATTCTAGTAAAGAAGTGAGTTGCTTGATAAACACACTTCAATACAATTCTAGTTTTTATTCCTGTTGTGATGATTTTAATTTCACTAGCATTTTTCTCTGGATATCGGTGTTCGACACTTTCACTTAGTCCTGTATCAAGACTGCTAAAAACACGTATTTGAGTTCCAAACTCTTATTATCACTCTGAACTCCTAAAGAAAGGTATTTTTGATATGCAAGATGCTCAGTGGTATATTTACTTACTTCTTTATAAAACGCTGAGTACACAAGCTGAAATTTACCCTTTTTTGGCATGTACATTCTCCAAGCAACTTAAATATCTCAAGTTTATTTAAAATATATCATACATTTTATGGTGAAAGCTTAAAATATTTATGGTAGTATAAAAAAGGAGTAAATTTTGTACGAGGTGAAAATAAGCCTACCGGGATTCATTAGTAAAGATAAAAGATGATAGTCCAGTTCTCCTTGTTCATCATCATTTTCTGCTTCACAAATGCTGAACAGATATGTTTTATTCAAAATTTCTTGTACCATAAGTACAGACAATTCTGGATGTTTAACTTGATCCCAATAATACTCCATAGTTTGTTTGATGCTAGGATTAATTAAACGGAAGTGATTAAACAATACATTTTGACAAGCAATACAATAGAGTGTCTAAAAACTAATGGAGATATTTTCATAATACTTTTCAGAAATTAATCTTTTTAAGTGGGATTTGTTAACCCGAATGATTTGCTATTTTATAACTTTATTCAGCCTAAAACAACTGGAAGTAGTCGCTGGTCGTATGTGGTCAAAAAACTTATCCTAAATGTTGACAAAACAAATGCGTCGTTAAAGACTTGAGTAAAGGTCACCTGGCATCACAGTCATATGTTACTCCTGATTGCTTTCGTGGCGTCTGAATCTTCTTATGATCAGGTTAGCTGATTAAAAATTAGGCAATATAATGATATTAAGCGCTTTTTGCTAGATAAGATTCACTGGTCAGTTTCAAAATGAGAATGGTAAGCTTAGTAACTCCGTATCATAAGGTAAGCAGAATAACTACTTATTGTTAACACTAATATTAAATCTGAGATATTCATTATTCAACGTGCTTCGTTTAGATTAACATGTGGATTCTAAACAACTGTCCATCACTTAAAGTACGTTCAGCAGCGAATAAGAGTAACATTAAAAGTTGCTTTTTTGCAATTTATCATTTTCAATGGACACAATGTTTGGTAATTTCATGATTTTGTACTAATTTTACCGTACATAGCCGCTGGATATATGTTACTAGGAATAATTATAAATGCAATGACTAATAAGGCATGTAAAACCCTCAGTAGAACTATATAATGTTATAAATTCTACTATTAATATTTACCGAGAAATCACACATGTCTGTATTTCAGCAACGTTAGTAAAAGAGAGCCCAGATGGAGCTTATTTAGCTATCGGAAGGACTAAGAAAACAGATGGATACAACCAGATTCTCAATAACTTTCCCTTAATTCCATATTAGATTTTTTTATTTGACTCATGACACGCAGTACAGTATTATTTACTTGATGGCGTTACGAGCATCAATCATTGCTCATAATCATATCAATGTAATCATACAACTTTCGACATCTGCTTTTTATGGTCTTATCACTTCATATTACTTGTTTTATTGGTAGCAGAATTTTCCATATCTCTGATATATGTGTTGCGTCACTATTCCTATGACATATGTTGGGTGTTGAACAGAGATTCAGTAATCAGTAACCTCTCTATCTAATTATATTGGACTTAAGTGCAGTGGTTGTTTCCCACCCTATTGTGTGGTTATATTATATTAGTGCATCCACTGCAATAGCCGGTTGTTTTTCTATCTTATTGATCTTTCTATATATGGCTAGATTCTTATGTTCTGCTAATGTAATCTAATTATCCTCTACAGTTTACTAAGAAATTCGAACGAACACGCAAGAAATAAAATGATAACTATAATATGAATAAAAATAATACCAACAACACGAGGAGAAATAAGTTCGAAACCTCTGTTGTGTTACTATATAAAGAAGAATTATCAAAAAAAAAATTAGGTTTCTCAATAAGGCTAGAATTGGGGTTCTATTTAAACTTACAAATTTACTCAGAGATTAGCTTTATTAACTTAAGTATCCAATAGGACCAATTTAGCAAAATAATCTAACCTATCAAATTCCATGTAATGGTTATGAGATCAAGTACATAGGCCAAACTAGCTGACCGGGGTCAGTTAGATTAACGGAACACGGGAATTCAGCTAAATATAGAATGAAAGACTACAACAAGATCAGTAATCTATAAAAACACCCAGCTATTAAAATGCATGCACTAACACAATCACACAATATGGTGGTAAAAAACCCCTCTACTCAAGTCCAATACAATTAGGTGGAGAGAGAGGGAGACTGACTACTGAACATTTGAACTGACGAAATAAAACCATTTATTCATGAATAAGAACAAGACATGTGTCAGCAAAGAAGTATTTTTTGCAACGACTTCATTACTAGGCTGTACAGTAGTAGTTATCCTCGGAAAATGAAAGATATATGAATGTTCGCGAAGCCAATTGGCCAATGTGTCTTCTCTCGATGACAGAGAAAGTAAGCATGGGGACATAGAATGTTCGCACCATATATAAACCTATCAACGCTGCCAAGATTGCAAAACAGGTGAGGAGGTATTACATAGAAGTACTCGGAATCTGCGAGAAAATCAGCTGATGGAATGGAAGTGGACTCTCCAAACTGTCAACTCGAGAGGAGTCAGGAATCTACTCCGATATCATCACATAGACGACAACCACCAACACAACACACTCAGTTTTTGAGTGGCTATCATGATGTCCCCAAGCGCATCGAAGGCTCTCATGCAGTGGAAACCAATCTCCTACTCCAGGATCAGGATCATGACAGCAAGGTTCAACTCAAAAGGAAGGAAAGTCACAATCATACAATGCTACGCTGTACAACTACAAATAATGCAGATCAGGAAGAGAAGAAGGAGGAATTCTACAGACAACTGCAATCAACACTGGACAAGACGCCACCTCAGTTGGCGATATCAAAATTCTAATTGGTGGGGTGACATGAATGCCAAACTGGGAGCGGACAACACAGCAAAAGAACTCATCATGGGTCGAGAAGCACTCGGTGAGGTGATGAATGAGAATGGAGAACTGTTTGCAGACGTCTGTGCATTCAACGATCTGGTGATTAGAGGCAGTATGTACAAACACAAGGATATTCACAATGCGAAATGGGTTTGATGTCACCAGATGGACACACTCAAAATCAGATCGAATTCATCTCAATGTGAAGAAAGTGGAAAAGCAGCCTACTGGACGCAAGGTTAAGAAGGGGAGTAGATGTATGTAAGATACCTGTGTGGATGAACACGGGAACTCTTTCAAACCTGTGTGGAACGAAACCTGCATAAGCATATTAGGAAGGAAGATGGGGAATGGATCTCGACAGACACATGGAATGTGATAGAGGAGGGAGAGGAAGGTGGTGATGGCGAAGCAGAAGATAAGCCAGTGCAGTGTAAGGATGAACGACAAGAAGAGGAACTGAGTACAATGTATACAACACCACACTGGACAAAGAAGTGAGGAAGAGTGCGCACAAAGACAAAAGACACTTCTACGAAACACTGGCAGGCAAGTGAAGCAGAACAGGCTGCAGGCTGATGGTAGGAGCAAGAGAGACCTGACAACATTGTATCAAATAACCAGGTCACTATCCGAGAAGAGATCAACATAGATGGAACCAATCAAGATGATGAAGGAAATACAATTACCAGAGAGGCGAAAGAAAGGAAACGATGGGCTGACCACTTCAAAAAGCTCTTGAATCGACCACCACCATCACCTGCACTTCTCCCAGAAATACCACTTGCAATCACAGAATAACAAGTGGACACAAATCCTCTGACAAAAGTCGAAGTCCTGTATGCCATAAAACTGCTGGAATCCGAGCAGGCAGCAGGACCATATGGAATTCCGCCAGAAGCACTGGGACTGGACGCAAGGACAGCAGCGGACACGCTCACACCACTATTGCAGAAGGTTTGGAAGGAAGGAAGTGAAGGTGTCTTTCCATTGATTGGAAGAAGGGCTACATTGTCTAACTCTCAAAGAAGGGCGACTTGAGTCTGTGCAAGAACTGTCGAGGAATCATACTGCTGTCCACCTCAAGCAAAATATTGAGCCATCTCATCTTGGAGTGACTAAAGGATGTGCTGGATTCAAAACTACAACTGGAACAGGCTGGTTGGCTGGCTGGATTCAGGAAGTACAAATCAGGTGCGGATCAATTTACAACACTACACATCATCATAGAACGGAATATAGAATGGCAGCCAACCCAATTCTACCTCAACTTCATCGACTTTGAAAAGGCCTTCGACAGTGTCGACCGGGAAGTAATTTGGGAACTGTCTCACTACTCTTCATCAACCTCATTCAACAGCTATAAGAAGACCACACATGCCAGGTGATTCACAGTGGAAAGCTAATTGACGCCTCTGAAGTGATGACGGGAGTAAGACAAAGCTATCGCCTACTATCACCTATGATCTCCCTGATTGTGGTTGACTCGACTGGATCATGCAGCAAACCGTGATGAGCGAGAAGATGGGCACACTGGCCGGACGACGGAAAAGAACCACAGAAGAAGATTTGGATTTCACCACCGATGATTTATGTCCAATGTCACAAAAAATAACAAGTTGATAGAAGAGGCATGACAGCGAAGGAAGATGGGACTTCAAGTGAACGTAGAGAAGGCAGAGGTGATGAAGATACCCAACCAACAACACCACCATCAACAACAACAAACACCAATCACCATTAACCGAAGAATTCCAAAGGAAGTAGTCTCCTTCATCTACCTAGGCAGGCAACATCGTTTCAACTACAGGCAGCACAGGCACAGATGAAGATGTCAAAACCAGGATTGGAAAAGCAAGATAGGCTTTGCTGCATTAGTCTGAAGTCAGTGTGGAGATCTACTGTACTCAGCACAAAGCGTGAACAAGATCCGGATTTTGAAGATCAGTGTCAAGTCAGTGCTGCCATATGGTTCAGAAACTTGTTGTGTCGTGAAAAGCACTTCCAACAAACTACAGACATTCATCAACAACTGCCTACGCTGGCTCATTACTTGAAAGGGCGACTGGGGACATCATGTGCCAGGTCAGGCTGTTGAGTGGAATTCAAATAGTGAAACGACGTTTTGGGAGTCCTAGGCGAGAGTAGCGTGGAGGAGATCATTGTGAGAAGAAGCGAGCGCTTGTGTGCAGTTTTGAAGTGAGGTTCAAAAGTCTGCAGGGAACAGATTGCAATGGAGGCGTGCTGCTGAAGCCGTATGTTCCACTATGAACCCAATGGAAAAATAATGATAATATTAATCAAGTAGTTGGCGGTATTTGTTCATGTGGAATTAATAGAAAATGGGTCACTGATTAAGGAACGAGTTGGTAACAAGTGGTGATATAAGAGACACGTGCTGTCAAAGAATTGTATAAACGGTGATAATCCAACTGAATCATGCCAAATAGGTCAATGAATAAGGAATGAATTGATATCATACCGTGAAATATGGATCAAATGTCGTCGATGAATATTAAAATTAGTAATAATGATGATAATAAAAGCGAAGTATACGAAAGTGAAGTCAAATTGACAAAACCAACGAAATGAATTGTAAAAGCCAAGGTAGAGAAATGGATTCACAAATCGTTTTTAATGCAAAGTTTCATTTTTTATTTATATATGGCTAATGCTTCAGCTATGCATAAATGGTGGAAACGTAAACCTTTGTTCATCATATCAACACTCAACACATGTAACAGGAATGACGCAACACCTATACCAGAGATATGGAAAATTTTACTACCAACAGAAGTAGAAAAAAATGAGTTGATATGTTTGTAAAAATCAGATGTCAAAAGTTGTGTGAAGACTCACTGTGTGTTATACATCAATTAAACAAGTCTTATATGAAATTACATTTGACCACAGTACCCAAATTTCACACATATGAATAGCATTCAATCTTGAGTCAACTACAAAAGTAATTCATTTCACGTTTGACAGTCATGTCAGTGAATAAGTATTTTTCTTCATGATATCGTGAGTGAATTTGTAATTCACGCTATTACTTGACTAATTCTTCTTAAGAATGAAAATACGGTTACCTTTGCAACGTAGCATATCACAGTTATCATGTATTCTCTGTATGTACGTATTACGACTTCATTCAACTCAGCTTTAGTGGAGAAAACGCAATTTATTTTCATTAATTATAGTTTTCTTTGAAATTTACATGGACACGTTAGTATAATTGTGCACTTTAGAGCATTTAACTGTAGTTGCTAAGATGGTCTTTAAAATCAACCATATTATTTGTTTACCCCTGTTGCATTCATGCAAATTACAAGTGATTTACAACTCACAATAATTTGCGACTAAAGATTATTTAACTATCAAAGTCATAGTGATCAGAGTGCACAAAGTTCTTCTAGAAGTGGAATTCAGTTTCATTCATGTCTTTTTAACAATAGTACAGTTGAGCTAAATGAGTATTTACAATAAGTCATCAGAAATTCAGCATAGGTGAAGAGTGGTAAACTGAGAAGACTGAGTATCAGTTAGCTTCATGTTAACATCTTGGAAATACAACGGACTCTACAGGTTAAATAACTTATGATGTCTAATGGAATCATTCTTTCCATTTCACACAGATATGTTTTTTTCTCCATGTATTAAAAACGGCCGTTATTTATAGAAATAAGTCTAACATATTAGATTACCACTTTTATAAGCAATTGTTTGAAGTAAAGACTTACTTAGCCGGTGACAACTGAAAAGCTTCCGTTGCAGATGATCCTTCACTTATGGCCTTTTTATATGTAGCCTTGGAACCGAGTTCAGTGTCTTCAATGCACTGAATTATAATATCTGCCAATTTTCCAGTATCCTATGAAGTCAAATAGTAAAAAATCGTTATATCACAGTCAAGTAACGACAGCAGACTACCTAACGAACGGGAATCAAAATCCCTTAATGAGTGATAAATGACCTATATATTTATTGCTTTAACAAACTAATCACTCCAATTCAGAAGATTGGGAGGATTTACTTATTGATTTCAAGTTTATATTTATTACAGACTGACATCAGTTGAAGAAACTTTCAGGAACTGAGAGCATTGCACAACTGTTTTACCCTAGTGTAGGACTCCTCAGCAATGAGTACCTGTGACCTCGTTAGGGCCCGAACCCCGAGCCTCGAACCTTCAGGTTTCGCTGCTAGCAAGTCCCCATTGAGACACTCAGCCAGAATCCTATGATCTACACTTCCCTGCTCAAATCAGTTCATGATATAGTGCAATTTCCATCCAGTGCCCTCGTTGAATATTTGTCATCATTTTCGACTTATCCCGCCGGTCAATAATTTTCATTAGAACTTCGGGAATTTCATCTCGAATCACGTCACTTATGAGTACCGAATCGTAATTCACTTTGGAGGCTTGTGCAGCAGCATGTTAAAATGCCAAATGGACGCCATCATATCAAGCTAATCTCGAGGAGGACGATGAATAGTAGGTATTCCATTTAGTAATACAATAAACATTTTGATAGCAGTAAGTCAATAGGTAGTTTTACCAGAATTGATGTACAGTATGATACTGAAGCTTAAGACAACCGAGTTTAACACTGTGACTTAAGTTTGAAGGTTGCTTTAGAAGAACAGTTTTGCAATACTTCATAAATGAACAAAACGTACTGATGGAGTTTCAATAGCTAAATATCGAAGCTATGAAAACACCAACTGCCACTAAAAAATCTAGTCTCGCTGGAATGTATAGGTCATAATATATGTGAAAACATTTTTGATTCTTCATTTTCTATCAACAGTACAAATACGATTATTTTTTTATACTTCTTCCTTAAAAAGTCTTCTGAAATAAGAGAAAATTAGATATGAGTATGCATTTCGTACTCATATTTTTGAAACTCACTTGTAGAAGTACAACAGGAACTGTATTTTGCATTGTTCCATAAATTGCTTTTAGAGTAGATTCATCCCCACCAGAAAGAAATGCACAAATCTGAATTGGAGCTAAGAAAAGTCAGGATATATTAAGTGAATTAGTTATCGTTTTAAGTAGATAATGTCAGAAATTTCATAGGTAATTTTATACGCCAGTACATTACATTATTTCTTCGGCAAACATTTAAGCAGAAATAATGCCTATTATCTAAATGCGTACAATGTGACCAAAATGAAACAACATAACTATTAAAATGAGGTTACTTTTTCAAATCTCTTTCAGTCAATAACTTTGCATAAAAATATAACTGATGGTCAATAGATAACATATAATTCGTTGCATTTTCTAATGAGTTCATTACATTTGGACAGTGGTGGGCAGTAAACTATTCAGAATGAAATACCCATTTTTTTGTACAGGATGACTAACTTGATTTATTTACCAACTCTTCTGATAAACTTCAGAATCGAATGAAATTAGACAGCCAATTTCTGAGTGGAAGTAAAGATTATTACCAGAACTGGGATGACAAGATACAGTGATATGTGTTGAATGCAGCTTACTTTTACTTTTATTGGGGATCTTAGTAAATAACTTATAATTGTTCGCCTAATCCGAATAAGAGATTTTTCAAGTATCTAATTTAATTATGATTTAAGTTATGGTTTGTTTTTCGAATATTATTGCAAAATTCTACTAGAAACACTTTAAAAATTGTGATTACATAATCTGACAATATCGACATATGGAGTCCTAAAATGGTAACAGTTAGCAGTTCATAACAGAGCAATAAGCTTGTCCCGCATACATTCACTAAATGCACATAATCTGCTGAGAATAATAGTATTTTTTTTAATAATGCAAAATTATTTACCGTCAGCTATGATTTGCATAGAATCATCTAAAGACACTTGCCATTTTTTGAGGGCCAACTCTATTTTTGTCCTGTAATTATATTCATAGTGTTGTGTAGGCTGTTTAGCTGTGTCCACAAAGATATACTGGGTAAGATTGCTATCTAGAAGGAAGTGATTGTTAGTTTCTTTTGCATCCGAAGAGAATGATGCTGGAAAACATCCCTAAAATACGCAAAACGGAAAGATTAAACGTTTGCTGATACATCTGAAATTGGTAGCAAAACTATTTCATAATAAATTTGAGTTCTCATCGTATGTATTAACCGACATCACTACTCTTCAGAAAACTTCTATTTATGAAGCATAATGTCTCCAAGTTTAGCTTAGTACGAAATCTACTTAGCTTTAAGTATACACAATAACTAGTAGCGGAATCTAGGACATGTGTTTCGGCCCATTTGGTGCTCGTCAGAAAGATGCATCTGCATCACAGTGAGTGAGTCCCGTTGGGAATACCGTCACTCACTGGGATACAGATCCATGTAGCTGAAAAGTCTCGAAGTGCTATACATTCTGAAGGTTTTAATTCACAGAACATCTGGTCAGTGGTAGGAATTTATCTTTAATAGCAATAAACTGAAGAAACAAATGTTCATTAATGACTCTCCTTTGATCATGAATTTTATCATCTACTTTAGATGATACCACCGACGGGAGTATTAAAGTTACAGCCGGTTCTACCCTCGCTGATACTAGTTTGTTTACATGAATCGATATGTAATGGTTCCTAAGCAAGTGCATTCTTTGATAGACTTTGAAAATTTAGCCCTAAACTTGGTGACGAACACATACTTCGAATTATCTTATTGGTCACAAAGCAATGATTACTTTATGATTTCAGATGTTTCCACTGGCGAAGTCTAAATCGTATTGCTCAGTCAGTATTAATATTACAGGAGACACGTGAGTTATTACTGAAAATCTTGACACAAGTAGTTCAGTCCTTTCACAATCATCAAATTTTTCTATTATTCAGTGAATTGCGGTCCATGAAAAACTGTATATTCACCTTGATTTATCTACTCAGTTAGGTTTAAAATGAGATTAATACTACTAGTTCATAAATTTTTGTTCATTAGAATTGGCACGACACCACTTTGTGCAGAAATTACCATTGCATCATTCAGACTGTAATCAAAGCCTTAAAAGGCTACTTTTTCAGAGCATTTAATCATCATTCAGTTTGTCTCTGAGAATGACTGAAAAAATATTATTGATTTTTCCACTAACCATATGCTGACCACTGGGAAATATTTTCATACTTGATAAACATTACCAAGGAAGTCAGTGAGAGATCAGTAATCACGGGAGTGTAACACTCTTCTAAACTGATACATAGAAAAACAAATATACATCAAAGAGACTGAAAATATTTTAATTGAAACGTGGTTAACATACAGCACATAGTACTATCCTTATCTAACTTACTGAATAAGATTCAGAAGTAAAAACATTATTATTAGCGATAAACTTCCATGGCACTATTCCAACAGCTTCAACTTGACCTTCACCATAAGCTTGAATAAAATCTTTAACTGCCCCACTAGCTACAGCTGATAAGCTACTTTTGATTCCATCAGTGATGATCCATGTCTCTGAGACAGAAAAAATTGACATTCAGTAAAACCGGCTGAGGATTTATCTGATTCAGTTTGAAAATTTAAATAAACATGTATAAAAAGTTGCTTGACTTTTCCCAACTTGTTACCTAGCTCTAAAATATGTCAAACATTTTGGTGTGGATTACTGTGAAAATACTCTGCCTCCATAGTAAACACGTACTTATAAAGTTCTAACGCAGAAAAAGGCTTAACTTATAATCCTTCATATTTGTATAATGACCAATTCTTCAGAATATAAGTCGTATGGAAAATATTATTTGCTTAACTGATAAATAGTACAGATCAGACGAAGATGTCACCATATGCATACATCAGCAAAACTATCATAAATTACAATCTAGTAAATGATTGTAACAAATTAACTTCATAATTTATTTAAAATAATATATATTGTCTACTGAGACCTAAAATATAGCATTTCGACCAGACTAAAGTTTTTGGACAACGGAAAATCTCCTGGGATGATGTGCTGAATTTCTTTTGGGATTAACAGATGACGAACTTGTTTGTAGCATTTACGGGATGAAATTGTCTACTGAATAGTTTCATATCCTTTTATCTTGGTTACATAACTGCTGGTAAGGTTGATCATAATTCAAAAAAAACAATTTATCCTGCAACCTCATTTCGGTCACCATTTTGTGGTATGAACTCTTTTGATAACTAGAGACTTTTATGATATGGATTTGTCGTTATATTTAAGTAGGCTTTATGTAATGGTACTGTTATCACGGAAGCAGTAACCAGAAATAATCTGATACCATCAAAGTACTGAACGTATGCTTATTCCTGTAATAATCGTGCACAACAACTGATTTTCATTATCTTATTGGCGTCTAATGGAAGAACATAGTTTCACTGGAGTTTCATGAATGAATTCACTGCAGTATTTGAAGTTTGTTTCCTTATCTGCATTATATACATATTGCATTAGCAATAATTCTGAATGCGAAAACCATGGTTTGCAGTTGATTATTTCAATAAATAAGTAAAACTCTGAGATAACCCTCTGGATGTTTGTTTGTAGGTTAGTGTGGAGTAGATAGATACTCTGTTCTACCCATACAATTTCAATGAAAAAATTGTGAAAAGTTCTGCACTATTTGGCAAAGTATAATGGTGAATGAATAACTTGAAATCACATTTACCAGATAGGTGAAAGTTATGTAGGTACTTATTAATCATGCCTTTTTTTCAAGACAGGTAAATAATTCATATTTGACTGTTCATTCACAACATCAAAGCATTTTTGTTGACCAGGCGTAAAACGTTTGCGAAGTAGACCAGTAAAATGAAAAGTGAGCTGAGAAACTAAGCAATAGTTAGACACAAAAAAATCTAAGGCAAACACAAACCTTATTGAAAACTTTCAGTTTGAAAAATCTTTTCTCCTCATTTTTATTTGATGAATTAGTGAATCACATGGATTCTTTTTGTGGAGAATTGATTTAGAGTCAATAGCTGATTGTTGAAGTTAGACAACCCAATATTTTTCTACCTTTTCGTTGAAAATAGATTTGTACTACGAAAATACTAGATGAAACACTTTCCTACCGTATACAACGAAACATATCTATGGACTAAGCAGAATCATTAGGTATATAAGAATAACCCTTAGTGATATTATGATCTACAATAAGGAAACTTTGTTCGTCCTTGGTTCGATCATGGCTGCGCTCTACTGAGAAGCTCCTTACTAAGATAAAACAGCTTTTCAGTGCTCTTAGGTTTTCACTGGTTCCCTCCCCCCCCCCCCGTGATTAAAACCACTTTGAAACTAGTATAACTGTAACTTAAAAGAGGGAGTAAAATGCTACAGCGTAAACAAATACAAGGATCAAATCTTTTCTATAACGCTCGTTTCAATGCAGACTTATAATGATTGTTGAAATCGAAATTTTAATTATAAGAACTAATAAATGATGTATAACTTCAGTGAGAATGAATAACAAATTTCTTACTTGTAGATTCACTGACTTTCCAAATTAATCGACGAATTCTTTCACGAATACGTGGTGAATCAGTATAATCTCCATAAAAGCTTAATATAAGCTGAGGACGGGATAGATTCCATATTTTTGAAAAAGATGAATAATCTGTTCAGTATCTGTTAGATCCGATACCCTGACAAACTATTGTTTTGAACAAAAAAACAACAAGATTTATTCGACACAAAGGGCGTTTCATGACAAAGTTCATATTACTTTACTGAGATTAGTTATTTGAAGGATTTTATTACTCTCTTGTGGGAAGAAGAACTGAAATCAAATTTCCATGGGAATAAGGTTTGAAAGAAATTTTAGAATATTTTTGGAATACAATTCGATTTCATCAGATAGCAAAGCTGATGCATTACAATCTGTGTATGATATACGAGATAAATATTAAAGTCCTTGAATAATTTTTAGTGTACTGCAAGAAATATAGTTCCTACGGGTGTAATCATCAAACATTGAGAATACATCTTGCATTCCCTAAAATCAGCAGGACATTTGTATAAATTACCTACAGATAACAGATGAAGGATGATGTCCTGATGCCCAAAAGTTTAATACAATACTGGGAATTCTTTCCTACTTCAAGTTTTAATTAGTAGATATCAAATACATGATGATACAACCAGTTCATGAATACAGGTGTCTGATAAGATATTCGTAGTAATTTATTGTATAACAAAGCAATAAAATGTACTCAGTCACCTTGTTCATATCCGTGCAGCAGACAGTCAGCCACACCTATTGTGTGAAGGCAAGTGATACCACCTAGCTGCTCACACCTCCATAGGTAGAGGAGGGTTGGGACGCGTGACCCACTAGTTGAAGGTCAACTCCATAAACCACTGAATCACATATTTGCACTTAAAGAAAAATTAGCAAAGTGATATAAGACGGAAATGCCAATAAATACAATCCAAATAGGAGTAGAAACAGGTAAGCAGAATGAGACAGCTGTTCATAAGAAAACATCTGATTTTGGCGGGACTATCTCATGATAAACTTTGTAAGAATCCATTGACAACCCATATGTACATATGATTTCAGACTTTCATGCTGCCACTCAGCCTTTATCACTTATTATGGCTATTGTTTAGAAAATTTTCACCAGAGCTCTGTGACTTCATAATACTGACTTTAGGTACTGTTTAATAATGCTTGACGAAGTTGATAGATATTTCAGAATATTCTGGTATGTAAACACTCAAATGTTTATTTTATCTTATTTACTAGAGTTGTTTGGTCCTATGCAAATTCAGTTTATCAATGTGATAAGTTATATAGTTGTTTCACAAATAACATTACTGATCTATCACAATATGGTGAGATAGTTGGCTTCAATAGTTTTTATAGAAGTTGACATGCCATCAAGATTTACCGATGCACAAAATCGTTGGTTTATGATTCCAGAAATCATATAAATTATGCACCTCTGAATATCTGAGTCCTGCCGATCGATGAAAAGTGTAACTTCACCTTTTAACATATAGAATAGTATAAATCAACTGTTCGGTACAAAATATTTTTCAGGATTATTATTGACATCAGTGTATCACTAACAATGAAACGAATATTGCAAGTCTATGAAGCAAAAGCATCTTTAATTATATTAAAAATAAGATGAAACAGATCAACATCATTTTCAAATCTTACATTAGGTGTATACGCAGTATTGAACACTTCAATACCACCATATGTATTTGTCGGTAGTTCATAATACTGTGTCTTACGACGCTTAATTGATTCAACGAATTGAGGATTTTTAGATAGAACTCCATGTTCATTCATAGGGGAATTGCAAATACACAAATCAGGATAACTATTAGGGATCAGAAACAACAGAGAAACAATTTTTTTGCTACAATCGGAAAAAAGTTATCATTATACGTTAATTACATCTTAGGATGCCTAATTCATTTCTAACTGATTTATTCCAATCAGGTAGTTATGAAATAAAATAAACAGAATTCGTGATTTTGGTATTATATTTCTAGATGAATGAACATCAGAAATAAGGTCACCCCTGTCAGCATTTAACCACTTACTGATAACATCTTTGTCGAATTATTGAAAAACTGGAGTTTACAATATCAAAGCTTATATATAATAACTTGAAATGTTTTGAAGTTAAACTGCTTAGGGAATGGATGTATTTCTGCCGGTCTTCGAACTTGTATAGCTTTGATTTCGGAGGTGGTCTGCCAGGTGTATACAGTGCCATGTTGTGCACATTTTGTTCAATAACTCCAATCATATTGGGAATCCTATTGAATGTCTATGAACCAAGTGCTCCATAGTTTGTCTCAAGTTACCAAGAACACTATACTGTTGTACTTGTTGAGCGAACTCTTATTTTCATACAAGGTGTTTGATCCGTATAGGATGAGAATTTTTTCAGCTACTGATTAGGAATCACTTCGGCAGTGTCATCTTTTGCAGTGAAGGCTCCTACGAGCGAAGTTGACGTAATAATTATGTAACTGAATGATTCACTTACATTCTTCAATTCTGTCGCTTTTTCAGTTTCATTTTACATCACTGTGTGCCCGCCAAAAAGACTGGTGGTGACTGAAGCCTGTGTACTGCTGATGTGTGAAGAATCGAAATTCAAATACCCATCAGAGCATATCCCGTTCCTGAAAGTAGCCAAACTCATAAATGTATTCGCACTGCGTCAATGTAGACAATCAATAAGGTGTTATCCTTATCTGATTCCATTTTCTAGCCAAAGTCAATACAAATTGCCAACGTACTGCTTTATTCACCTCAGAACATGCTCAAGTGATGCTTCAATATGGTCACTGTATAACCAAAGTCAGGTAACAATGTTTTAAGCTTCTGTTATCCTATATGATTTTTCCTCAGATATGTTTCAGTTAGTCTCTAGGAATAATTTCACGCCTTAGGTGGTATAACTGAACCTAGGCCAGTAGAGAATATTTGCAACTCTGGAAGATGACTTTATTGGTGTTGTACTTCCTGAGCTGGATAATCGGATGCTAATATGGTAATGAAATGAATTTTTATGCTAACCAGACTAACCTCTAAATATATTTTTTAAATGTTCTTGGAGGGGCTAAAGTATTGAAAGCAGATATTGAGACAGTTTGTAGATTGATGTGTCAGTAAAGTTCATGATCTGTCCTCGCTGGACAGCATGGTTGTGGATCTTAGGTAGACAATATGATCTTAAAAGTATGCATAGCTGAAGTTTTTTTTCTTGTGGAGTTACTGATTTTGCGGGTTGTATAACTGTGTTTAGTTTCATTTTATATCCAGTCAGACGGGTCTTTTCTTTTCATCAAATAACGTGTTCAAACGCCTTCTTTCATTGTCTTTCTTATTCGTGAAGGATGTTATTATCCCTCCATCCACTTATTTTCTAATACTGTCTTTGAATTTCTTAAACTCTCAATGACTTGAATCACGTTTTCGGAGGGTACTTTTCCTTATATCATGGGAATATTTCGCATTTTCTTCTGCACGCTTTATACTTCAGCATTGAGTAACAGTATAAATGCTGGTTCGATAGTCAGTATTTGTTAGTGAATCAATGGTGGCTTACAATTGCAGTAACATTCAGGTCCTTCAATTGTAATGTAATTATATTTAATGGTGGAGTCTTATTTGACATGTAGTGTAGTGATTCAAGAGTATTTATCCGCCGCAAGTTTGAAATTTTTTCATTTTTAAGAGTGCTGTTAAAAAACTGCATTGAATGAAGGATTCAGCTACTTATTTCGAACTTCTATTCTCTAATAGTAGTAGAACACAGAATCATTAAGACAATGCAAAAGGGATATTGGACTCTAGTTGACTGAATCTTTTACACTTTTCTAAAAGACTTGAATTCATTGGGAGAAACCCCTGAGGAAATGAAGGGATGCATTCCTGAGAAAAGAAAAGACAAGACAAAGCAACTTTTCAGTGCCAGCTGTTTTTCAGTAACCTTTTACCTAATAATAATTTGAATTTTCTGTTGCTTTACGTGCAGTGATATCTTTTAAACACTTTCATCAAAGTGTTGGAAGCATTTGATAGGGAAATGTTGCTTTTAGGTTGCAGGCGCCTTTAAACTTGCAACATCATCCAGTTGAACAGCTGAGTTACTTGCTTAGAATTTTCGATATCACAGACGTTCACAGTAAGTCCTGAAACGGTATGTATAAATCCAGTTAAGCTTGGAATTTGTTACGGAATACTAATTTGATTAGCTCATAAATAAACGTTGTTGTAGAAGATTACATAATTAACTGACATTTTACCTCTATTCTTAGATGCTTAAACACTCACCTTTCCTGGATACAAAGTAACAATATCAAAAAGATGGACAAGTTCTCTTATGAGGATATGTAAATTCAGTAAATATCCAGTTAATATCTGTGATATATTTGTACTATAAAAAGTGTTATAGATATCTTTTGGTTGAAATTAGTATGGAATGCTGGAGTCAAAATATTTTTAAAGAAGTTTCTAAAAGTGATTTCAATGTTTAGACAGCCGTTTGGTAATATTTCATTGAGACGATAGGAACACAGAGAGACTCTAATATGGCCTACCTGAAACTTAGGCTACAGAAAATTTTCCTCCATTTATATCAAACCACATTTTTTCTCTCAGTCTAAACATTTAAAAAACTCCTATAACATTAAGAAACAATCTAAACGACGAATATTTTCTATAATAATACAAGCAGTTATACTGAAGAATATTTTTATCAATTTTTTTTTAATCGTTTAAATACGTGTCCTAAACGTATCAATTACCCTCACACATTTTTCGAATGTTTTCACTGGCCTTTTCTCATAATAATGAAAAGTAGAAAAAGCGTCAGTGTGGATGGGATTAAACTTTCAGAAGCATAAAAATATGTCTTATTGCTATATCGAAGATAATGAGACCAAAATACAGATGTTTGCAATGGCTAAATGAACCGGTAGCGCCAAACTCATGCTCACGTCTCTATTCATCAACTATTTCAGATCACTCGTTAAACTTACATCAACTGGCTGTTTCATATTATTGTTTTTTTTACACTGTTGTTAATGAAACTATTCAAAAGAAGCAATTATTTTTTTTCAAAAATGCTGTACTAGGAGTTAGGTTATTGGAATATTACATGCTCAGAATTCCATACTTTACCAGACATTGTCTAAAAAAATTATTATTGAAAAGGTACAATAAAGCCAGTAAACATTAAAAACGAACTAGTTTTTTTCTAAAGGCCTTATATTAAAAAAAGACTATTAACAATATTCGTTTCACATTGAAAGAAATATTTTTATTGAGGACTTTTTCCAATGGTTGTGTACCCACTAGTTACTAAGATACTGAAAATGTAGCTATTTCTAGAAGGACAGGTTGAAGTATACTAGCGTGGACCCTGATCGTAGCTAACGTAACTTCATTTAGTCTTAACGGTAAAAAATGTTTAGTTGTTGGATAATTGATATCTTCTCCTATTCTGTCTTGCCTTTCATGTCGTTACATTGAACGCAATTCATAAATGGACATTGATAGTTAATGAAAAAAATGGGAATCACTTTTCTCCGTCAAAGATACCAAAATATCCAGTCAACACTATATACAATACATTGCGAAATAATCCTTCAAGTCAGTTGGTCACAATGACAACACCATCGACAAAATTTCAGCCCAGATATCTGATATGTTGACCATCTGTATGCTCAGTTAATAAGTCCTTAAACATTTAGTGCTTTCCAAGCAATGGATCTGTAAAGTCTTTACGCATACTCGAAGTAAATGAAGGATTCATAAACAATTGTTTTCAAACATTCAAGTTTAGGAACTAATTTTACTTTACGTCACAACTAAAAAGAGATATTAGTGAACAATAAAAGTAGCCATACACCCAGAAAGATGATCTGCAACCCCAAAAATCATGGTCAAAATAATCTGAAGATAAGATTGCAGTTTACTTCATTGTAAACTTGAAATTCGTTTGCATAAGAAGAGCTGTACAATTAGTTGAATTGTACAGATCGACAGATTGGCGTCAGCATTATCTAAATATTCACCTTTTAAGATGGTATACATTTTCCTAGTTTGTGACAACTCCTTTAGAAGTTGTAATGCGTAATCTTGTCTGCTAATGTTGCAGAAGAAATTCTGTTAACTCAAAAGTGGTCGATTGAAAAATTACTCAACTTTGAGATATGTCATTCTGAAATTCGTATGTATTTCTCGATTTATTTATCCACTTTAACCCCCCTTATATTAGATATTTTGTGACTAGAGACTGTTGGCCAAAAAACTACTATCAACCATTTGCTTGTTCTTCTGCGTAAGCTGTCGTGAACTTTTTTTAGACATAATCAATTTTTTCCTATGAAGAGTTTGCAGCTGAACTGAATAAAATATCCAAGTTACTTAGAACGATATGAATAAGTCTTCTGTTGGATGAAAAAGCCAGTCTCACTTGAAGACCAATATTATTCCTCATATGTTCAGAGATGTAGTTGATAAAAACTAATTCTAATTAAAATGAATAATACTCCGGTGATCATTTTAAGGTTACCAGTAGTCTACTGTTTTTGAACAATGTAGTAAAATATGAGTTACTTGTGTTTAGGGAGACAAACTAAGACAAGATTTTAAAGGTATTTAAAATGATCTACACTTAGATTTTCTGAAGCATTTGCTAACAGAAGAGTTTTTCTACTTTTGTCACCTTTTGACTAATGATTTTATTATCAACTCTTATTTTATCTCTACATTTCTAATTTCTAACCTAAACCGAATTGACCTTGTACTTGCATAACTGACCTATTAAATACATTTAATTTTGAGATGAAAGAGAATATTTGTAGCTCAGAAGGAAGATTTAAATGATATCGTGTTTTCTGAGCTAGATTAAGCCATCCAGCTGACAAAACACAATACCATCGAAACACTTAATCTTTACTTTTTTTGATTTGCCACACATACGAAAATGAAAACTTAACCATACAAACATTGCAGAACTTTGATTTTAACCAATAATCTACTTTCTTCAGACTTTGTAATCTTTTATATCCTGTTTTATTACTTTTGTCAGTCATTATGATATGTGGACTGAGTTTCTCTTCATATATCTTTTAATTTCTAAGACCTGTATGTGCTTGAAAACCTGGTAATGAAATATAATTCTTTGATTTCTGGAAAATCTGTTGTTTTTACCTTACTAAAATTTGTGAACAGGATCAACTGTACGAAGTATAAATGAATATAGTAACGCTTGGTTTTTGCCTACGAAATCAAGTTGCTTCCTACATGCCATGCATAGTCAAATATTTAATAATCGCATAAAATCTGGTCACATGTATGTAATCAAGAGAATAACTATATGAATATATATGATGTAGTTTTAGCATTTGACTTACGCGGAGTTTCTTGATGGATTTACACAGACAGGGATTTTAATATTCAATGGGATCCATGTTATGCTGGAGTTTTTCTGCCAGATAAAAAGTATTTAAATCAAGGTGAATGTCATAATATTTGCAGAAAATATGGATAACTTTGTAAACTGATGATTTTCTAGTAAAAAACTACTATTTATCCTATTGTAGAACCCGTATATACATGTAAATAGGTTGAAAATAAATAGAATCTTAGTAAGTTATTCAGTGTATCGGAAATTAATGCATTCAGCTTCTTTTACAGTCTGAAATATTAATATGAATGAAAATATATTCTGTTTTACATTTAGTTTGCAAGGGTGACATTGGTTTGAACACTGAAATAGGCTTTCACTGGAATTTCATATCTTTTTACACCTTAATAACATAAAGGCTTCATGATGAAAAGTTGAACTAATAAAAGTGAATAGGTTGAGCATCGGTAAAACAGATTGTAAAAAAGACATATTTGGAAAATCTCAGGGGGATCATGGAAGCCATTCCTCGACAGATTCATTGAGTACGCGGTTTCCATTTCACAAAAAGTCAGAAATTAGTTTTTCTGCTTCGATGAGATTTTATAAATCTACTTTCTTAAGTATTTTACGGTATTTTTTCCCGGTGATGTTAACATATTTCATAAATGGAAGATCTATATTACACAGGACTGTGGGTGAAACTTAATGACGACACATTTAAATAGTATCATTGTAGCTGTCTTTTCTTCGTGATTATTACAATGGAATTAAATTGAATTTGGACCACCAGCTGATAAATTACTAGACTGATAGCAAAGCAGTTGAGTTACAAGGTCTAGTCGGCAGCTACATTTAGTTTCATTACACTCTCTACAGTATAACTTGTAGTTATGGTTGGTACTTCTTTACCCAAATATTTTTCACAGTTTCATAATTTTCTCTTTTGTTTGTTTAAAATCAATGCTCACACTCATCCACTTTCCTTATAAGGGTATTCTATTCATCCATCTATGGTAGTATCTATGATTCTAATCCTCACTGTGATTCTGTTCATCTAACAGTGCCTAACTCAAGTGCTTCACCTTCCATAGAAGCATATTATTGTCAGCAAAATTAATGCAATGATGTGATCGTTTCCGCATGACATTAGGCACAGATTCTTTAAAGCTACTCCACTGAGGATAAGGTTTGTAACTATTTATTCAACTAGCAAATATTTTGGTGGAAAATATATGATGATGTATATATATTAATGTCTGTGATATTCACAAATCAAATATAACAAACATTTGTTAGCAGTATCCCAATATACCTTTTCTGACAGATGGATATCAAACAGGAGACCGATGGAAACCTTGGAGCACTGATGAGTTGTTTCTCCCTAGTTAGGGACTCTTCAGTAAAGATTTAAATAGTTAAACAAATTGTCATTTTGAAATTGATAGTTTATCTAGAAAGTCAGACTTGATTGAAGAAATGAATATTTTCAGTGTGAATAGCGTGAAACAGTCTCAACAAGTTGGTGAAAAAGATTTTTGATGAACAGTTAGAAGAAAAGAGAGAAAAATTCAGTAATATTATTGGTTGTAAGGTGGAATTCAAAGAATAGTAAGACAACAAAGAAAAGTAGATTTCTCGGAAAGAATACTACGCGAAATGTTTAGATAAATGTTATCTTTCATAAGCCACTGCTGAAGCAATAAATTTGGTAAAATATTTCCTATTTTAAAGTATGCATATATTTTTTTAATCCAACAGGTAAATTATCAGTTTACTTGAAAAATTGATCTACTTACATCATTCCCAATAGTATCCTCATTACTGACAGACTCATCATCATTTTTATTCATAATTGTTGTATACAGTACGGATAAGAATTCATAGGACGCTGAACGTGTTGGGTCCATTGCATAATGTACAGGAGTCTGATATTTCTGTGTAAAATAATAATAAGAAACATTAATTTCAGATGAAAATGTTGCTTAAAACTGTCCCTTATTTTGATAATTTGAAATGTTTTGATTTACTGTCTACCTCGACTTCATCGACTTTCAAAAGGCTTTCGACAGCGTCGATCGAAAAGTAATTTGGCAACTGCTTCAACACTACGAATATAGTCCCACAAACCTTTATCAACGTCATTCAACAGCTATATGAAGACGCCACATGCCAAGTGTTCTACAGTGGAAAGCTCAGCGACGCCTTTGAAGTAAAGACAGAAGTGAAACAACGCTGCTACTTACCATCACCCATGATATTCCTGATTGTAGTTGACTGAATCATGCAACAAACAGTGAGAAGCGAGAAGAGGAGGATAAGCTGGAGAGCGGAAAAGAACCTAGAAGACTTGGGTTTCGCCGATGACTTGTGTCTAATGTATTGTCGCACAAACTTGAAGATCTACAGGCGATAACTAACAAGTTGACAGAAGAGGCGAGGCAGCGAAGACGGGACTTTGAGTGAATACAGAGAAGACAGACATGATGAAGATACCCAACCAACAACAACAAGCACCAATCTCTGTGAACGAGAGAGACCGAAAGGAAATAGCCTCTTTCACCTCCTAGCCAGCTTCGTTTCGACCACAGGCGGAACAAATGAGGATATTAAAACCAGGATCGAAAAAGCAAGATAGGCTTTCATTAATCTGAAATTAGTGTGGAGATCTACTGCACTGCACTTAGCATAAGGCGTGAACAAGATCCGGATTTTCAATACTAATGTCAATTCAGTGTTGCTATATGGTTCAGAAACTTGTCGTGTCACAAAAAGCATTTCCAACAAACTACAGGCATTCATAAACAGCTGCTTACGCCTACGTTCACTCGATACTGACACTGAAGATTGATGGCCAGAAAGAACAAACAAGAAGGACCTCACTCTGGGAACGAACCAACCAAGAACCTATCATTCAACAAATTTGTAGAAAAAAGTGGAAATGGATTGGATTGGGCATACACTGAGAAAGCCGATTGGGGACATTACGCGCCAGGTCGTCGAGCGGAATCCGTCTGAGAAACGACGAGTGGGGCGTCCAAGTGTAACATGGAAGAGATGGTGCGAAGAAGAAATGGAAGCTTGTGGGCAGTTGTGGACCGAGGTTCAAAAGACCACGGAGAAGAGAGTGCAATAGAGGCGTGCTACCGAAGCCTTATGTCCCACTAGGAACCCAATGAAAAATAATAATAATTTAGGTACTTATTTCTGATTACTTCCTCCCGCCAGTGAATAGTATACTGTGATATAACTGACATGTAAATAAAACGTCTCTTTTCCCCCGCAGGGAAATGTTTTGTTTGCAGTGCAGAACGAATAATATTCTCAAAACCAAAATGTAACCTTAAACCACTTTTACGATGATTTGTCTTTATTAATAATAAAGCAAATCATAATTGGATGGAGAAAATACTTATAGCAGTAAATGAATTTGATTATTCGACAGCATAAAATAAATAGTACATCCAGTTTCATCAATACCATTTTCAGTGTACAAGAAGTGATATGTTTGGTTTTCGAATAAATCAGTTAAACTGATGAATTCAGACACCTACAAACCTACAAGCACTGTTTGAACTGGACAGAATGCATCTCAATGCTTTGGTGTTTACCAGCTTCTTCTGAATATATAACCAACAAGCATTTTTAAGTACTGTGAACTGAAAAGTTACACTTTGTACTCTTCTGGTACTAACGGTAATTTATTTATCTGATTCACAGCCCTGTAACTTACAAAATACTGGAAAATATTTACTGTATGAATATGAATGAGTTTCTACTAATAGGAAATAAAAGTGAAGAAATTAACATGAGGTTGATGTTAGTGTCATGATAAGCATCGAAATATTTTGAAATGCATATTTTCGAACTAGCGAATCATAGATGTTTCAGGAACTTCCAAAGAGCTTTCACCAAAACCTGGTGTAGTTTGAATTACTTAAGATGAAAATATTTAACAGCAGTGTGAAAAAACGTAACACGATATAGCCATGACCAACAGATTTATTATAAGCATCCCGAAATTGCTGACAAAGCTGGTTTATTGCGACATACATTTGAATTTACCTTCTTTGATCTCTTTTTTACGTCATAGTGAATATTTACCATGCTTATATTTTCTTGACTGTGTTCTTATGCATATTTATTTACATAAAAGTATTCCACACCACTTTTATCCTTTATTCAAACAGTAGAAGTTTCGGTAAAGACCCGTGTTGTTTGCCTTATCGCACTTAGCTGTTCAAACTATTGAATTTTCTGATAGCTTTGACATTATGCAAGGGGATAATGCCTTAATAATTTCCTGAAAAACAACATTATCATGCAAGTTCCCGTTGATATACAGAGCTGGATCGCTCGACTTCTGTTGGCAGATGGGCTCTCATGCGGAGGTCTCGATACCGCTGGATATTCACGGTGCTATATTTACCTTACTCTTAGTGGGAACAACATCACATCCACCTGATGAGTCTCATATAGCACAAAACACGTATCCTGGACTTCCTTGCTGGTCACCAAGATCACTATAACGGTATCTTACAAAGTCCATCAGTTTTACCTTTCATTGATGAAGCCATTATTCACTTCTGTCATTCTGTAACATAATATGATCTATTCTTACAGTATCCTAGTTGCCATAAAAAAGTCGAAAACAAAGAAAATGACTCATGTATTTTCACATTTACCTAGTGCAATCCGAGACGATGTTTGAAACCCAGCTGTAAATCTTGGAAGACAGAAAACAACTATGATCCCGAAACAGTTAGTGCAAATGTTGCTATTTACCAAAGAGATGCTGAACTTTCAATCTTAAAAGACCGATATTCCTGAGAACTTAATATGAAATGTTGACATTTGTTTACCATCACAGTAGGTCATTTTTTGAAGCTTCATAAATTTTAGAAATACATAACCTTCCTACAGTTAGTCAGGAAATTATACTCAAATCCTATTGGTAAATTCTCATAAAGTTTGAGCAAAAATCATTTATTCAACTGACTTATCACTTTTATGCACTAGGTGAAGAAACGACAAACTGATAGAGATCAAATATATTCAGTAGGTTTTGTTGGTAACTTGCTAAACATAAGATGCAAGAACAGATATTGCCAATCTGCTTATCTAGGTTTTATATCTTATAATTTTCCTTAGTAGAGTTAATTTTCAGGCTTCTGTTGTCGTATGGTCCCCTTTCATGGGTTGTTTGGTATTGCTATGAGTTTCATTTGGATCCTATTTATTTTCTAATGGTTAGCATTAAAATTGCGAATGGATTAAGGCGATTTACTTTTATTCCAATCTCCTGCCGATTCCTATTCAGACTGCAGCATAACAAATTGCACTACCTCAACATGTATTTTATGCTATGGGTCCTAAGTTATGTCTCATTGGAAGGAGTAATAAAGTGGTGCAGCCGCATTTAGTGAGTGGTTTTGGAGAAGAATGAAACGCAACTTGTGCATCCTATGCCCAACGTTTAACATGATATCTAAAATATGCTTACTTCACGAAACTCAAAGGTTATTTAATAATCTCAGGTGGAAATATGATTAACACACAAAATGACGCATTTTGAAAAAAAAGTTTACGCTAATTTATGAAGACTATAATTTAGTCATTCGATATTCTAAAAAAATCCCTTTTATTATCACTGCGAAAATTCACTAAGGAAAAACTATTGCCATTAGCAGAATCTATGAAGATAAACATATCCTTCTTAAAGTTGGGAAGCACTTTGCTGCGGGTAATTTATCTCAAAAAATACGTTAGACGGAAATGTATTCTACTCATATTCGATGAAACCTCTGTAGATTCTGCAGTGTAAACTGCTACAAATAACGTTTCGTGAATCCTGGACAAACTGACCTGAAGCGATTAAAGCTAATTGTCCACATACTAGAGATGATTCAATCGATTAGTTTACTTATTGATTCTTAAAATAATTGAGCACATAACCTTTTACAGTGGTAGTTTAGTTTGAAGCAGATGAAAAACCACTGTTCGTCGGTAACAGAGAACAACTTTTGTTATGACAGGAAAACATTTGACAAAATATTTTCGTTTAACGCCAGTCTAATGATCGCATGACTTACAGAATCTGCTACAATGACAAGCTCTTTATTAAGCCAGCAGAGAACAGCAGCCGTCTGAGGATCACTCACCACACCATGATGTAGTGCATTTCTTCCACGCTAAAATAAATTGAAAATGGAAAGCAATAATTATTGTCAAAATGTTTAGCGAATTCAACCGACATTTTGAAGTGCATTCAGTCACAACATTGGAATGAGTTATAAAAACATAAATATATCTGGACTATTTATGTGCACTTTTAGTGGGACGGAAGTTCATAACAGTCTTTAAGTTTTATTAACGTCCAAACAGTTCTCAAAGATGCTTCCTGTTCTTGTAGCTATGATACTTGAAGATATAATTCATACGTTACTGGTCAATTTATATATCTAGTCGAGTAACCCCTGTGTAGAAACCTCTGTCTCTTGTTTATGGTAGTGAAAATTTGACTAAGTATAACAGGTAATAATCAAGTCTGAGATTATCAATATTTAAGTGCTTTCAATACTTCTAGTTGTTAAAGTCGCTGATGGTCAATAGTGTGATGATTGCATGAAAAAGAATATATTTTAACGTTTGATCGGATTATAACATGTTAAAAACTGATTTCTTTTCTAAGAACAGAAAAAGTTAGTATGAATGAGTAGCTTTTAACATAAACAATAACTAACATGGGGGATTCCTGCTGATACGTATAGCCCTGAAACTTTACACGCATCTACTTGCAGACTATGTGAAGTGGTAACTTATGTAACAGGCAAACAGTTAGTGGTTTAACATACTTATTGAAGTCAAACAAGAACTTAGGGAAATTTTGGCAGAACTTTTATTTTTAACAGTGACTGCATTGATTATCATCTGCTACATTTCTAGGTACCTACAGCTATTTTCAACGACAAGGATGGTTCGGAGCAGCGAAAATGCTTTGGATGGCAGTAAATAAATGTAAATTTTATGACTGATATTCTGAGAATTGTATTACCACTCTTGTTAACCTCTACACGGAGTGTTTGTGTCTGGAAAGTATGGATTCCTGGGTCTTTTCAAGAATGATTATCTGAATATGCAAACATGGCATTCCCAAGTAACTTGTGTGACAACTTACTGAATGCCGCTTTGATGAAACTTCCTGACAAAGTTAAACAGTCTATTTTCAACAGTATGCAGTTGGAGTAACTCTCTAATTTGTATCATGAATTTATATTCGAACAGCAAGTTTTTTTCAAAAATTCCGGTCATTTAGTTTTCATACCTATTAAGAATGCTGTAGAACAATTAAGAAGCCAAATTAAGTACGGAGTTTCTTCAAACATTATCCGAATCTGTGCACCTGATAAGTTACAAGTACTCTTACTTTGTTGGTAGACTTTAAACTTGTTGGTATCGTAAAAAATGAACTATGTGTGCATGGACAGCCTTTGTAATATTTTCATACCTTTGTGAAGAGTAAAGATTAATCTCAACAATTTCTATGCTTAAAATAACATCCAGAAGGTATTCTTCAAAGATTTGTTACTAATTAACTTCCTACTGACCTCCACTTCAGGTGTTACTGCTGAGACTGCGCCGTTAGTTATGACTAGTTTATTCACTCAAGGTGATGTCCGCTTCGTTAAATAAAAAAATTATGGTCTTGATGAATACAGAAACAAAATAAGTATATATGATTAGTACCATTACCTCCGTCTTGTAAATATGTGTATAAAATTAAATCACATTCGATTTCTTTCAATGGATCTGACTGTGTTGGCAGCTGTTTATGTCGGTGTAAGTGTAGCCTTTTCGATGTGCTGACCAAAATGGAATTTCGAGTTATAAAAAGAAAACACGAGGCACATTATGATGTGGATGACATATTACCTCTCTGATTATGCAATGAATAAACTGTGATCCAGCAAGCTTCATTTTAAAAGATGACGTCATAACCTATTCTTCGTTACACTGAAGTAGCAGGGATCAACGGATATGGTTTATTCCTAACCACATTAGAAGAATAATATCTTCCATTGTAGCATCACGAAAAATGTGTGATTTCTGTTCATCATCCGTTTAGGATTACTGTAAGACAATATACCAGAACAATAATAACTAAACTGATTTCTCACATAACGAACCACTACAAGGTAACAAATCACAAAGATTATGCGGACTGATAAGCAATTTCTGAATTTAGAAACACCTTTTAAGGATTTCTCACCATATTAACTGACGGAAGAAAACCGCTGAACGGTCTAAATCAAAATCTTTATGAATGATGAAATTGTTTCCCATCTTTGTGTAAGTCTAGGGAAACTGATAATTTCTTTGGAAAATTTACATCCCCGACTCTACAGAATAACTTCCTAAAACATTTTATTGACAGTTTTTGATGCTAACATGTTGATTTCATTCAACAATTATATGATTATTTATCAAGTTCAATTAGCCTAGAATAGTTTTACTATAGAATGTTCTCTGTGTAAAGTAAATCACTTTTTAAAGAATAATAAGGGCTGAAGTAATTACAACTTGTAAATGACTATCCTCTCTACTTGAACTTTTCAAAAGAACTGAATGTTCAGGCTGTGTTCCCTTTCCTTGTTTGTTCCAGCGAAAATAAAGAAGAAGAACATCTAACGTGGACAGAATATGACTAATACAGAATAACCTATTTGAAAGTCATTCATATAAACTCTTTATGTTCCAAGCAAATGTCGTTTATATGAGCCATATACAGCATTAAGAAGCCTCAAGGTCACCACGAACTATATATATATATATATATATATATATATATATATATATATATATATATATATATATATATATAAAGCTTATCCGTTTGATTGCACTGTATCACTCACCGTGTCTGTAAGTTCAAGATTAGCTCCAGCTTTACACAATATTTCAACGGCCACAAAATCACCTACTCCAGCAGATATATGCAACGGAGTAAAACCTTCCTAGGCACAAAAATTAAAAAATATTTTGTTGGTATACTGCATAAGATCATCAGAAAACTTAATAAAAAAATTAATATTTTGGTTTAGCATAGGTATTAAAAACCGAGTTCATTTAATTTCATTGCATACTTCATTAACTGCAGTGTAGTATTATTCAACTGAATAAAACAATAACAGCTGTACACTTCGACTGACTGAACTTTCAACATAAGAAATGGTTGAATAATTTAGTCCAGCACACATGATTGAATAAATTATGAGTTCATATAAGCCAGTATTGTCGATTTTGAACTTTATATTTTGAACTCTTTAACCATTAGGAAACACTGGCAATATAAATGCATATTCCTGACAAACTAAGACCGAATTATTCACTTATTGTTTTACTTCTGTCCTACCATGAACTTTACCTCACTTGGAAGTATAGATGACATCACGTCGTATACTATTAAAGTTTTGAAAATGCCATTTATACGAGTTGATAGTTCATTAAATTGTTTGACAAACACTATTTGAATAATGCAAGAACAAAGACATTTGCAGACCTTCAGCACGCAGAAAAAAGGTGGAGATTTGAAATCCAGGATTAACAGTAAGGTAGTAAGTCAAGGAAACATAGGATTAATAGTTACATATCTTAGTCGAAATCTATGGATATTTATATTTGATGGGAAGGAAAATTCTGGAACTGTGGAGTGGGGGACCAAAAACGAAAATCAATGTCAAAGTAGGGACTGTTTAAGGTCTAATAGGTCACGTAATTTCATGAGTTTGTTTAAAACTGGACACTGCTTACTGTCTACAGTCAAAATGATCATTCAACAATCTCAATGTCAACTGTTCATGTATTTCTACGAGATAAGTTGTCAGTTATCATTATTTATGCAAACAGCATTGAATACTCATTGACACGGAAATTCTGGGCAGTAGCTTATGCAATGTATGCGACTTTACTAGCAATATGTTAATTGCAATACAATATCAACTGAGTACTTGTTTCACAGACATCACGATACCTGGAAAGATAATTCGCCAGTCTCATAACCTCACTTTTTCATCTTCATAACAGGTATCTAAGACTTCTCTTCACAATATTTAAAAAACTGTGTTGGATGCAAATATTTGGAAGGTGTATATCAGGTGTCACGTAGATAGAATATACATGATCTCTCATTTGCAGTCTGTGGCATTCAGTTACTACTAACTTTGAGTGGTTTTTTTTGGTCTAAAAGCACTTACGGACATTTGAGTTTTATCAGCGATCAAGGACTGATGATTTGCAACAATTTACTATATATATATATATATATATATATATATATATATATATATATATATATATATATATATATATATATATATATCTGTACACTAAACCCACTACATTCAGTGGTAAAAATAACTTACTTCAGTCGGACGTTATTAAGTTAGAAATGTGTACTTTTAACCTCTATGGTTTCATATCTTTCATAAGAGCATAGAAAGCAAGTAGTGTTCTTGCGTTTTTCACTTGTACAACTTTAGGCTCAGGTGTACACCATAGCACTTTGTATATGAAGTAATTATCAGTGATGTTTTCAGGTAAACAGTTGGTGTTCGACAAAGTGAAAGCTTTTCAGCATGAAATGGAATGATGTATCATAAGTTAGACGAAACGTGCGTACCAGTTCTTACTGTTAGCTGGTCACAGGAAAATGCTTCCAGATTATTTGGTATATGACTAACTAATGTACTAACATCACTTAATAGTTCACAAAAGGAATGAGTGCATAGCATCCACTTGGCACTGGTATTCTACATGCGTATTAACCCAGAGATAGTAGGATAAAGATATTCCAATGCATGCTCACTGCATTCATCACAAAATACAATTTTTTTGGATCTAATTTGTGAATTTGTGAGCTTGATTTTTATTTTGACTGCTGTACTTCATAAAACTGACAGTTTTGAATGAAGAAGTTGGAGCCACATAATATGCATTTAATGAGTGACTTTAATCCCGACTTTAAAGACCACCTTAGTAAATGATGAGACAGGAAATCACTTTCCTTTATTTTATAGAAAAGTGCTTTCCCAGGCAAAATGAAGAAACATAATTGTTCATTTCAATCGGTAGCCTTTAAAGTAGCCACATTTATTAACCTTTAGTATATACTTCCTAAATTGCATATACGAAATTAAATGGAGGATTATGGAAGTGCATCAGGCTCAAAAAGCTAGACCATTTCAATAAATCCCATTTGCACTTTTGTCATTACACCAAATATCATTAGGCTTAAATAACACTTTGGCGTTTAGCTTTTAGGGTTAGTCAATTAAAAGTCGTCTGACAGTTATGGGCAATTTTAATGAACACCCTAGCAACGATCAAAGTAACGAATTAGGTTTCTTCGTTTCGGTTGGAAAGGCAGATTTTCATAAATAAAGTAGTATGATTGCTAGGGTAGCCTTTGAAGTTACACATGCTCATTATTCCTTATCTGAGTGTTGTTCCCCCTATTTTGATAAGCTGATAATATTGTTCCAACACCTGCAAAAGCTGCGTGAATTGACAGCAGAAACAAATGGAGTAAATTTAGAGGTTACCCTAGCAACTTTTGTATAACCGATCAATTTCCTCCATTATGCTAAAACTAGCCTTTACAACTAAAACACATGACTCAGATTGGTTATCTCAGGAATTGCTAGGGTGTCTTAAGTATCAGTCTATTGCTTATGAGTGACTAACATTGTAATTCAACATTACAGACAACCGCTAGCAATTAATCAGTAATTTCATTCAAACTTGTTTTTCAGCATTACTAATCTTGATGTTGAATCTTGATGTTGTTTTCTCATGCGCTGCTTACAAAATTGCTATGATAGGTGCATTTGCTAAAATGGCTTTAAAATACACTCGGTAATTTATCTAACAAACCATAATTCAGATAGACTGCCAAACTTTGTACATTAGTAGGCAGAGTTCTCTCGGTATCTGATTACCTCACAAAACAGTGGAAACAGCCTACAATTTCAAGTTTCATTGCATGTACCGTAATATTTTATCAATAGGTCATTTTGTTATGCACAAAATAAACAGTAACTTACTATTGTTTTCGCGTCAATTAAGAAGGCTCCATCATTTTGCAAGATATGTTCTATAATTTGGTGAGCTGAATACCAGGCAGCTACATGGAGTATAGTTGCAGCTGATAATATGGGGATCAAAATTGCACCAGTTTGATGTACCAGCTGAAGTTAGTAAATGAAACCAAAGTAAAATATAAGATGAGAAAATAATATTTCCTTCTCTGTCAGAAAAAGGTTAAAATCGTGTTTTACATTGAAAGATTTGTCTACAACAAAGCAAACGATAGACATATATTGTTTATTTGATGTAGCACACCGTGAGTTTCGAGCAGAATTCATTGCATATATTTGTACCTAAGCGGCATATACTAAAGTGATATGTGTTATAGAGTGAAGAAAGATTGACAAAATCTCTACGAGAAGCCCCATATGCCTAAAACCCTTTTTAACCAATCACTTTGTTTCGAAGTTTCGGGAACAAACACGTGAAGAGATAAAAATCAATGGGATTTAAATCTTGAAAGGCCTGAAAATAGCCTGGGCCATTGTAATGCATATAAACCTTGTGATTTTTATATAATGTAGACGTTGCCATTGATATTGTAAACGCACCTCCTGTTCTGTTACGACCTTTTTCCATTACAGAAAAACTGAGCGAGTACCAAGGGTGGAATCTGAAGATTGTTGTACAAACGTCCCCATACATACATAATCCAAGCTACATCAAGTCACTGCAAAGATACAAAAATATGAATGTGAGCAATAAATTCTGCTCGAAACGTCATTCACTAAATGATACTGTTTGACTGTGTAGCATATATTTCTTATTATTTAGTTGATATATTTAAAACCTTGTAATTAAATATTTGTTTATTTGTACTGGTTTAAAATTTTTGTCGACTTGTTCGTCAATACAGCATCCTGCTTTACACATCGCGTTAGCTCCAGATGTTTACACTGTCTAACGTTGGTAGATCAGCAGTATCGGGGATATTAACAAAGAAGATAGTGTATCAGGAAGCGCACATAAATTTGGAGTCTGATATCAGGGCTCTACACTATATCAAATAAACGATCTAATATGGAATTAAACTCTACCACAATGCGGATGTTTTACTCTTACACTAAATGACAGGTGTATTTATACTTCCAAAGAAATCACACGAAACCATAAAGCTACAGTACCAGATGAAACATTATAGTTACCATTGAAATGGGAAACCATTCACTCATTCTGCCTCAGGTTAAATTTCGATTATAATATGAATTCACGGTCCATAGACTATTGATTTTCTGTATAATGAACTGCATTTTTAATACGAATTCAACTGAGACTAACTAATTTTCAGTTATCACTATTATGCGGTACGCCATGATATTCAACTGGCATTCGGTTGATCACCTGAAAAATTCACTGGCGATAGAATAGTTCACTTCAATCGACGAATAATGAGATTATGCTAAATTCTACTCAGTGAATATTAATTAGTTTATTTACCTAGTAAATATTGCATGAATATCATTTTAAGGAGAAAATCTGATCTGTGGATCATAGTGTTGGTTATACTTTATTAAATTTACTGATAATGATTTGAATTTGCAGTTTACTGAAGCTTTTGACTGTGTAAAAAGCTGCAATAGTGTGATTCGTCCCGTAACTCACACAAATTCCTTAATGTTAAACATTTCAAATTATTTTCAAAAGAAGGTTAACTTCAACTTGATATGTGTACACAAAGCAGGCCAATACTTATAGCTGTGCACGACAGTTTCACAGTCAGAAAATGACTTAAGGAGCATTTTCTGATATGCAACAAAACAGAATAAGAGTATAATATCAAACAAAATGAGTATATAGAAGCACCCATCTGCAGATATCACTAGCCTCATCAAAGTGATGCAAACACTGGACGGTCTTTTCACTTGGTAAGGTCAAGAGCATTATCTGTGTACCCTGACAAATTCAGGTAATAGATTCAAATTATTCAGATCACCTGAATCTAACCGGCTAGCTGACTTGTATGGACCGGTATCCCTTAAACAGAATGGTCGATTCTAAAAGGATTTACAAATTACTCAATTTACATCCACACTTGTCACACATGGATAGTTTTCAGCTATAAGTGGTATCAACAGAGCATCTGTTAGAAACCTCCCAGCCGACGTTATAAGGTGTGATCTCTGATTTAAGAGTGTCATGACTTTAATATAAGAGTTACACTTTCGCTTTGTGGTAGAGCTTAATTCTAATTTAGTTGACTCATCACATGTATCACACTGGATTACATTTCGGACACAATTTATTGCCCAGAGTCACCTTGATATGACTACCACAGAGCTCAAGCCTTACTCTAACATTAAAGTCATGACACTCTTGTATCAAAAACCACACCCTGGAATAGTTGCTGGCTGGTTTTCAATAGATACTGTCTTGACACCACAGTTAATTGGAAACCACCCAAGTATGACAAATGTCAATTTGGGCAGCGCAATTTTTCGGTCATTTCCAAATTGACCATCCCATTCAAGGGATACCCATCCATGCAAGCCAACTATCCAGATTTGAGCGATTTGAACAGTTCGGTTCTATGAGCTGAATTTGTCAGGTTGTACGCTGATGTGCTTCGTCTCAAGCGGATGACACGGTTCTCCAGTGTTCGGACCACTTTGATTTACCTAGCAAAATCTATAACGCAGCGTGAATGATTTCTGGCTATTCGACTTCATCCATTTTGAAAAGGCCTTAGACAGCGTCGACCGAGAAGTAATTTGGAAACTCCTTCAACACTACGGTTTTAGTGCCACAAACTTTTATCAACCTGATTCAACACTATATCACCATATGCCAAGTGATTCACAATGGAAAGCTCAGTGAAACCTTTGAAGTGAAGACAGGAGTTAGACAAGTTTGCCGCCGGAATGTGGTCCACTGGACTGGATTATGCAGCGAACCGTGAGGAGTTGTGAGAAGATGGGTATACACTGGTGGACCGATGAAAAGACCCCAGGAGAATATTTGGATTTCGCCACCGATGATGACCTATGTCTCTTGTCTTGTCTCACAAACTGGAAAATCTACAGGTGGAAACCAACAAGTTGACAGAAAAGGCAGCGAAGGAAGACGGGACCTCCTTCAGGCGAACGTAGAGAAGATAGAAGTGATAAAGATACTCAATCAACAACAGCATCAACAACAAGCACCTATCACCATTAACGGGAGAAACCTACATGAAGTAGTCTCTTTCACCTACCTCGGAAAGGCAGCATCGTTCCAATTATAGGTGACGGTGGCACACATAAGGATGTCAAAACCAGGATCGGAAAGGCAAGATAGGCTTTCATCAATCTGAAATCAGTGTGGAGATCTACTCCACTCCACTGCACCGCACTCAGCATGAAGCGTGAAGAAGGTCTGGATTTTCAACATTATTTCAGTCACGTAATTACTTCTATGCTATGGTTGACAGAATTGGCGGAACGTTATGAAAAGCATTTCCAACAAACTGCAGACATACATCAACAGCTGTCGCCTACGCTCACTCGATACTAAAGATCAAATCAGATGGCCAGAATAAGAATAATAAGCAACAAGGAACTCTGGCTAACCTGGCAACGAACCAACCAAGAAGCTATCGCCCAAAAAAACAGGAGAAAGTGGAGATGGACTGAACTTGACACACTGAGAAGACCATTTGGGGCATCAATCGCGAGGCCAAGGGCCTCGAGTGGAACCTAAAGGGGAAACGACGAGTTGGCAGTCTGAGCCAAGGGTGACATGGAGGAGATCATGTGAGGAAGAAATGAAATCTTCTGGGCACTTATGAAGTCAGGTTTAAAAGCCTGTAGAAAAGAAAATGAAATGGCGATGTGCTACTGAAGCGGTATGTTCCGCTAGGAACCTAAGGGACAAATAATAATAATTAGGTAGTAATTGGTATGTGTGCAAAGTGTTAGTACCTTTTTTCCCAGTAAAACGTTATTCTATTGGAAATAAAAGGTCAGAATGATAGGAGTTATTTTTCCAAGATATTCACACAGTAGAAGACTAAGAAGAAGGAACCGTATAAAGCAAAATATGCAGGAAATAATCTTTATTGTGGTTTTATGTAAAAAAAGTTCAACAACTTGACAACACAGGCAGGATACACTCAATAAGAGAAAATAACCATATAAAGGACCTATCAAGAGAAAACTCATTTTTTAAAAGGTCTACACAAACTTTTGTTCTGAAATGTACCAAAAATGTTGACTTCTTTCATACAGGCTGATTTTATCACATGAATCAAATTAATTTTATAGTTTTTATTGACATATCAAAGAAATTACTTCTTGCACTGATTCCATTTACAAAGATTTGTAGTCGTTTAGATGTATAAATTAGAGTAGACTTCAAACAATCAGTTGCTCAAGGCCATGCATCTTACAAAATACCTCAGAGTGAAATACGAGTTCCCGATTCAGAGTTCTAAGAACTCTTATCTTAGAATTGTTCAGCTACCAACCAAAGATTCAGTCTAGAACAACGATAGGTTATACTTCATTGCGAGTGAAGTGGTAACAAGTTATCGATAAAATTTCGAATCATATTAATAGCTTAGGTTTCTTGAAACGATAGTGTATCATTTGAAACCTACAAACACCACCTGTGATAAAACTACAAAACTAGAACACCATAGTTGAATGAGCTGTCTTAAAAGATTTATGATGTAAATGTTTCATGGAGACGTACGTAAGGTAAAGTTAATGACTTCCGTCTTTTCTATGAAATGCTGCAGTGTGGTTGAGTGTGACCATGAATCCGGTATATGAAACTATTGGTGTTGCACTTGCTGACTCGCCAGCCCACCCTTTTCTCCTGCTCTTTTCTCTTCCAGTTTCTCATGGAAACCACTAGACTCAGACTGCTCTACGGGCCCCCTGCAACAACGTATTTACCTCCCTCCTTGCCTACAGACTAGACGAAAACGTATCAACAGCTGGTCCTTACAACGTGATATTAAGAGGAAAACATAATCTTGTCATTATATTGAGGCTAACATTGGTTCATCCATCTATATAAAAAGGTTATTTTAATATCTTCCCAAAAGATGTCTGTAAGTTAATTGCTTCCTGAACAGTAAATCTTAAGATGCCTGGTCTTCAAACATTTTTGTGTATCTTTA